TACAAAAACGAAAAAACAGCAATCTAGGCTTTTTCTGGATAATGGAAGTGCTACAGAATTTTTCGCCCGCCTGATAAAATCAACATCTCCCAAACGCTATATTCCTCAAAGGATATGGTTGAAGCAATAAGGATGTTGCATAGATGTTGGAAAGCTATGCTAGAAATCCTATGAGCCATTCCATAAGCTGTCCCAAGTTTCCAAGCCACCCCATAAATCCAGATTTCCCACCCAAAAAGTACCATTTCTATGCGATTCACTTGTCAGCGCATGGCGCTAATTATTGGCGGTTCCAGTAGCCTCTAGTCCTCGTTCATCTTCCTCAAATGTGTCCAATTTGGTAGAACAACTCTCCTTCAAGAGCATGATTACCGAGCAAACCGGAAGCCCAGCAGTCAAATTCACTTCAGAATGGGACGAGTTTATCGAGTTGTCCCTTTCGTTCTACGTTTATAGAAATCGAGGCTTTCGGCAACCCGTTATAGAAAATCGGTCCAGCAGATCTGCCACGCGCAAGTTGAGGTCAGAAATAGTTTCGCTGACTGGCTACGGATAGGGGCAGATTGATGATACCAAGTGAGAAGGTGTCGTCACTGGATAGCTTTAGGAGTCCAAGAATCAACGACAATTCGGTCACGGTCTGCCGGCATGACCTAAGCTGTAAATTCCTTGCAAGGAAGGGAGAACCAACTAGCAAAGAAATTAGAACTCCCTCCGAAAGGCAACTCTGACCGGACTGACCTATACCGCTTAGGGTCACGAGGATAGGAATGTGACATTTACAACTGCGGCGCAATACAACCCTTGCATCAAAGTCACTAAAAAAATATTGTGATTTCTTCCATTTCCAATCATTTCCTCCCAATTTTGAAAGAGGAAACTGTATAACAATAGTGATAAAAGAATTTTCTTATCCTTAAACGGATTGTGATGTTTCTATGCCATCCCCGGAACCCTGAAGAAGAATGGCTGAACTTGAAATTACCTCATGTTTCAAACACGAAACCGACTCTGTAATTCTATAATTCAAATATTCAATTTCAAATTATTTTCTAATTCACTTTTTACTAGCTTAGAAAGTTCTTACTGTAAGGGTTGTTATATCAATTATTCAAAACTAGTGGCGTAAACTGTGTCAGCTCCATCGTCAACTCACGTTCCTTGTATGTTTAGTAGCTGTCTAGTAGTACTTAGAAAAAATCTTCTTAGCACTTCGAGTGATACGAGCAAATAAAGAAAAATACTGAAATGTTAAGGTGTTGCTGAAAGAGCTAAGAATGTCCACTGAAGACTCTTCAATTTTCTCTGTTTTATTGATTTAAAAAAAAAGCAACCTCAATTTCTAGCATGTAAAGTAAAATTCAACACAATGATAGTATGCCATTGATGAGAATGTTTCTCAAAGCATTTTCAAAGAATTTTTAGGTATTTTGGTGCACTTATGTTCCACATTGTCTAATACTATGAAAAGTATGAAAAATTCACGTGAGAAGTAGACCTGTTTCAAAATTGATTCCTTTTCTGTTTCACCAAACAAGATATGAGGTATTTTGAAATTCAAGGACCATCATCTAATGTAATCGTCCTCCCTCTTGAAGAAAGAAAATGAAAAACAAGACTTAATTATAAGGGAATGCAGCATGGCGAGCGAGTGCAGAAATTCACAATTTTTTCTTTTTGCGGGTTACGCCGTGATCGAATTTCTAGTTATCGCTGTACTGTCTAACTAGTACTGTTTTTTAGGACAAAGTTCATTATTAATTGCATCAAAGCAACCGGAAAGCCGCTACCTATTCGCGCAATTTTTGATGGCTTTTGGGGGGAAGATATGTATGGATCCATTTGTGAAGCGCTTTTGTTGCAAGCGTCGAATATTATGACAATCTACTCTCTAACAAGGGAACGATCCCAACTTAAGGTGGCGAATCGGAATGAACCGCATATCATTAGATGCGTCTTGACGAGCTGATTCCAAATCTACCTTCCTTATCTGCGACAACGTTATCTGCAAGAAGTTATGAAAGGTTAAAAACGTGAAGTAACAGAGATTTTAGTGCATAATTCGCTTCAAAATCCAACTTGGGAGTGTATGACTAGCATGATATTGAGTGTACTGATTTCAAGGAATGCTCACACTCTGAAGAAACACAAATAAGTGTTTTTGAACAACTACTTTTCGAGATATTGCGCTGTATATTTGCCAAATTTGGACTTTCCATTGCTCATAGCTTTTACCAAAGAACTTTAGTTGCTTTTTAGCTGTTCAAAAACATTTATTTGCGTTTCTTTTGAATGTGAGCATTCCGTGAAATCAGTACACTCGATATGATGCTAGTCGTGCACTTTCAAGTTGGATTTTAAAGCAAATTATGCATCAAAACCCCCGTTACCTCACATTTTTAACTTTTTATAACTTCTTGCAGATAATGTTGTCGCAGATATGGAAGGTAGATTTGAAATCAGCTCATCAAGCCGCATCTAATGGTATGCAATTCATTCCGATTCGCCACCTTAAGGGATCGTTCCCTTGTAAGTTCTATGCCTTTGGTTTTTATCGCTTCTTGTGCATTTTCCAAAACTTTATTCACTCTTAGCTTCGTTTCCAATCCAATAATGCGACAGAAAGCCCGCACGATTATATCTTAGATCTTGATAAATCTGATGCTTTGTTCGCTAAAGAAACAACCTGACAAGTAAGCAGTTTTTAGCCTACGATCGCATAAAGAGAAAAGGAGACTGCGTACTTTTAAGAATGCTGCTGCAGCCTATGATTCTATTCATCAATCCTTTTTGACTGTGCAGGAGTAAAGAAGTTAATATAAACCTTCGAAAAGCAAACTAAATCCCGTAGCAAACAAAAAGTTTTTCTGCTGATAAGTAAAATACCTAGATAACCTCAGCAATATAATGCAGAAGACAATATTTGATATGACGGAGATCTCTTGAGATCTCCAGCAGCAGGAGAAATCAGCAAGTGCAAGAAGAAATGCGAGATCATCTGCGGGGTATTCAAAAGGATTTTTTTTTGGCTAAAACGTCCAAACATTCGATTTAATGTAATCGGGAGCGAGAGTGCATTGAAGTCCGGCTGCGATGTCGTTGAGCAATGCGTGAAAGCGTTAAGTGATTCGCCGGCAGGAAAACTTATGGATTTCAATAAAGATTTGTTTCCGCAATCGTTAGTACTATGGAGAAAAGGGCAAGCTCTCGTTTCCTTGCTCGCCATTTTTTTGGAATGCTTAGTGGGATTCGTTTGAAATTACAGCATCATGAAAGGCTTTTTTAAGCTATTTAGTCTCGCGCAAATATTTGTTAAACGACCGAAGATAACATTGATAGCCATGCTTTTTATGAGGACAAGTTTCGGAGAAAATTTCCCTCGTTTGACCTTGCAAATTTCCTGCATGCTACTATTCTTTGCAAAACCAGTAATGAGACATGATAAAAAGTGGTCTATATAAAAAAAGCAGGAAATCCCTGAATTTTCGGGTAGTTTATTATAAAAAAGGATCGGTGGGCACCCAGATTTATAAATTAACAAAGTCTCGTCTCGAAGACTCATACAAGAAATTTGAAGTGACCATTTCAGACTTTTCATGAGTATAACATATAATACAAACAGTATTTTACCGTATATCAGAAACATCGCTTTCAAAAAATAAAAATGTGAATAATAATTAAATTTGAACATTACAACTCTTTGTAGAGATAGCCGACCAGTACAAACTGAATTTTTACTAACAAGTGGGAAGGGCCGTAAAACTCAAAACAAAAGTAAAATTCGAAGTTGTTGGATATTTTTCAAATTATTTCTCGGGATCGGAATTCAAAAAATTCTCTGTGTGTGTTTTTTGAGTTCTTATTATCGTGATATGAAATTTGATAATTAATGCTTCAACTACTATTAGAAGAACATGATTTTACTCTCAGCTTGTATCATGTCACATGGGTCTTTCAGATCTAGAGAAAACTTTCAAAAATTTTGTGCGAAACACATACTCCAACCTAATAAAAGCACAAGCACATCATAACACTGAGTAGAAAAGCGATCTGAACCGAAAGCGATCCAGCCGTTGAAGTTAGCAAGCGTAAGAGGAGAACTGGTCATCCGAGATCGTTCCGTTCTTAGCCGTCACATCGGCGGCAGGAGCAGATTAAGCGCGAGATTAAAAATCCAGACACTATGCGACAAAAAACCTAAGAAGGAGAAACATTGACGCTTTCATAATGGATTGCCCGGGCAATGGCCGAAAAGTCTTTTCGGTGAATTATGAATGAGCGACTTTCTTGATGCTATTTTACCGGATCCAATATTCTTCGCAGATTTCCTCGCTCGCACATTTCTCCAATCCTGCTACATTTTCTAGCTGACCACATGGTTATAAATTATTATTAAGCTACGTTGCGAGACTTGTTCGCGCCTGAAGATGCGCGATAGCCAAGCGAGTTCTTATCATTTGATGGCTGAGACGAGTCATGGTCGATGCAAAGATCTGACAACAAAACGATGATCAGCAAGCAGCAAACAGAACAAGCTATCAGCTCGGGATCTCATGATACTAGGGGATTTCATTGCTTACGACTTTATGCGGAACATCGAACCTTATGCGGACACATATGGTTCATTTCGTTTTGGAAGGCTAAGCTTAAATCTGCATTCATTGTCTGCTAAACGATTTTTCTTAAAGTACCATTTCCGACTGGCCCCTCGTTGGGATTATACCATAAAAAACAAGAAGTTACCCTCGCGACATGGTAGGGGAACTGGTAAGGGTGACGCTTTCAAAGCAAGTGGTCGCAGGTTCGCATCCTACATTGCGGAAGTTTCTTTTGCGGTACGACAAAAATGGTCATAACTCTTTTCAAAACAGCGTTTAGCAGATAGTGACTGCAGAATCAGACTCTGCGTTCCAAATCAAGATGAGTCATAAATGTCGTGTTACAAACAGCTGATTCAATTTGTATCCTCCCCTTTTAACTTGCAAGCTTTCAATGTAGATCTAGCCGTTCCTTATTCCCTCTCTGGTCCCATATCCTGTTCCACTGCCTGTTGGATGCGTATAGTAGTTGTAAGACATCTTCCTGTCATGTTCGAAGAGTTTCTTTTTAGTTTTCTGAAACAGCGCCATCAAGTTTCCGCTGAAAGACGGATTTGCATAATCCTCGGCATGGTTTTATCGGCATAATCGAACTCGCTAGCCATGCGCAACAGGCTCGTTGTGGACATATGTCAAAGCTCCAGGCTTCCTATACTGAAATTCTTTTGACGGCTTTGTGTCGTGTAAAATAGTGTGCTTACAGAGAAGGTGAAATGCGGTAAAATTTGCTCGCGAGGAAATAGCTTCGACTGTGTCGCCGGCCAGTTGCGCGCGCAAAATGCCGGCAGTGCTGGCGCAGCTACCTGTTCACGCGCAAATTTTACTGCATTTCATAAACTATGCAAGCACACTATATTAAGCGGGAAATCATTCGACTGTACGTTACATAGTGTTCATGACGTACATCCAAGAAAATCCATGAACTTTCTTTGAAGAAGCGGAGGAGGTGGAAGAGATAGCAGAACATTTTCTAGAGAGGGTGGGTAGCAACATCCTGTTACGTTTCTTCAAAAAGCCATTTCGAATATACAGGTTTTATAGAATTATTTGAATTATTTACAACTAACGGTCAGACAGCCACCGCGTCAGATGCTAAATGCTTCACATCACAAAGCTACTACCCTGAAGCTGAGATGCAGAATATGCCGTATTAGGTTGTTACATAAGTCTTGTTACACTTCAACTTCTTACGGCGACAACTCATGCACCTCATATTCCTTACAGGCCTTCAGGATACCATTCGATAGAGCAAAGCAAGCTCTACAAGACTGTGTGCAAAAGTTCGCACCATCTCTCATCTTCGACTCACAATAGGTTTGCATCCGGAATCTGAGTCGCTTTGAAGGCTCAAAAAATTAGGAGAATTCATAACTTTGTTCAAAAAAAATCCTTCGAATCCCCAACTTGTTCATAAGAATTGCACACTATATCAGACACTCATATGTACCGTTGCTGTATTTTTTCCTCATCTAGATCTAAAAAACGAAAATTTTCTTGTTTTTACAAAAACAAAGCTATGCTGTTTCTACTCATGTATTTCTATTCATGTAGCTGTATACTACAAGCCCCCTTAAAAGTATGAACGTAAATTCTCAGCTTTCCAGAAGCCCTAGTTTTCGAAAAACACCAAATTTGGTATTGAACACCCGAGTGAAATTTTAAATCCAAATTCTATTTTTCGAAAACTAGGGCTTCTGGAAAGCTGAAAATATAATACTATACTTCTAAGGGCCTGTAGTGCACAGCTACATGAATAGAAACAGCATAGCTTTGTTTTTGTAGAAACAAGAAAATTTTCGTTTTCTCGATTTCTAGATGGGGAAAAAATATAGCAACGGTACATATGAGTTTCTGATGTAGTGTGCAATTCTTATGAACAAGTTGGGGATAGGATTTTTTTGACCAAGATATGAATTTCTCCTAATTTTATGAGCCTTCAAAGCGACTCAGATTCCGGATGCAAACCTATTGTGGGTCGAAGCTGGTTCGAACTTTTGCACATTGTCCTTAAAGCTTGCTTTGCTCTATCAAATGGTACCATGGAGCCCTATCAAAAATATGAAGTTTATTACTTATCGTTGTAAGAAATCAGAGTGTAACAAGACTTATGTAACAACCTAATATTTGCAATACTTTGGAAGCCAGTACAAACACCTATTCAATCAAGGGTTGCAAGCCATGGGTTCGCATACTGTAAAGGAAAAGTGAAACGGTAAACTGCATTTTTGCGCCTGCTTTTTGAGACCCAGAAACGTGTCTTCTCTACAGCCATTATGCTTGCTTAGCTTAATTTGACTCTATCTTACTGTCCTTGTTTCTATTTGTCGACCGCTCTATAGCAGTGCCGGTGCGAGATAATTCGTATGGAGTGGAGAGGAGGAGGGGGGGGGGGCTGCGGAGAATTTTTTTTGAATAAGGGTGTAGTGTCAGCGGATGCTCTTCGGACGAGTTTACAGGATGATTTTTGCGGACCCATAGCGGGCAATGAAGGAAGGGGCAGGCACGCTTGGGAAAAAAATTTTTTTACAAGGCTAATCGAATTTTGGAAAACTTTTTTAGACAAATTCACTAATCAAGCGAAAATATCGCTCAAGTTTGTAGTTATTACAAGTTTTTTTTTTCAGAAAAAAAGCACTAACCAGGAAAGCGGGACGGAAAAGGAGAAAAAGGGAAGATAGAGGAAAGCGTTGATCCAGCCAAATGTTGTAATCTTTCCATGTTTTTAAGATGTTTTCGCACGAGATTCTCATAGTCCTGTAGTTCATATCTTTATTCAATCTGATAGAATCTATATATGCAAGAACTGTAATGGTATATACATGCAACATTTTGATAAATACCCGCAAATAATCATATAGTTCGCATTTGTCGCTTCATAATTTAGGCTATCAAAGGCACATTTGAACCACTAAAATACTTCGAGGATCTCAATTGCTCTGCTATGGACTATGTTCGTACATCTATCTGATAAAGTGTCTCACAAGCTAAGTGTCATGGATCATTCCTTGGTCAGCTGGCAAACGTAGCCGTTTCGGTCGATACGCTGGCGAAGTTCTTCGACGGTTCCGCTCGACGTGATTCCGTTGAGCGAAGACAGTGTGGACGAAATTGCTTGAACAAGCAGTTAAAAAATTAAACAATCCTTTCAAATTGCCTTACAAGGACATACCGTGTTTTCGTGACGAACTGTTGGCCAGCTGCTCCCAGCGCGTTTTCAGATGAGATACGGTACCCTGAGGATCGCTCGGATCGCCGCTTTGGACCAAAGAGCTGACATGCGGTTCGAGTATGGTCACGATCTTAACAATAAATAGAACATGTACAGAACACGACTGCACAGGTAATTTGAAAAAAAAGTATAAACGAAAATTTTCGCAAACCCAAAAGAACTGACTAAACACCATAGAACCTGTGACTCTTTGAAGCTACTCCGCACCCTTGAAGATCATGGTCAACTGCGTGAACGTGGTACATTGAGAGATCAAATCCAAAAACTATATGCTATTTCAACTACTGCCAACTCACTTTTTATTCATACAATTTCGAAAATTCAATACTTTTCCAACCACTCTTTTTGAACTCACAAGCCACACCCTTTTTTTAGAAACACTTATCTATAGGTGCCTAAAAATAATCGAGCTTACAGACCTTCTTTCTCCTTGCGGGAAAATTTCAGAAAAGGTCAGTAACCTCTTTATACCTTCTTCAACAAGAACGGAATTGCTAACTTTTTCCTATCTACCAAATTACTAAACTTGTCCCAATTTGATTCAGTCGAATTCGCGATAGTTTGCACTTTCATGACCTTACCAAAAACATTGCCGACAATATTTACCTGCGCAAAGTCCGGCCTTGCCATTGGATCTTGATGCCAAGCCATTGGAAGCAATTCTAGTATTGGAGCAGGAAATTGAGCGGTAGGTTGGTCCGGAAGGGGCGGACGTCCTAAAAAGAATATCTTTTTTGTTGTTGTAAATGAATAATGACAGTAACCTCGCTTGTATGCCATTTCCGCAGCTGCAGCAGCTGGTTTTAGATGTGAAAATGGAAGTTCACCAGAATGCACCTCCCAGACGACCAGAGCGAAACTGAAGGATGGCCAACGGTAAATTATTGCATAATTCAAGGAGGTCCGTACCTGAAGACATCGACGCGCCGATCATAACGACCCGATTGCGAAAAGACTTCTGGAGCCATCCATCTAAGATTCTAGAATACGTTTCACTCATTAGAGTCGTAAAATGTTTCTTATTAAAGCTCAATGATAACTTCTCAAGAGAAATTTTATTATATTTATAGCACTTGCCCCCGGCTGCTTCGTCATGTTCTCCTCCTCCGTCTGGCACATAAATCGACTCTCGCCGAAATCAGCAACCACGGCACGTCCATCAAGATGAATCAGAATGTTATGACTATTCAAGTCTCTGAAAACAAAATCTTGCTTAAAATATTAGTTTTCTTCGTCTTCTTTCATCGACAACGAATTTAACATGAATATCGCAAAACGTTTCGGAAAGAAATTACCATTTTAACTGAGACTTCTTGATTTGATAATGCCTTGGATGTCTTAATGAATCAATCATTTTTTCACCTTATTCTCTCATCAAAAAGGAGACTAACTGATCGACAAGATCCCGCGATTCTAGAATTTCTCTTTTTCATTCTGAGCCACCACTTATGAAAAAGTAAAGGGGCAGGAGGAGCAGGAGCATAAAAGTAAAACTTGCCTATGAATGACAGGCTTTGCAGCACTGTCATGCAAGTATCGCATACCCTGAGCTACATCGTAGGATATTCTAAGTCGAAAAGGAGGATCCAAAACTCTGAAAAATAAATTGATAACGAAGTTTGGGTTGTAAAGCTTGCAAGCTTACCGTTTCTGCTCATGCAAAAGAGAAAACAGCGAGCCATTGCTGACAAACTCTGTGATAATGGCGAATTGCTGAAGAAAAATGCTAGAATATAGTTTCGAGAAAATTTTGAGACTTACGCTAGGATCGTCGAGTACTGCACCAACAAAGCTTACTACGTTAGGATGGGCCAGTTTGGAAAGTATAGACACCTCACGACAAAGCATTTCTACTTCTGATTTGCAACCGTAAACAGCGGCACGGTACCTGAAGTGAAAATCGATTTAGGAAAAGACGTAAAATGCAAAAAACGGTATTCAAGAAGCCAGTTTTAATATTAACCATTTCAATATCTATACCACTATCTCACGCATAATGAGGGATAAAAATGATAGGTTAAAGTCTATACCACTATCTCACGCATAATGAGGGATAAAAATGATAGGTTAAAGTGTAGAAATTTGAAACTTTCACAGTATGTTACGAAACACATGCAAGTAGAATGCTGTATCAAAGTAGCGTAAATACATACAATTCTTTTGTAAGAGAATAATATGGTGTCCTTTTCGTAAGACCTCTTCAATGAATAGCCCCCAGCAAAAAAGTTTTTATCAGTGTTAACCTTTTGATTGCCACAACTTTTCCTCGATAACTTCCTTTGTAGACTTTTCCAAACGAGCCACTTCCTATCGCTTCCTGAAATTTACTTACTTATAGAGAAAATGTTTTTTTTGTACTATTGCAAGGATCTTTTTACCTGAAAGTCGATGTCAGCTAAAGACAAATGGAATATTGGAGGCAATGTTGAACGCAGCTGGAGCACTTCAGCTTTTTCTCTAGTCATTGACCGTAATCTTCCCATCGGAGAAGGTAAAGGTGTGTAGGAGTCTCCAGAGCTAGAAAAAGTGCTACGTGAAAACTAACAAGTTCAGCACGCTAAAGCTAGAGGCTTCGATTTTCATAAAGGTTATGAGTTTGCCAGCAAATTTGTTTTACCTATATTCACTACAAACATCAGCATCTGGTCGTTTGTTCGCATATTGCTTTAGTAGAGCCACTATTCTATCATGCCCTTTTTCATAGGCCCAGATGACCGGTGTTTGTTGGTCCTAAATCAGAATGGAAGAGTATTGATTTGTAAAAAAAAATTTGTCAGTGAGCTTACTTCGATAGAAACAACAGAGTCACGTGACGAGATTCCAGAAAGTGTCTCTGGCCGATTCAGAGCCATTATTGCTGTGGCAAAGGTAGACTGCGCTAAAATAATATTCTGCAATTGCAGCAAAAATTCAGGGCTCAAAAATGTCCATGTACGAGCTCCTTGAAGATTAGCGGGTCTTTCGTTAGTCCGAGCAGATAAAGACTGGTCAGCCCCATTTTCAAGCAGATACTGTACAATCTGCAGATGTCCATGATAGCACGCCGAGTGCAGAGCTGAAGTATAAAATAAACATCCCAACTGCCAAATTATATCTATACATTGAAATCACCTGTATGACCATCTTGACCCTGGTAATTTGGATCCACACCCGGCTGCTTCATCAAATATGCTATCAGCTCAATAGACTTTCCTCCGGTACAAGCTGCATGCAATGGAGTTTCAGAAAATACGTTTTCCTGTAAACAGATAAAATTTTTGGAAAAGCAAATTCTGGAAAAAGTAAGCTTACCGAAACCATCAGGTGAGATCCAGCGGCTGCTATGAGAGCTTTAGCTGCATCCAGGCGACCACCGTAGCAAGCCAGATGAAGTGGAGTGTCACCATAAACGTTTCGTGTAGCTACTGTCTGAAATTTATTTTGCTTCGCTGAGGGTGATCAAATCTGTCCAGGGCTCGGCACAGGTGACTTATAAGCAAACTGGATATCGTTTTTGGGACAAAAAGCAGAGGGAATAACGTTTTTGCGGTTTGAAAAAACACTAGTTAGGTTAGGTTTTTCAGTCGACGTTTCCGATTTTGGGTCAAAGGGCACTTCGTAAATTTGCGACGGTCACACAGGAATTCATTTTTGTTCGAGCCCGAATCTGACGCTTTGTTTATTTTAGGATTTTTTGAATCGCTGTAGTGCATATGCTGAACGCAAGCGCTGAGAATATCATAGTCGGAGCTTCGAAAAAAAAAGATTGCCCAGGAATCTTTTGAATTCATCACAAACATTCCAGGTAACTTGCAGATTATATTTTTACCCTTTGCTAAAAATGCAGGCTGTAAGTCATTTACCCTATTTTCAGGTGTATAAGCCGCACCCTTTTTGCTCTAAACGCGAGCAGACGCAGGCGTGCCGCCGCGCATATGTCTCGCGAAGCGGTCGCCTTATCGCACACTGCTCTCACTTAAAGCGCTCCATGATGACAGTCTTTTGGGGTGTTCGCCTTTAAAGCGAAAAGGGTGCGGCTTATACACCTGAAAATAGGGTAAATGCTTTTTGGTTCCAATATTAGTCAAGAATTCTTTCAATTTATTTTACATCCAATTTTTTACAGATTATAGAAATAAGGATAAAATCATGAATAATCTGTCTAATCATAAATAATCTGTCCTAAATTTCATAAATAGTTTTCTCGACAAAAAGTCAACGGCATTTTCCAAGAGCTGCTTATAAAGTAGTTTTAGCATCGAGAAGTACCACATTTGATCAATGGCTTTCAGATGAAGTCATCCTCACAACAAAGATTATTTATAGCGATTGGAAGTTCCGGCGTTTCACACTTTGAGATTTATTGGATCCGTATATCATTATTTCAAGCAGATGGCCATTGCTACGTGACTGCCTTGAATCAGGTGTGGATTTTTTTCACTTTTTGATTTATATAAGGCAATCTAGATTATCGCTTTTTGAGCCGATCTGCGGCAATCATTTCACCAAATTTACAAGTAACTTTTTGAGAAGATCAAGAGTATCGAAAACATCGATACATAGGTTCGGTTGAAGTGAGAGCGGCAAGCCGTTTCCACACATAAGAATAAAGATGGTCTAGAGGGGGGAATCTAAAAACATGATTTTTCACATGGAAAATGAATTGCAATATAGTAAGCCATTGCTTGTAAGCTTATAAAAATCATTCGTAGCCAAGAAATCCCTCTTCAAACACCCAAACGGTGAATGCACCGTAATCGAGGACACTGATTGGTCGATTCAAAGAGGCTATGGAGTGGGTGAAAATCTGTGTTCAAAATTTTGGTCAACAAATGGATCACATGCGCTGCTATGGATCAGTTATGCTCCATAGTATAGGAACTTTAGATACACTATTTGCCTGCAATAAGAGAAAAAAATCATGCAGACTTCCTTATTCAGAGGTCTGATACTAACTCTCAAGAGCGACGGCAGCCTTCAAAGTAACTTTTAATAATGTTGTATGTCAAAATTCCACCTCAACTACATTGGAGCTGCTACGTAGGAGTATATTGAGTACAGCCATGTGTCCTGTTTTTGCAGCAAAATGCAGCGGAAGGTTCCCTTCGTCATCGGCCAGCTGTGCTGGAATTTATCATTTCAACAAACAAATACCAAAGAGATGAGTCAAGCGAGATTTACATACTTAAAAAGCGTTTTTGTGGTAGCGGATAGGAAACAGAGAAGTTCTAAATTCTAGAAAAAACTCACGATCAGCCCCTGCTTCTAAAAGGAGAGAGGTGATAGCGGAAAGACCTCGGCTGGCCGCTAAGTGCAAGGGACGATCCTTGACGCCCCCACAAACATTTCCATCAGCACCGCAGCTCAACAAACAGCGCACCACCTAAAACAACAAAATTTCGGTTAAAATTAGAGTTTTCCGAATGTTGTGAAGTACCTGCTCATTAGCGAAATAAGTAGCGCAATGCAAAGCAGTGAACAGCACAAAGTCATTGGCTGCTAAGGAAGCACCTTTATCAACTAAGGCCTAAATTCAACATTTTCCTGGAAGATTTTGGAAAGATGTAAATGCAACTGATTACCTGTACTATAGTGGGACTTCCAATCATAGCAGCCAAATGGAGAGGAGGAAGTTGATGTTTGCCTCCAAGACAAGGGTCTGCGCCCTCGTCTAGGAGACATTTCACCAAAGCTAGGTCACCCTGCAATGAAGATTCTTTTCCATTTTTTAGTGAAGAAAAGTTCAGCATTTTTAAACTGATTATGCTGTGTGACCTCATTACATAACATTTTCCTATCTTGCTTTTTATTCACCGCCAAAATCGCTTTTTCAAGCGACTGTTGATCGCTTACTAGGATGACGCAAGTATTCAGCATTTTCTTTGATTGAAAAACTTCAGAAACTTTGGCAAACTTGGTTCATGGAAGGGAGGGACAGAAGGTGGTCATTTATTGGCTTGATTTTTATCTTTACAGAAACGAGTTAGAGCAATATAAAAGAAATTTTTGTGACATCAATTGCCATTTCTTTATTTTTGAAACTTCCTGCATCTCCTTTACATGTTATGGTTTTACCACCGTTTTTTTTTGTTTTTATGGTGAGCTCACTCTTGATGAAGTTAGTAAGCTCCAAGAAAGTGGCTCAAAGGTACAAACTTTTCAGTAAAGCACAAAAATGCCAAAAATAATTTTAAAGAACACAGGAACTGATTCTTGACAACTACATATCTTTTTAGGTAAATCTGAGTTATTTTTAAGTACAATGAATTTATACATTCTATTCCAATAGACTGGAAAACAAGAATAAAAGCAGGAAATAAAAGTCACTTGCTGCTTACTTCTTTGAACTGCAAAATTTTTGATTTTGGAGAAACGGGGAGAATGCATGAAACATTTAGGCAAAGGTGATAGCGCAAGTAACAAGATCACAAAAATAAGAAAAACATGTTTCAAAAAGGAAGAGTGGCAAGAGTTGAAGACCAACCTTATAAACAGCTATATGCATAGCCGAGAATCCATTATTGGATAGATGAGAAAGCAGCGAAGCCTTCTTGCCCTCGTCACAGACGTCATTCAGCAGATGAGTGATTTTTCCCACTTGCTGGAACATCAAGTCTGTTGAACTCTTGAAACTTCAAGCATTTTTTTCACCCCCTCGCTCTGTCCTGCACAGATAATATGAAGTAACGAAAGCTGCTGAGGTGTACGGCAATCTACGGATTCTGATGTGAGCAGCTGACTGAAGTCATCAAGAAGTCCGTCACTGAAGTATGGGAGAAATTTTGAAATTTTTGCAGTAAAAAGACATCGCTCAATTAATTTAGCCTAACTTACAAAGCGGCAATCTGCAATGGTGTCCAAGCCGAATTTCTAGCCTTTATATCATCATTCAATCTACTTCGTACTACCGCATAACCTTCACTGATTTTCTTTTTGAGTTCATCTGGAAAAAACTTTTAAGGAAAAGCTGGAGTATACATGCTGCACAGTTCATTAAATTCTTTTTGATATGTATAAAACATATTTTTTTTTGTTTGCCGAACAAAACGTTCTCCTAATTTTTGCTAAAATTCAAACAGGACTTCAACAGACGATGTCTCTGTACTATAGTACGGTCATTTCTATCGTTTTAGTATTGCAATATCTCAGGTGTATATCTAATCTTGAATTTTATAGTACGCCTTGAAACGTATAAAATTAATCAATAATCTTGTTTGATAAAGTAAAGCCCATGTTTCCCTGCTATGTTCTGTACATAAAATCTCATTTGTGAATTGATTCGGACAAACTTTGCATATCCTCTTCACGGCGTGAACATTTTATCAGAAACAAAAAAGTTTAGGAGGAAATGTGGCCCTATCTACACAGCTGATAATTTCCAGGCACTTGATAAGCACCGATAGCGTATGTAACGTGCCCCTGAACTGTACGGGAGAAGCATAAAAAATGGCATGTGCCATTCAAAGCAAAAAAATCTAAGAAATCGAAGAAAAAAATTACAGAAATGAATTTATTTCCGAGAAATTACCTGAACACGATGTCGGTGGCCTTGACTTATAGTTGCCCATTGAACGAAATCATCTACGGATAATCACATTGCATCTAGGAACCCAGTGAATCCAACGATGGCTAAAGTTCCATAAAAGGAACGGAAACGAGGAAACCGAGTGGAAACGACGAAGTATGAGCGAGGCATCATACGCAGAGACATGGTGTAACTACGGACGCTGCGGGAGTTTGCCTGAGTGAGCGCCGTTTCACCTCTCTTACCCTCTGCCATCTCTTCTATGCACAAACTGTCTCAGTTATACGCGATGACGTTCAGTCTCTGCGTACATAACTGGCCTATATTTTACATGGGCAAAAAATCATGAATTTATCATGATAATTATGTAATTTACGGGAGCGTGAAAAACTTTATACAGATCGAAGAGATAAAATTACAAATTATACTTATTTTCCTTGGAGAATTGAAGTACGACAGAGCATGGATTAACTCCCAACTTTTCCACATTAACAGTTGGCATTTTCCAAAAATAGATCCACAGAAAATGCGCTTAGTGAGTCATATGATTGTTCTAATACTTTATCAAAACTCTACCCGCCTCCGTCTCATCCACTCCCTCCCCAACTCCCCCCCCCCCCCCTCCTTCCTCCTTCTTCCTCCCACGTGGGAGTGAAGGGCATGACATTGTTAGCATAGCTGAGGGTTACACCCTGCGGACGTGCTCCTAGCATTACTTATATATTTGGGTTTTTTCTGCAGAGTACACTGTCGAGCATCCGCTCACGCTTTACTCTTACTTTATGATGAGGATGTGCAGTGTAAGCTAGAGGGCGAGCCCTTGCAAAGAACGAGGAAGGAGCGGAAAGTGAGTTAGAGCCAGTAGGTGGAGATTTACGGATACAAAACTTTCAGATTGTTTTTGATCAAGCTTTGTTGTCTTAAATTCACCAATAGATTTGTAAACAGCCTTCCAGACAAAATATACCAAAGGCGAGGGTACCCTTTGACTGAACTTGCTGGAAGGTGGGGGCCGTGACCAATTAAGGCTATAATGATCAGAGAGCACCCGCGCAGGAGAGACGTAGGCTGCGCCGCGGGCGCAAGCGGCCTTAATTAGGTCAGAAAGCCCCTCCTCCCAGCTGCCAAGCCAGTTGAATCAAAGGGTACTAACAGGAATGCTGATGCATTTATGAATTTCAGAAGATTCGCACTTTGCGACGCTAGTTTAAAATTGCCATATTGTTGTATTGCAGAAAAGAAGCTGTCTTTATCCTTAATTGGGTCACCATTCCTCTTGTAAGCCAATGATATAAAGAACTCTTGTAAACCATTGGTATGAAGAGAAAAAACTCACTATTTTTTGCAATCTATCCTAGTAAGAAGATTTGTTTATCGATAGACAGCAAAGATTGAAATCAACAAACTAAAAATACGTATTGACAGCGACCGACTTTCAAACTAAATGCTGGATCTGAGAAAAGCCGTTATACAAACTCATAGAGTTTAAAATTCTTCAGAAAGCTACATTGGAATCGGAAGAAATAAAAAGTTTGGGAAAAGCTACAAGAGAATTGGAAAAAATGAAAAAAGTTGGAAAAGCTGTTACATGTAAAATGTACACGAAAATTACATGATTGCATTTAGATTTTTGTATATTGAAATAGACTCCATTTCGAGGAGGTTTCAGAGCCATCTAAATAGAAAAAAGAGAAGAAGAAGAAGAAGTAAATCATCACTAAGTCCTTGAATTACCAAAAAATGGTGCTATAGGAGCTCAGAAAAGAAAAACCTGTAAATTATCGACTAACGTTCGTAACTCGAAGAATTTTTTGAGAAAAATTCAAGCCACTTGACACAAACGCGCAAAAAAATTCATGGTGCACATTTGTGGCAAACAAACATGACAGATAAATAAACATCGTGTACTGAAAAATAGACGTATAACACTAATCAGCACATTGAAAATCAGGAAAAGATGTTCAATCCTAAGCACGAAAATACAATTTCTGATTATTCATCAGAAGATAACGATGACTAATGCAGTGTGAATATTGTATACGACTGATTGCCACATTGAAAAAGAATCTACGCTACAAAATATGGGCTTATATTTGAGCTTATTCTATTCAGTTAGAAAAACCATTTGACACACCTATAAAATTTTATCAGCTAATGTATCGCCAGGATCGTAAATAATAGAAGAAGAGCATGCGATTAGGGCTACGTATAAGCCTTTACTAAATCGTAAATTCAATAATTCGACAGTTTCAGAGTCATGTGATATAAGTATGGATGAATCAGGCGAATATTAGCTCACCAATGAATTTTTCTGAATTCTGATGGCATATTTATGTCTCTGAAGTCAAGGAGCAATATAAAGCATTTTTAGGCGAGTCTGATCGAATTCTCTAAAGTTGTATCAATAAAAAGACACCAGAACCAGCGAAACGACAGCGGTCGAGGAGTCGCAGGCTCCGCCGCGACGGCGGCTTGTCGGCGGTGGCGTCGGCGGCGGCGCCTGCGGCCTCCGCCGCCGGCTGTCCTCCCTCCCCGTACACTCCGTCTGCTTCTCCGCCAGCAGCTCGCTCGGCGACCGCTTCTCAACGATAGCTGCGTCTCTCTGAACAGCCGGCTCTCTCGCCGTTTTGTGACTCGTTCGTTTGCTCAGCGCCCTTTACAGCGGCTAGATAGTCTCCTCAAGACGGACTGCAAAGTTCAGTCTTCAACAACCAGTCGACGCGTTGCTCACACCTCACAAAGTGCTGCTTGTGCAACTGTTATCACTTGGACAGCTGCGCATACATGGTCCGGAGTGAATCAAAACCATGACATATACTGGACTTTAAGCTTCACTGAAGATCCAGAAACCATGACAATTTAGAACTTTGTTGAATATTACTAGGTCAGCGATCAGTTCTCCCTATAAAGTGGATGGATAATTTGAACTTGTGCAGCCCGTGAAATCGTTAATTTTTTGGCACTCAAAGCTCAGTCTGGTATCATGTATGTCTTGAAGTGCGGGAAGACTCTACACAATCTTAAGTAGGGTAAAATATTAGGTCGATGCAAAAGTTTTTTCAATCCATGGGCAATCACGCTAGAATGAAGATAAATAAAGTCTTCAAAATGTATCCGATGCAGAATTTCCTCCTCTTTCCAGCTGCTAAACTCCCATTGTGTTTCGCTGTGAGAGTGGCGAAATATTTGCTGCAAATTACAACCACTCGTTTTTACCATGTCCAATTTTCGCTAATTTTCAAAATCTTTGTATGAGACTTTCGAAGGAGCTCTAATAACCGGCAGATAGGGCAAACCTTTTGCCAACCGAAGCAATTTTTTTCTTTTTTTCAGCTGCTTTTTCAGATTTTTGCTAAATAATTTTCTAAAAGTCTTGTGTTGTAGGATAATCGCATAGTCTGTTATTGCACCAAACACTGCAAAACCTACAGAATACTAAGGTTTCAACACTCGAATATCACTAGCGCTACCATTACAAAGTGAATGAGCGATTTTCGCTTCAAATTATGAAGATTTTGAAACATAGATTACGTCAGTGCTCACACACCGAAATTGAGAAATACTACAATCTTCCCCACAAATTTTGCTTGTCTCGACAAAAAAGACAAGTGTTAGAAAGAGGAGAAAAATCTGCATCGAATGGTGACTGAAATGTTTAACATTTCATGTTCTACGAGGTTAAAATAGGCTGAATGTAAAATTTGGTCACTTCAAATAATAAATCGTAGAAATTCTGAAAGACAAGCTGTAGGGCTACAAAAAATTGCTTCTGTTGGCAAAAGGTTTGTTCTATCTGCTGGTTATAAGGGCTCCTTCGAAAGTCTCATACAAAAATTTTGAAAATTAGCGAAAGTTGGACATGGTAAAAACGAGTGGTTGTAATTTGCAGCAAATATTTCGTCACTCTCACAACGAAACACAATGGGAGTTCAGCATATAGAAAGAGGAAGAAATTCTGCATAGGATACATTCTGAAGTCTTTGTTTATCTTCATTCTAGCGTGATTGCCGATGGATTGAAAAAACTGACAAAACTTTTGCACCGACCTAATATAATAGTATTGGCTAGATAGTGGCAGACCGAGCCTCCTGAGAATAGGCCGCGAAAATTTGAAGTTAGCCTTAAAAAGTAGTGTGACTTTTTTTTACTTGTCAATAATCGATAGTTTTCTTAAGAATTTGAAATCTGTGTTAGTTTTATAGTCGAAGGAAGGCGAGCCCCCCCCCTCCATCCAAGAGAAAGGCCTGCGACATTTTTTTGTCTTTCACATAAGCTAAAGGATTGGCACCTTGCTTTGGCTCAAATGTGGTTAGTTGATTAAGAAAAATTTTGTACTGCTTTTAGAAATTTCTCAAGTCACTGCTGTTTTGATCACTTATAGAAATGAATAGCTGACGTCTCAAATCCAATGAAATCTTCGTCGTTTTGTTCTAACAAGGACAGGATACTTAGTCGAAAGCACCAATCCAGATGAGGCATATATCATCTTAAAGCGCTTGAAACGCTGATTCCAGATAAGCAGTTTCTAGCTGCGGAGCGGTTTTGTAGAGGGAGTTATGAGGGGTGTTCGTCTGGGGTTGAGGCGCCCTCCACCAGGTTTCCCCTACTTATGAGCACTGTAGAGGAGTACCAACTGGTGGCAATCGACCTAGTGGTAAGTGACGTGCTTGATGAAGAGAGTATCAAGGTTTTAATCCCCTTCGCATGCTAAATTGGACTTCTAAATGGCTTTAGAGCCCTAAAGCATGAAACCTCTGATGATATTGATACTAATCGAAGTTAGAAATGTTAAAAAAACCAAAGTAATATGAGTATTATAATCTTTACTGTAATCTTCATTCAAGTTACTTACCTTTAGGTCAGTTGCCATCAGCGGCTGATGGCAACTGACCTAAAGGTAAGTAACTTGAATGAAGATTACAGTAAAGATTATAATACTCCTCTACAGTGCTTACAGATAAGGGGAGACCGCTGGAGGGTGCCTAAACCCCAGAGGGGAACACCCTTCATAACTCCTTTTACAAAACCGCTCCGCAGCTAGAAACTGCAGATTTGGAATCAGCGTTTCAAGCGCTTCAAGATGATTTATGTCTCATCTGGATTGGTGCTTTCGACTAAGTATCCTCTCCTTGTAAGCAAAAATAATAAAAGTGACTAGCAGTAAGTATGACTCTCTGCTCAAGCACAAGTGTTGTCGCTTTTTGGGAGGCGGTCAAGAAGCCCGATTTTTCCAGAGATCACCAACTACACAACCCGGTAAAGCTATGCGAGTTTTTCAATAATACCAGGCAAAGTATTCTAGCTTACTGACTTTCTGAAGCTACCACTTGCTAAGTTCGACGGCTTTTGGTGAAAACTTGATCAAAATATTTGCAAAGACGCTATCAGTTGCTTTTTGACGTGTTCTTGACCTCCCAACAATTATGTTTTGAATGTAGTTCAAAATGATAAAATCGAGCGACCCATGGGATGAACATATTATCTTGTTAAAAATTTGAATCGCTTCTAGAATATTATAAATCGCTAAAAATGCGCTAATTAGTGCCCATCTGGCAATAAGAATTGCTCCTCTTGGCTACAGCCCCGCTTCCTTATACAAGCCGAAAACGGACTTTCCACAGAACCGATGGTATGAAGAGCAAATGAAGTAGATCGTAAAAGAAATCTCTCCTTGTCTGCTATACCTGACTCTTACTCCATGTGAAAGTCGGTCATCAGTCAGTCCTCATAGAATTAATGGAATCTTTTAATACATCAAATAAGTACCCAGTTTATGAGAACTTTTACAAGCTTGTTTCCGAAGGGAAAAATAACTTTGCTCTTAATTAGCATCTTGCCCTTGTGCCAACCCCAGCCACGCAACTCAAAGTTTGCTTAAAAAGAATTGGTAAGTTATTATCTATCGATAAAAATAGTCTATGACGCACCCCGTAGTCTATGCAATGTGATCCTGATTGTGTTTGGAAAATGGACAAGGGCGAGCAGATCCCTTATGCTTGGTCGCGAAAATGAATACCTTGGCTCCAAAATAACTTCGAACTCCATTTTGCTGAACGGTAAGTAATGTTGAAAAAGAATCCAAAATTCATGCTCGCAAATCGTTCACTTGTAATGAAAGTGAATATTAGTCATTTTTGATTTTTAACATGCAGATCTTCGTTAGAGTACATTAGTAGATAAACACTGTTGCTCCATATTCTCCATCAGCCTTCAAAATGCAAATGATCAGAATATAGCAGCCGATATCAAATGGAAACGACTATATGATTTTAGGAAAGTACCAGACTGTCATACAATTGAAGCCTGTAGACACATTTGAAGCGACCTCTGCCAGAAAAGGTGCTATTTGCGAAATTCGTTCCCTACATGAAAGCTTCTATCTTGCACTCTTCAATGATATATTCCAACCATTAACCCAATTTTATTAGGTTGTTGCATAAGTTCTGTCCGATTTGAATTTTTTGAGTTCAAAATGTCATAACTTCTTTCAAAGCCAACGTCTTTCCAAGATTCTAGTTTCCATGTAGTGAGCAATTCCTTGGCTATCAGATACATATTAGAGCCTGCGAAAATCCTTGTTAAGGAAGAAGCAAAAACTTAAAAACTTCACTACGTTTTCCTTCAAACTTGTCTTTTTTGACATGGCAATGCTCCCTTATGAGAATTGATAAACATCTTATTAAACAATGGATGGATAGAGGAAGTTGTATAGATTAATATGCAGCATAAAAGCGCCCATAGAGTCTGCGCTGCCGAGAGATTTTTTGGTCGAATAAAAAATTAGCCACTTTTTGACCTCGCTTCAGCGCATGTGTGCAAGCCTATTTACGAATTATGAAAATTTTTCAATTGATATGAGCGCCGAAAAGAAGTTCTTGGATGATTCCTGCTAGCCCTTGCTTTACCCTAGCACCTCCAACTTCGAAGTCGTCGATTACTTCTATTCGCAGAAAGTTATGGCTTGTGAAACATCTATACAGAAAATTAATGTTCGACGACAGCTTTCACTAGCAAGACGTTTTCTTCATGGAACCGAACTTAGGCATATATTAGCCTTTTACACCCTTATTCCGCAGCCAATGAAAAAACTTGACTTGGAGGGTGCATTGTGGGGACTTCCTCGCAAGAACATATTTCTAGGGTGAGAACGTAGTTCGGCCACTTGGAGATTTTAGGCCTGAAATCTCCTTACACTAAGAAATTTATTCAAATTTGATATGCTTTAGAAAACGCAAGAAAAGCACTTTCAGTGATACTAACAATACCGCATTAGAGATGAAATTCTCTTAAAATAGCTGCTTCAAACATGAGGCAAAAAAATCGGGCAGAACTTATGCAACAGCCTAATAATTTCTTCATGTTGAAGAAAAAGCCTTCAAAGCTATCAAATTTGCATCTATAAAAGTTTTGTCGGATATGGTCCCCAATTTTTTTCCTAAAAAAGCATTGAAGGCAGTGTCCCGGCAAAATTTCGTTTTCCACCCACCTATTCGGAGCCTTCTCGCCTTGAGCAACCATATCTAGACTTTTCAGCGCATAAAAAAGGCGAAAATGAACCTTTTTCAAAGCTTTCCAGGTCCTCATTCAGTAAAATAGTCCACAAGTCTTCCGCACTCCTGCTCTTCGTTTCGGAGTCCGCCCACTTACACGTATCTATTTTGCGATGAATGCAGATCAGGAAAGTTTCAAGAAAAGCTCATTTTCGCCATTTTTACACGCTAAAAACCCAGGTATGGCTTTCTCATGGCGAGAAAGCTCTGAAAAGGTGCAAAACTGGAAAATGAAATTTTGCCGGGACATTGCCTTCAACGCCCAACATTCTAGTAAAATAGTCCGCAAGTCTTCCGCATTCAGATTATGAGGTGCCGTCTGACAACTTTTGCCATCGTCACGCTATGCATCTTCCTCGATGTGCTCCCCACTCTCTGCAAGTCCAAGAATGATGCCCTGTCCAAGAATGATGCCCTCCACGATTCGCCATATTCCTACAAAGTAGGAGGATTCAACTATCATCACAACAAAGTTCACCCATCATGTAATACATATTCAGTAAATACAAGGTGTCCCAAAAAATGTGCACAATATTTGTCGTCAATAACTGTCTTGTAATGTCTTTTACCAATCTTTACCTACTATTTTGTAGACCTGCTTTGATTTAGATTTACAGTATGAAGCAAATCACCAATCGCTACCGTAATTCACGGTAGGAACTTCCAGTATTCAGAACCAATGAAATGAGCTTTAACACGTTGACGACCGTGTGCATACGCGTGTATACACGCCCTGACTCTCGTCTGGCACTTTCGTGCTTTAGTTTTCATGTGAAAAGTTCTAAAGTGACTTCTATGCGGTAATAATACTGGTGGTTTGATTGTCACACAGAACACTAGGATCGCATTAGCTGTTCAGGAGTTTAAACTGCAGATTTGAATATCTAGTCCATTTTGATGTGGTCCAAAATGGCTCGGTCTTCACGTCTTATTAAAAATTCAAAAAAGAAATCTGGAGAATTGCAGCAGGGTTTTCATTTATGCCGATTTCTCAAAACACTTTTGACAAGGTTTTTGGTGTCATCTAGGGCATAATCGTACCTCTTACAAACACTGGAAAACAGTACCATTTTACCTGGAATGACTCACAAAGGGGTCCGATTAGTCGAAGTGGCCTTTCCAAATGAGTTTTATACCACTTTAAAGAGCATTAAACGCTGATCCCAAATCTGATTTGTTTAGTACCTGCCGAGCGCTTCTGCAAGCCGAGTAATGAATACTTTCTTGGTGCGAAAAATGAACGCATAATCTAAGTAAAATAAAATTTTACGATCTTCTCATCCCTCAAATAGAGCAATGTTAAGTATGAGTGCTTTGGACAGTAGGTATTGTTCAGATAGAGTGCTTTGATAATCAACATTGGACCATTTCAGCAATACTGACAAATTTTGTTCTAATTATGCGTTTAATTTCTCAACTCAAAAAACGCTCATAACTCGACGTCTAGAGGTGCTCGGCAGATAACGAAGACAGATTTGGAATCAGCGTTTGATGTTCTTTATAATCGTGTCAATTTCATGTGAAAAGGCCATTTCGACCGAAAAAACCTCCCTTGTCAGGAAAAAAAACATCGCATCGAAGTGCAAGTTTCAAATTCATAATCAGTAACTTTTGTTAGCCTAGTACAAGAGTTTTTATGTAGTTTGGTTATCCTACTGAGACCACAATTTTTTAATGGCTCAAATCATTCACCTTATCTACCGTGGTCCTACACTAATGAAGAGCGGTGGGTGATTTGCTCATGACAGTCAATCTAAGTTGAGGCCAGGTCTACAGAACGACGCCTAAAGATCGGCGAAATACATTAATGCAAAGTTATTAACGATCAAACAGTCTGCACATTTTTGCGACACCTTGTATGTAAGTGAAAGATTTAGTGTTTTTAGGGACAGACCATTTTCCGGGTACACCGAGACTAGGTTGGTGGCAAGGTGTGCCCCGAGGGCCTGCTCCGACTGTAAGGCCTGTCCAGCGACAACCGCGTCCAAATTCACCCGTCCAGCAACAATCGCGACCAAATTCACCTGTCCATCAAGGTCAACCTGCTCAGCAATATGGACAACAGCCGTCTCGTCCGAGGTCTCCTTCACGTCAAGGATCGGTTTACCAAACATACCAGCAACATGGTGGCGGTGGCTTGTGGTAATGATAAATGAAATTAGATACTGATCGAGTATCGAATAAATATGGACGGAAAGAGTGGTTGATTAGCATAAGAGCTGACACTAATTAATTTTAGTTCTAATTAATTTTGTAATTAATTAGCTGAGGTACAAGAGAAAAAACACTTAGAGCACTTCTCTTTGCATGCCGGAGTAATTCTATCTCGCAATCACTTAAATTCTAAATGTTCTGGTCAAAATTCCTCACTGGTCGCTCATGAACTAAATATCCGTATTAAACATCGGACTAAATGAAGAATCTATTAAAAATTGATCTAGCACTGACTCATCTTTCAAATGTAATCTGAAATTAATCGATGATTCTTGAGTTTCATATTCAATTATTTCAAGAAACGCATGGGTAGTGGTGTAAGTGTTGCCAAAAGACGAGGTTCCGCGAGGACATCCGCAACAAATGCGCACCTCTTGTAGATGCAAGAGGTGCGTACTTGTTTGAGATATCCGAGTGGGAAAACGCATGAACACGTAAACGCGCAACTCGAGAAACTCCTTACCTACCCGTCTCGCTTATGACTTGGCCAATCATAGCCAAAAATGACCACCAAAGAAGCGCCGCCGCTCCAAAAATTGAGAAGAAAGAGCCGACAAAAAAGGCAGTTTCCTGTCACAAACTAAAGTATTATAGCCTAGAACTGAAACTGAAGAAACCAAGCTAAACTGTGAGGTTACAAACTTATTACACCCCACCATTCTCGGAATGGAAGACAAAAAATTTAATAAGATTTAACTCAAAAACGAGCCAGTTGCACATCCTATGATTATTTTTGAGAGAACTTCCCGAGACTCTTCGGAAAAAGAAAGGTGCCACGTTTTCTGTGCGGTCTCTGGGAGTACATATACAGGGTGTCCCAAAAAAATGTGCACACTGTTTGATCGGTAATAACTTCTCTGCTTTGATGTCTTCGAACCTTAGGGATTATTTCGTAGAGCGAGGTTTAACTTAGATTTACAGTATGGAGCGAATCATCGATCGCTTTTCATTACCGTAGGATTACGGTAGAAGTTTCGACAAAGATTTTAGGCCATTGGATGCCATATTCAGCCTCGGAACAAAACCAACCAAGTCAAAAACTCTTATACCAAGGTAATGGAAGCCGATGATTTCGAATACGAACTTTGCACTTTACTGTGATGCTTCTTTCCGAAGTTATCTCAGGAAAACCGCAATTACTGAATTTCTAGCATTTGTCAGAAATGTGATTAAACCGTCAAAAAAAGCTGAAAACACTCGTAAAAAGTTGTATGGTGGAATCAGCGTGCGCAAAAACCCCGGTACACGATTTCTCAGATTTTTTAGAAAAAATTTTGTTGGATGGCATATTCCGCAAAGTCCCATATATGCTGGAAGTTCTTACCGTAATCCTACAGTAATGAGGAGCGATCGGTGATTCAATCCATGCTTCAAAACTAAGTTGAACCTCGCTCTACATAACGGTACCTAAAAGTCCGCGATAGACATTAAAGCAAGGAAGTTATTAACGATCAAACAGTGTGCACATTTTTTGGGACACCCTGTATATTGTAAAGCAGAGTATACACGGAACCCACTGCAGCGTCCAAGCAGGTTAGCCTTTTTGAGCCTTCAGTAGCGCATTCGCTGCTTATCCCATCTTGCGCCATCCAAGGTCAAGAAGCCGATTCGCATTGAGCTTTCTTTCTTTTTATGTACTCTTTAGTTCAACGGGATTGGCGGCTGAAAGGCGACCGCTCGCGCTCTTAGCACAGTCTGCGTCTCCCCCGCGAGTGTACTCTCTGGACATTCCCTAGCCTTGACTAGGCCTCGAAGCCTCCCCCCTCCCCCTTTCAGCCGCCGATCCCTGAATCAAAGGGCAGTTGACAGTAATGATTTCTAAGAGGTGGGGCGAGGGATTTCCGCCATAACCAGCAAGTGACTGCAGGATTCTGTAACATCACCTACTTTGGCGGCAATTGGCTGATCAGCCCAGGCAATCAATACGATGCAGTTGACGGGAATGTCTCGCCCCGCCTCTCCAGCAATCTCCAAGGTCGGGAAACGCAAAAAAGCACTTTTTTGACTTTTCAAGCACAGTATCTCACTCAGCGGGTACAGACCATGTAGTTGTGGAAATCATATTGGCCTTTAAACTGGACCCCGGGATCGTATTCGCAGGAATGGCGTGTCACATCAGTTTCGCTCGAGGACCACGCGTCTCGCGCCATGAATCCATGCGACGATCCCGGAGTCCAGTTTGGAGGCGAATATCTCAACTGTGAGCTCACCATTTGAGCTGCCGCTTGGGCAGTGTTTTAGTTAGGGCTCCAAGATTACCCTCCAGGTGAGATCCCCATAGGCCCAGATTTGCCTAGACGCTGCCTTTAACGGCAGTGGGCCGGCAGAATGAGACCCGTGGCAAAACAAGATCACAGGGTAGGAGTCCCCATAGTGGAACCTATGGGCCAAAGTTCGGTGTTTCTCTGCCATTTCTGACTCCCGAAATTTCAAAGCGAAAGCAGCGCTCATCTCCTGTTCTCTCCGAACCCCAAGGACGAGTGACTTCCACGGTCAGAGCGCGCAGCCGCAATGCTATAAGCATGAGGTCCCGTAACGACTCTGCGTCTTCGCCATGACGGACTTCGCGTTCACTCTTCCGAGGGGTGGGCGGGGTCGGAGAGGAGAGGAGATGAGCGCTGCTTTCGCTTTGAAATTTCGGGGGTTAGGAGTTGCAGGGAAAGATCGAACTTTGGCCCATAGGTTCCATTATGGGGGCTCCTACCCTGTGATCTTGTTTTGCTACGGGTCTCATTCTGCCGACCCACTGCCTTTAAGCAAAGCGTCACGGGATGTTTCATATTCGCTGAGCTCTCGGTATCCATTACGCTTGACTTCTTGTCTTTCTCTTCTTTATTACGCTACTCATTCTTCGTCTCATTCGCACAGGAACGAAAAGCGAGGTGGAGGAATAGAAAGAGAGAGGGGAGACGGTCAAGAGGCGATTTCTACAAAGGTCACCAGTACCACAGCCCATTTTAGAGCTATGCGAGCCTTCAGAGATACCAGACAAAGTGCTCTATCTAGCTTACTGACTGTCTAAAGTTACCATTTGCTAAGTTCTGTGAGAAAAATAATGTATTGCCATGCGCCTCTTGACCGTCTCCCCTCTCTCTTTCTACATGCGTTGGCGGTACCTGGCAAGTGCTATCGTTTTTTTGCACCACACACTTTTCACTCAGTAAGGATTAGCGTGGACAAGATTTGTGGGAAACTTTCGAGTGACGTTTTATCTTGCGTAGCGTGCTTTTAAAGGTTTAAAAATATGTCAACAACCGCGCTCTTTTAGCAATTCTGGCTTTCTCACTCTAGCAGCCAGTGACGCAGACCAGGAGTGACAGTTGCCGGTGAACCGCTCAAGAATCTGTTAATCATTTCTAACACCAGAGAATCGGTGATATCACATAGGCAGGTCCGCTCTGATTATAGATATGACCTCGTGGGTTGCAGCTATAGCTATCTTTGCCGGATTTTGTGGATTCGCTTTCGATTCCGCAGATTTTCAATCTTGGCTTGCTCACAAGGAAAATGTTCGTAGTCGAAGTGGTCTTTTCAAATGAATTACCACCGTTTTGAAAAGCTTCAAATGTTATAGTGATCAAATTTCCCATTATCTGCTGTCGAACGCCAAGTTGTAAGCGTTTTTGGGTTCGGAAAGTGGATGCGCAAATACGACCAATTGGTCCACATTTTCTCGGATGATGCAGCGTTAGATATAAAAGTGCCTGGCAATACAGACTTCTGTCTAATATACTCATACTCAACACTGCGTTATTTGAGCGCTAAAGGAACCGTAACACAATCTGAGCTCTGCGTGTTTTTTTTTTTGTTTCAAAAGTCTTAAAGGCTCTTAGAAAAGCTCGGAGATGAAGACCGACTTGAAATCAGCGTTCAGATCTCTTCAGAACGGTTTAGAATTTATATCAAAACGTTGAATAGTCTTCCAGCCTGAGTATCTTCTGTGTTATGTTGTCCATTTTGAACGTTTTCTTATGTGCCTCTTGAACAATTATTTGCATCTCGATTTTATATTTTCAAGATGCTTCGAACAACTTCATGTGTGTCTCGCTTGGTGTCCAGAACTTTTGGCTTTTCGACGGCTAGAGCTGCAGAACAACCCACAAAAAAGGAGGTAATGTGAACAAGATCTTGGTTCCATATATACAACAAATTTATTTCTAGGTTGAAGCTTTGTTTGCCGAGCATCCACAAGAGCGACGAGGGAACGCTTTTAGGTACATGTTTAAGATTCGATCTAATCGCTGCAAAAGTGATTGTTTTTTTTCAGCTTGAATAGAGTCGAAATTGTCGGCGGTGTTGCAAATGACCCCATTTCAAGGACGGCAAAGAATGATCGGCCATATGCAATTTTGAATGTTATCACTAACTCGAGGCTTCGTTTGGCTAACGGAGAGTACAGAGACCAGGTATTATGCTGGTTTATTAGAACGTTGCATTGCACTCGTTGCAATGCAACGTTCTAATAAACATTCATTGCACTCGCAGTGATTCTACATATCATATATATTAAGGAGTGCTTTTGGCTTCGATTTCTTCCTTGTTTTACTTTTTGATTCTTATATGAAGATATTACTGATGGTAATTTGCAATACATACATTCCAGTCTGAACGTCACACCATAACTGCGTTTGGTAGGACAGCAGAGTTCGTTACCAAGAATATCAGAAAAGGTTGGTGAAAGGAACCTTACTGTCCTTCTTTTTCTTGTATGTTGGGACTTTGCATGAGACCGTTTATAGGCACCGTCCATCCTAAGTTGAGGGTCTTGAGCTTTTGGCAGCATAAGCCAATGTTCAAGTCGCGCGCAAAATGTCGCTTCGGAAGCGAGAAAATTGCTCCGGAATGACGAAGATGCACTAGGACCCGCAGACGGCACCGCCCTCCTCCTCCAGGCCCGCCCATCCGTGCGCGTTCAATCAATCACCGTTCCGGAGAACCGGTTTGAGGGTGCTCCGGATGATTGTGGATTGTCGGGGTTCTCGCGGTTTTTCGAAATTTATGTTCGGAATTAGGGACATCAGAAGGCCCTGAAACGACAAAAATCTGGAGGTCGAGAATCTGGGTGAACGGTGCCCTTATGGTCGTAGTTGTCATAGTCCTTTTTCTCACCATTAAGAAGTGCGTCGAAGGCGGCATGCAGGCAAATCTGGACGTATGGAGGGGGGGGGGTCCACATCCCATGTGGGAACTGATTCTGGGGCCCAGTTGAGGTAATGAGAGCAACGCAAATGGCGCAGTTGCTGCTGGGATATTCATTAACCAAATCCTACTACCGTTTTCGGACCATAAAAGCATGTAAGCCGATAAAAGATCAACTGTCGGACAACTTCCGACAGTTACGGTAGCGGGACAATTTATGGACACTGCCTTCAGTTGAAATTTTGATAGTTTTAGCTTATAGGGACGGTCGTGTAGTGCTATCAGAAGCCGACCTGAACCCAAGATTCGCACCCCTACACCAACCAACCTCTTTACCGCCGAGAACGGTAGATTCGTCAGGGCCCTGCGTGGTCGCGAAGGTCGCTGAGTTTGCGGCCATCGCACACGATGGATCCCACAATACCTCAAATAGTTAAACAATCGCGTATTTTCAAGATCGCTTCAAGTAATTGATAATCAAAAGCGAACATCTGATAGCAGAATAGCTTTGACAAGAGAAGGGAAACTAAGAATACCGAATGCGCAAACAATGGTCGTACTAAGTTCACCTAATTTTGCTACCACGCAGAGCCCCATAATAGGGGCTACCTGGGAGGTAAGGCGCTAATTCGGTAGTTGGCGACAAGTCACTGGTTCGCACTTCGGTAGCCTCTTCGACTACGAAGCAGAATGCGTTTGAATCATGCCCGCTTGGATTACAAAGACGCCGAATTTTTCTACCTTTTTTCAACATAACCCTTGTGCTTGAAACCATATAGGGCGAATATGCGACTTTTTAACTTTTCATCCCATTTACGTTCACTGAACCAAGATGATGTTGCTTTTTACATATACTATCGTTCAAGGCCAGCGAGTGCTCGTGAATGGCCGTCTCCATTACACCGGTGGACAATTAGATGATCAAGGTGTTCGTAGCCCACGACAGACACATATTCATGCTGAGAATATACAACCGCTTGCTCGCCGTGAAAATCCAGATCAGTCAGACTCTTCTTAATCTCCCAGCATTTCTTCATCATTTATGTTATCTCTTGACCTCATAGTTCAGTAGGATAGGTTTTATTCATGTTTTTATTCACACATTGTGTTTGCCATCTCTCGTGGACTTCGTCTGTTCTAATGGGCAGACGTCGGATTTGCGAATTTAGGTGTAAAAATTGTTAGTTCTGTTTATTGTTGTTGGCTAACTCGCTTCATTGTTGCACATTTTAAAGAAGTTGTATAAACTTTTCTTTGGTAAATGAATACTTGTGCGACATTACGTCTTTTTTGAAGAGTTTGACCTCTGCTTATTTCTTACTGAAGTTTATAAAATTGTGCTGTTTCTACAGCTGTTGTCTTTCCATTTTGTAAGACTCGAAGGCACTATTCTTATTCAGGCATGAACCGCACTGGGTTTTATCTACTGAACATCCCGCGGCAGGCATGCGCTATGCGACAAAATATTCAAAAGTGAGCCACTTTTTTGATGTGGAGTGACTAACCGCGATCTGTTTTGCTTTTCGTAATGCTTTCGCTTTGCGCGCTTCTCCGCAAGATTTTTGAAATCGTTCATGCTTCCCATTACCTTACGCCCTCTGTAAGAGAAGTTTATTATTCTCAGGTCAGATTTCTGATCTAAGCTTCTGTTAGTTCAAAATTTCTTCACTAAGATTCAAATTGCTCAGGTCATTTTTTCTTGGAATACTATTGACAAGTGTCATTATTAACGTATTGTATCATGTTGGATTACAGTTCCATCAATCCTGCATCCGCTTGATTTTTTTATCCATAATTTGCGGACAATTCGACTTCAAGCTTCAGCATTTTGCTTCATGTGCTCATGTTATTCTGCATATCAATAAACTCTGTTTCCTTTTCTATGTTTGCATAACTTTTTTGCTATTCAAGGCAGGACTTTCCTTCTCTGTTTACCTTCACATACTCTGTACTGCTTCCTGTCATCCTTCATTCAGGTCGGTAAAATTCTATTCTGCGACTATGGGTCCTAAACCAGTCACACGTGATGAGCTTCTCAGCAGATTCGATACATTTCTTTTTGATGCTGATGGGGTTCTGTGGACTGGTGATGTGCCAATCGCAGGCGCGGTTGATTTCCTATCGACCTTGGAGAAGGCAGGAAAACGAATATTTGTTATCAGCAACAATTCAACAAAGACACCAGAGCAGTACATGGAAAAAGTGGAACACCTGGGGTTCAAAGGGGTGAAGATGGAACAACTCATCACTCCAGCCATTGTGTTAGCGGCTTACTTCAAAGACCGACCAGAGTATGCTGGGCAGAATGTCTATCTCATGGGAGTCGAAAACTTGAAGAAGACCTTAGAGACTAGAGGTGGAGTGCGATGTTTTGGAACCGGGCCAGATCATTTTGTCAGTGGGCAAACATTCTCCTACACTTTCGACGCTTCTACGGTTCCTAAGGCTGTAGTCTGCAGTTACGACGGTCATCTGAGCTATCCGAAGATACAGAAAGCTGCGACGTTTCTGAAGCGCCCGGGAGTGGAGTTTTTGGTCACAAATGAGGACTACACTTTCCCTGGTCCTTATCCAGATATCGTTGTTCCTGGAGCGGGCACTACATCGGCCGCTGTTCGAGCAGTCTCCGGACGGGTCCCTATCGTTATAGGAAAGCCGCACAAACCCATAGCAGATTTTTTGAAGAAACATCATCATATCGATGCCTCGAAGACAGTCATGTTCGGCGACCGGCTAGACACTGACATCCAGTTCGCGAACGACAATGGCTTCACAAGTTGTTTTATGCTTACCGGCGTGAATACAATGGATGACGTGATTAAGGCGGAACAACGCGGACAAACTCATCTTTTGCCGACGTATACATTCTCATTCTCTTCTCATTAGTTTGATAATGCTCTTGCTAAGTCAACATTGCTTGGCATACTTATTGTTATTTAGTCTTTTGCTGAGACGCATTCTATGAACTGATCAGAACCATTATCGTTTTGAAGCTTTGTTCCTCTGTTTTCTGCTAGGTATCTCTGCATGGTGTGATGTGTGACATATGACTCCTTTTTGTGGAATTATTGTTTTTAATGGAAACTGACTCTCAACTGTTGAATTTTGTGCTTTCCTGTCTGTTTAGAGTCTCTTCTGACTTGTGAGTCGTAGACTAGCTGTTGCCCTAGATAATAAAAGTTTAGGTTTTCGACCACTGTTAGCGCATGGAAAAGCGGAGACGTAAAAGATCACGGAGTGGAGAAAGCACCCGAGCAACCAGCAAAACCTCAAGGATGGATCAGCAAACTGTTGGTATGCTTTGAACGTCGTTTAGTTTTTTCTTTCTCAAAAAGACGAGAATTTAGTCTGGCCAACAAATGGACCCCAGTGGTTGGCAAAAGCAGAGTCACTCTAGCCTTCTCAGTACATCAGAGCATATCTACGAATTTGCCAGTACGCGCACTATCATATCCTTGTCAAGTTCTTAATAGCCTGGTCTGCATTTTCAGCACACAATTATCATCCTGGACAGAAGGATAAGTATCTAGAAGTTTTCGGCAAGTACAAGCAAGAACAGAGTGAGAAAGTGGGTTTTACAAGATGATTTCTCTCATGCTATATGCCAAGCTTGTTTGTTATTGTTGAAGAAATCTTTCAGCTACCATCGGTTAATTTGATTGGTTCGTGGACTGTGTCGTACGGAAGAACAAGAGATCAAGCCATACATTTGTACCGACACACAAACGGATACAAAGATGTGGATAAGTAGGTCGTTAGCTGTTTTTTTTTTGCTAATATGTTCTCTTATATGGTAGTAGATTTGGTTCGCCTTAAATAGATGACTCATCTCGATTATATCGGCTTATACTTGCATATGTTTTATTCGTTGTTGTCACAATCGAGTGCGTGCCCTTTTATAGTGCGAAGTGACTTAGGGCAACTTTTTTTTTCGTCCCAACTTTCAATGCCGTATGACTCAGCGCTTTTTTTGCACGCCTACTGCAGAAACTCGTCAATACTTAGTTTTTTATCGTCTTATCTGTTTCACTATAGCTCATCCGAATTGATTCCAGCTCTATTCAAATGCACGCGACAGATGGTGCACTCACTACAGCTGACACTGAGGTGGCGAAACTTTGTGGACGTCGAAAAAATATCATTGTGAAGTCGTTCAGTTACTGGCGTGAGCCGGAACAACGACCACCCTCGCATGTGTACGATATGCGTAGTTATGTACTTACCGTGAGTGATAATACATCGTTTTATGATATCGTTTACTGCATTCCTCTATGTATTGTGACAGTTCATTTTGCTTGTTTTTCAGCCTGGATCAATGATCGAATGGGCTAGCGCATGGTCTAAAGGAATAACGTATAGGCGAGACGCTAATCAAGATGTGGGAGGATTTTTCGCTCAGGTAATGTTTTTCGGGAAATCTTTATTCTTCCCACTTTATACGCTTCTGTTTCCCATGCCAGTCTCTTTTGCTATCTGTATTAGTCAGTGATTCTGTCTCCATCCTTATCTGTTTTCTTACTTCCTCAGTCAGTGACCAACGTTTTTGCAATGGTTCTTCATTGACGTCATTTTCATCAAGATTCATCTTTCCATCTTATTTCATATTTATGATTAATAGACTTCGATCGTTGCAGTTTCTCTGTTTTCGCACTTACTCATCGTGACTAAATGATTTCCACGTAGGTTTGCACAGCAAGCATCTAAGGAAAGTATAATGATGATACCTGGCATGAATTATCGTGCAGTCTATTACTGGTCACTTTTAGATCGTCTGCGTTTTCTATCTGTTGCAATTTTCAAAAGATTTATTTTCTGCTAGCGCGACAATTGTTTTCCTTCTTCTCGGTGCATATCCTGTTTTTCTTCGCTTATGCACTAAATTAGATTTTTAATGTACTCGACTATGGGTTCCTTCATACTACGCTGCGCGCGCGGCGTACGCCACGTACGCCGCGTACGCCACGTACGCCGCGTACGCCACGTACGCCGCGTACGCCGCGTACGCAGCGTACGCCGCGTAAGCCGCTGCAGCGCAATGGAATGTCATTATTTGACTCTGATTTCCTTTTTCTTGTCGGTCTGGTCACTCTGTATCTATTTTAGGGAGTGCGGAGCACACGTTAGACTTTCTCACTGACTGGAAAATAGAAGGGCCTTAGCAAGATTCTCAAACTTCAGATACTAAATTAAAACAGTAGGTTTCAGTGGAAGTGGTGTTTACTATCACGCGTTTTAGGCTTACTTTCAAATATATTTACATCTGCCAAATTGAAATAACATCTACGTACATCACTGACACTGCATAATGAATAATGAGCAATGACAAATGGGAAAACGATTTCTACAAGAAGATTACGGGACCACTCTTGTCACCGCTACTGTTTGCGACAAGAATTATAATCTCCGAGATGTTGCTGACGTTGCTGACGGAGAAAAAACAGCGATCGAGGAAACACATGCTCAAAGTAGGAGTTGCTGCGTGACAAATATGATCCAGCAGTCAGTGAGAAAGTGTAACGTGTTCTCCGCACTCCCTAGAATAGATACAGAGTGACCAGACCGACAAGAAAAAGGAAATCAGAGTCAAATAATGACATTTCATTGCGCTGCAGCGGCGTACGCGGCGTACGCTGCGCGCGCGGCGTACGCTGCGTACGCGGCGTACGCGGCATACGCGGCGTACGCCGCGCGCGCGGCGTAGTATGAAGGAACCCTATCGCAGCAGACAGTTTACAGCTATCTACTTTCAGTCTTTTGAGTATTCTTTAGCCGACGTAATGTTCTGCGAGATCGCAGTCTGTTGGAATCATCAATATTTTTTTGCACTTGTCATGGTCACCGAATCAATGTGTTTTTCTACAGCGCGCTATGTACTTGATCGTTAAGTAGCAAAGTTCTAGTAGCAAAGTTCTCTTAGTTCGCTGAACATACATTTCTTGGTCTGCTATCCTATATTTATTTCCCCCAAAATAATATTGAACTTCTCAGGGATCAGTGCATAATATTTGGCTTGTTTCGCTCGGCAGATGCTGCACTTCAACTCTCTTAGCTTCCCTAGCTTTCGTTATGAATTTTATTTTATGAAGGAATTATAACCAGTCTGATTCGTTATCAGGACAATAAAGCTGCTTGGAGCTCAGAAATTCATCGCCTTTGATAACTTTAGTAATCTACATAGATTTGCCTCTCTAATCTCGACATGGTCTTTGTGTAGTGCCCAATGTGCGAGAGCCATATTCATGTTCCATCTAAAATTCATGTTCCTCTTATCTTTATTGTAACGGTTCGATGACTGAACATATGTTTGCTCAGGTCGGCCAGCTCTACATTGTGTACCATATTTGGGCATATCCATCCATGTGTGCTCGAAATGAGACTCGTCACGCAACATGGGCAAAACCTGGCTGGGATGCTACTGTGGCCTACACAGGTGATTTTATATCTAGATGTTTCTTGATTCTTACCTTCTTCCTTCCATATCCATTAAATACGCTCAAGGCGTTTCAGAACACTAACAGAATTGTGTTTTGGTCATACAATAGAACGCAACAGTAATGGATGTACACCATATCATCCCAAGCCCAGACTAAATAGATCAGGTTGAAAATTGTGTGGGGCCTGCTTACATAAACGTGGAATTTTGTTGAAAGCTTTTGACATCTCAGAGAGTTTGTACGATATGTTATTCTTCGCACAGTGATAGCATACTAATCCGATTTTATCACATATCGCTGATGCATAGCTTAGCTATTCTTATCAGTACTTAGTCTATATATCGGTTCATATTGCGAGTTCTTAGTTCAGTTTCTATTTGCAAAGAACTATGCGTTCTAATCTTTGAGCGTTGATGAGTTTTTATCATTTCTCTGTTCTGCATTTCCGTTCAAATATAATTTTTTGTTAGAGCCTTTTATTTCCATTTGTTGAGGAGGGGCATTAACAAGCAACTAATTAGCAAGATTATCGTATTACCAAGGGGATTATGATACAACAAAAGGATTCCATTGATTTCAAGATTTGGAACTGGTTTCGTAGTGCGCGATAGGATGGGCATCGAATCGAGCGCTTGCAAAACGACCAATTTCTCATTTATTATGGGAGTGCATCAAGTCTGACGTGGCGCTAGAGTTCAGACCTTTTGTTTGATAAGTGCTCAATAATCGTATGAGATCAGAACATAAACATTTCTGTGTTTATGATCGCTCGATGAGGTCATCGCATTAGCTGTTTATCACACTCCACATTTCCCCATGCATCCTAGAAATTCTGCTTTGCTATGAAACATGGTTCAAAATAATCGAAATTACTTTGTTGTCTTAGCACTCAAAAACTTTACTTCTATTGTTAATCGATCCTTCTGGACGAGTGGGGGCCCGCTATTGACTCTAATATCTCTGAGCTGCTATTAGCGCTTGTTACTGGTCGCTGTTTTTTTTTTCAACACCAAGCTATTGCGAAATTTTGCGTTTCTGAACCAAAGATTCTTGCTAGTCATTCTTTACTCAAAGTACCGTTTCATTTTGTGAGTCGTGACTCTCTATTTTGCGTAATCAACTTACAACCGAACTCTAGTTTCTTGCAAACTTGGGTTCATCTCCCCCAAAACTTTCCTTTCTTTGAGTGTCATTAAGCTCGCCTTTATTTTCAAGGTTGGCGTGCTTAAATAGTTAGGAAATACTTTACACCTCAAATTACCGTGTGACATCCTATCCTTGAGCTTTGCCACTTGTTTTGTATAAAACAAATCGTTACTTGCAGTTCCGCTGATCAAGAAGATGCAGTCGAAGATCCTGACACCTACCAAATACTCCATGCTGCAGTAGAAAAATTCACATCTAACCTGGAAAAATGCCTTTGAAAGTCTACCTCATTTTATTCACCTCATAGGTTGCCAATTACATCATTATATGTACCTCTTACGTATATATGTTGTTAATACTACTCGATATGTGCAAATTTGAAAATACGTTGTAACAATTTGTATGAAGTTTTATCAAACAATCTATATGCAATTTTAGTGACTTGTTTTAATAAATGTAAGTATCGTGAATTACAATTTTGTCGAGCTGTTTATGGCAACATATATTTCCACTCTGATTGAGAGCTGAATTCTTGATGATAAGCTTTCTAATTTCCAGGTCTTTCCATTTAGGATCAATGGCTAATCCCTTTGAAGACGATTATAAAAGCAGCAGTGCCACAAAGAACAGTCAGTTTTTGTTTTCCTAATTTTTGTTGTGGTTTTCACATGACCTTTCTTTGTATCATGCTCTTTTTTTTTAGCAAAGTTGAAAAGCTATACGCACACAAACAATATCGAAGATGAGGCTGATTATTACGAGAAGGAGATTGAAAAGTACATGCAGGAATCTCTAGACAGTACTGAAAGATCTCGACGTCATTTGGAGAATTCCGAAAAGATCGGCACTCAAACTGCTCAGGTACCTCATTTTCCATTCATTGAGTGTCGTTTGCTTTTCTTATTCCGATGTTCTGATCTAGTTAATCAAAGTTGCATTGAAAGGCAATAAAAACTTGGAAGTTCTTTTCTATAATGGCTGTGCTTAGGATCTACTTGAACAACGCGAAAAGCTGGAAAGAACTGAGCGTAATTTGGATGAAATTCATAGAACGACACAGGTAAGACGCATCAATTGGCTCAGGGATTTTATTGGGAACTCATTCTGGTCATAATCTGATCTAATTTCAAGGTCACGCAACGTAATCTTAACAGTTTGAAGTCTGTGTTTGGTGGATTCTTTAAGAATAAGTTTAGCCGAAAACCACCGGAGTCAGTCGCTGAGGTATGTTTGCTGAACTCCGTTACATTATACTGACTTAACATTTTTCTAGATGCCACAATCCAAGTCTGCCTCTAAACTTGCTGATACTGTTGGAAACCTTAGTACGGGAGGTTCTTCAGCCTCGTTTTCTGGAACGTCCTCTGCAAAGCCAACACTTAGCGAGTCGAGCAGAAACGCCATCAAAGGAACACGCTGGGAGGCAATGGATAATCAGATCGACGAGAATCTCGGTAACTTTGTCGAATATGATTGGTGTTTGATCTAGCTAGCCAACTTTGTACACAGATATGATGTCCAAGAATCTTCGCAACTTGCGACTTTTGGGTGAGGACTTAGGCCGTGAAGTTGACGAGCAGAATCAAATGCTAGATCGTATCCAGACCAAAGCTGATCGCAATGATGCTATCGTACGTGTACAGGATAAACAGGTGAGAACACTTTTCTGTTATCTCTTATCATCATATTAGAAGTGTTGTTCCTTTTTGGCGTTGTTTAGCATATTATACTTGCTTTTTACAAGATATCTCATTTAGATGCAAAAAATATTGGGTTCTGCTGAAAAGGCCGAAGAAGCGGCAGGGTCAGGCTTGACACCAAGGTAAGCTCTTTTCATATTTTTATTGCCTGAGAACTTTGTGTTTTTCGATTCGTGAATGTTGCGTGATGTTTTTCATCTTCTAATCTTATTCGGGTACTTACATATACAAATTTTCTCAATACTGAGATGAAATTTAAAATGCTTTCTTTATGGAAAGTGTTTATTGTTCCTCGCTTTTTGTTCGTTGGAACTTATATAGATTTTTTCACAATTTTTAAATTTTTGTTCTAGTTTGGATTCGTCGACGAAGATGGGGCTCGCAATGAAGGCTACAAGTCTTTTCCGCTGAATAACGTCTACTTTCACTTGAGCAATCCGCAGGCGAGAATTGTTCATTTCTCATTCCATATTTCAAGTCGATGTGTGCCGTTTTTGTCTATTTTCCTCCGCATCCAGTGATACAAGGTTTTCTGTGATGATCAATAACTTTGTAATTTCACAGCTTTTTCCTCGTTTCTCCGCTATCAAAACAATGATTTGTGAATGTAGGTTTTTGTAATTCCAAGAATACTCAAATTCTGCTACTTAACAGAAGATCGGGATAGGGGTGACAGAGATTGGGAAATAACAACTTTTTTGCTCTGTAATTATATATTTTAACGAAATAAAAATACGCTCTTTATTCTTCTTCATCTTCACAAATCCAATACATTCGGGACAAAGGCAGATAGGCTGAGCAAATCAACTTTTCTGAGTCGAATACGGTAAGTAGAAAAGTTCCAAATGAATTCAATTTCAAATAGCAATGGAAAACGCAAAGTAGTAAAATGAAAATTTCTGGCACACAAAGGCGTATCTTTCTTAGCACAATGTCGAAAATACGTAACGTGATTAAAAGAAAAAACTCAATAGGCAACTAGCATTCATGATTATGCAAAAACTTTGCTAGTAAGTGAATTAATCAGTATCTGGAAATGGCGCCCGGCATAAATATAGCTGTAAAAAAAGAAAACGAAAATCAAAAAAGCATACAACCGAATAAAGGGAGTACAACTGTTTTTCACCGTGTGTTTACGTCTGTTTATGGATTGGGACAGTTGGATGAGTTGGTTGGGAGCAAACAACTACACAAATAGCAGAGGTCGGTCTGTTTCGTGCATGGATCGCGTCGATGTGTCGCAAGTCGTGGCATTGTCGGTCGCTATCAGCGTCGGCGGTCCATCTCTTGTTCACGTTTATAGCTGTACTCTTGTGTTGCTTCACTGGAAATAATATAGAATGCAGTGCAATTTGGTAGTGAGATCGGCTGAAGAGGTTCTGCGACCCCGACGGACCTGTAATCTACGGGAAGCCCGTCCTTGCCGATTCGTCTGCCGCTATTGGCACGATTGTCCTTCTGGAATGTCTCATATCCGCCTGGGATGTGCTCGGTTCGGTAGTCTCTTTCATGCCTAAATCATTCGGATCATGATTGGTGCTCAAAAGTCTATAGTTTTTGATCCTCACATGTTTCCGTTCGGCAGTGGCATCAGCAGCGAATCGAGGAATTCAGCCTCCAAGCGGGACATATCATCGTCATAGCTAAATTTTGTATATTTTCTCTTTTCCTGATACGAATCGTTGCTCCAACTCACCGTCTAACTTCCCGCCCGTTGTTTCCAAAGCCAGCTCTTCCCATGTCATCCCAGTCCGCTTAGCTGCGGCTTTTGCTCACGGGCCTGTAGCTATCGCGCTCTGATCTAGAATGTGACGCTGGTTTTTCCAATACAAAAGATTTGCATTCTGATACCTTCTGGGTAGAGTTGGTGGGAATTCGACAAATGGTGACATCTGTTGGCTTCCACGTCGATAAGATGAGTTTGAACGACGATCATAGTCCCCTCCGAATACATCGCCTGCAAATTAGAATTTCGCTGCAGGTCCTGTTTGGAGGAGAGGAAGTCTATAGGTAGTATGTTATGAAAAGATAAATTAAGCTAGTAGATAACACGCCATGCGCCTTACGTGACACTGCGCTGTATCGAGAATCTGAAGGACATTAAATTTGGGAATTATAGAAAAAATGTTATCGGAGGTGTACGGAGGTTCGGTGTCTTATATCGGACTGTACGTTGTTGTTTGTTGCCACGCGGGGCTTTGATTGTTTGTTGCACTGCGCGCACAGTACCTCAAACTTGGGTAATTAAACCTTTATTAGAAAATTTATCAACACATAAACGCGACTCTACAAGCGATCGATAATAGAGTAATGAGCATAAATAATGAGCAACTATAAGCATTCTGGAATCCTACAAATAAACAGACCTCTGACTAAGCATAGAATATGCCTGTGACTTTAACTATATAGAAGCTATCTGTGAATCTATGGAGAACGCATAACATACCACTAGAATCTGTAATTGCTATGCATCTGAGCGAAAGGAGCAAAATGTCAACGGTGAGCTAAAAGCAATTATAAGAATGAGAAATGATGAAGAAGTGGAAGATTAGCTACATTGAGAAATAAAATTGAAAGGGAGGAATTGCAACATGGCATTCTACGAAAATGTTTCTCTAAACTGCTTCTATCTTCTTTTATAAGCTTTTAGCTCAGCGTCCACATTCCACAGATAGTCAGCTGTAGCTCTGCGCCAGATGTTGATTGCTGTGACTCATATCAGGCGCAAAGAACATACGAATTGCGAAAGTTCGTATAGGAAGAGTGGCTAACTCCGCCCACACCACGCCCCTTTCTTGTACATCAGCATAAGCAGCCTGCACCTCAGTCTATGGAAAACGGGTTGAAAAGCAAAACTCACGGGTAGAATAGCTCTTGTGCATGTTGTTCATTCCTCCACCGCGACTCTGCTGCTGCTGGCTCCAATGCGATTCGCGAACTTCTCCATTTGGTATATACTTCAGTTCGCCACGACGCAGAGAATCGCTGAGAGATCCGTAACGAGCATGTGCGAGTCCTCTGCCGAAGTGCTCATCCTCGTATCTTTGATTATTATCTCGAAGATCGCGCTCTCTCTTTGTGCTTGTTTGACGGTAGTAAGTCTCTTGGCTGGCTGGCAGGTAGCCATTTACGGCACCACCACCGCGCGAGAGAGAACTGCTGCGCATACCTGAAATGCTTGATTCAGTTGAGAGTATGAACAGAATTGCAAGGGGTCGATCCATTCAACTCAAGCGACTTGGCTTTCATAGGATAGAGCTTTTCACTGGTGGAGTGAGTGCACAGCAACAAAGGATCAGGGCATTAGACACTGACTGGCAAAGGGGGTTAATGGACATACGGATCGACGCAAGCAGTGAGACGGACAACGGCAACGTACGATAGTGATCACGGCGAGCCTCATCGGCTGCTGCGTACGCTTCACGGACCACTTTGTCAATCTCGGCTTCGCTCATGGCACGATTCGACTCTTGATAGACGATACGTTGCGGTGGAACAGAAACGATGCGACGCTCTAGAACACGCTCCGCAGCTGTGAATAGCTTCTCGACACGGAAATATGTCTTATCCTAGTATTGAGCACATGCTAGGAAAGGGGCGAAGACAGGAGCAGCAACTCGTCTGAGTCACAAGACTATGCCTAGGCAGAATTGGTTAACTAGAGTTCCCACATGGATGTTGATGAGGAGGCTCAACTAAGCCCTTGCCCAAGCGGCAACTCATATGGCACATTCAGGACCAAGAAATTTAACAATAAACTCTTGCCCACACCGTATTTCCTCGTGCCTAGCGTCCAGCAGAGTACGGTCTGGGCGAGGGTTAGTCAAATCTGGTCATGAGTGTTCCGTACGAGCTCTCGCTTGGATGCTGACTTATTCCATGACCTTCCAGTCACTTTCCACATATACCGCGAAGCTAGCTGTGTTGTACCTCGCCCTGTTTCCGTGTATAGTGCTCAACACTTTACTGAAAAAAAAAAACACTGAAATTACCATTCAACCAACACCAAACTATAACAAACCATAGAGAAAGAACTTGAACATGGATGCAGAAAAAAACGTCAATTTGTCGGATATTTATGCAAAAGACACACCACTGAAGTTAAACCAAGGAATAGGTGTCTGTGAATGGCGTATAGAGGAGTTGGTAGTCAGAGAATTTAGGGTTCGCGCAAGTTTAACTTCCTACTCCTGACAATCTTCTTCAAAGCTTTTTTTCCATGATTAGGAGACACAAGTATAGGCTGCTGCATGACGTAGGCGCAATATCTTTGGGCGCGAACGCGGCTTTACTAGCCGCAAAGCACATGAGGCGCAGGATTCACAACGGTGAGGATACGCGCGCGTCGCGTTCGCGCCCGCTCAGGTAATACTGCTGCTGCGCCTTCGTCATACAGCAGCCTTTGCGCCCATGCACCACTCTCTAAACAAGCTTGAACGTGTTCATGCTTGATCATACCTAGTAAATGATTCCAATCAGGTAGAACACAATCATAAACATGTCAAACACACGGTAGAAAAAATCGATATAAACAATGTGCACAAGGCTCGAGTATTCTATTCTTACAAGGGAACGATCCCAACTTAAGGTGGCGAATTGGAATGAACCGCATATCATTAGATGCGTCTTGATGAGCTGATTGCAAATCTACCTTCCATATCTGCGACAACGTTATCTGGAAGAAGTTATGAAAGGTTAAAAACGTGAAGTAACGGGGGTTTTGATGCATAATTTGCTCTAAAATCCAACTTGGAAGTGCACGACTAGCATCATATTGAGTGTACTGATTTCAAGGAATGCTCACACTCTTAAGAAACACAAATAAGTGTTTTTTAACAACTAATTTTCGAGGTATTGCGCTGTATATTTGCCAAATTTAGACTTTTCATTTCTCATAGCTTTTACCAAAGAACTTTATTTGCTTTTGAGCCGTTCAAAAACATTTATGTGCGTTTCTTTTGAATGTGAGCATTCCGTGAAATCAGTACACTCAGTATGATGCTAGTCGTGCACTTCCAAGTTGGAATTTAAAGCAAATTATGCATCAAAACCCCTGTTGCTTCACATTTTTAACCTTTAATAACTTTTTCCAGATAACGTTGTCGCAGATACGGAAGGTAGATTTGGAATCAGCTCATCAAGACGCATCTAATAGTATGCGATTTATTCCAATTCGCCACCTTAAAGGCAGCGTCCGGGCAAAACCTCGACTTCCATGTTTCTAGCGTTTCTTGCTTTTTCGATGCCCCTGAATCTAAATCCGAACCGAGAATTGCTTGAAATCTCCAAAACCCCGTTTCTGGAACCCTATTTCAATAATCGCGGACGAGTGTTCCGAAATTTATCTGGTGTAGTGACACGTGAAAACATGTGTCAAAGGTAGAAACACTGCGTGTAACGACACGTCAAAGGGGCGCGTCAAACATGTAAGCTCGTCTTCGTAGGCGTAAGGGGAGCGGAAGGAGGAAGGGGAGCGGCACTTGACCCGCCCACTTTCAGAATTCACATTTTCGGGGCGGACTTGCTGTTTTGTCTTAGTTGAGGGGAACCTGTCGAAATGTGACAGCATCTGAGGTAGGTCAATTTTGCCCGGACGCTGCCTTTAAGTTGGGATCGTTCCCTTGTTAGTCGTCCCATTTGGTCTCCCCTCAGTTCCTCTGACTTCCAAACCTCAATCTCTCCACAATTTCAAGATTTTTAATAACTAGTCAGAGTCAATGTGCAAATTGAAGGCGTTCGGCCAGCAGCGGCAGATTATGTTGTTTAGCATGCAGAAATCTTACCAGAATATCCATTCTCCCAATTGTCGCGAGAACCATGCGAAGCATGTTGACGCGACGATGAATGCTGTCTGGAACGACGATCACGACGTTCTTTTCGTTGCACACGTCGTTCGACTTCTTCAGTTCTGCGAGTCTCTGCGAAACGTTGCACAGTTTCGGTTACGGAGGGCTAAAGAAGTAGATATGGCCTTTTTCAAAGAAGAAAAAAGCTGTGTATAGGTAGGTGTACCTTGCTGACGTTACTTTGAGTTCTGTGATATTGTCGTTCCATGAGCTGATTTTCAGCCGATGGATGTAGCATCTGATCTCTGGTCTCTAGCTCTCGTCGCTTCATTATGCTCCTTGGCTTATCATCCTAAAAAAGTGAGTTCTCTTGCTTTTTTTGGTAGGATAAGGCTTCATGAATTGACTGAACAATTGGATCGTCAACAAGAATAGAGTTACTGGTTAGAAGAACACAGCAAACGAGCCTTCACTCTAATAAAGGTACGATCAGCAGCAGTGAGCAGCGGCATCGACGCGAATCGCTCGACTTTGCGGTCGTATACCTCTTGCATTTGTCGCGACGAGCGCCCGGATTCGGCCACCGACGTCGATTCTTGCGCCGCGTACGACGGCCACACTCTCTCCTTTTCTCTCTGAAAGCGAAGCGCAAAGCTTAGGGGTTATTGAGCCCGGCATGTTAGAGGCCTAACGTTAGTGAAGAAGAAGTACTGTTGTGTCGATAGAAAAGAGGAAAATATCGGATAGCGAAGTGTGGCAGACCTTGAGAATGTCATCTCTTGCACCATTCACTGAGACAATTGATCGCGGCGAAAATGATTGCGTAGAAAATTGCCACGTAGCTGTTGAAACATCCTGCAAACCGCTGGTGTTAGTGTGAAAAGACCGAAAGAACACCCTTTTGTCGTGCCACGCTGGAGTGTCGTTTATACTCGACCCGCGAGTATAAGCGATAATGTTCCAGCGGGCCTTTCTGAGAGCAAGGTGTGAACGTAGGTGGTTTGTTAGATCACTCGCACGCTACTAGAGGCAAAGCAACAGCTAGAATACCGTGACATATCCGGAACGATCGTGCTCCTTGGTGGTGGACGTTTCGAGCGAATTTCGCGACTCAAGCAGATCGCGAACTTGATCCTGAATTGTAGTTTGCAGCTGCGAAAACTTCGTTTCAATTTCTTTGCATGTTTTCGTGTAGATTTGAATATTAAGGGGCTAATTGGGCCATACCTTACAGTGCGGTATTGGAAGTTATGTCCAGGCAGTTTTGAGTACCTAGGCGTTTTTGTAAAAAAAGGTTGGGAAATCTTCTTAACTAATGCTCAAGCGTAGTTCATATGATTCATTCGTGGCCAAAAAAAAACTCAACATCGAATTCTTGATCATATGTAGCGCCGCTGAATGACTTACTTATGGTCCCTAATCACCATTTACAAAAGAATTTCAATGTAGATTTACCCATGCTCAATAGAAAATGCTGTCAGAAACCTAATGTTCGCTAGTAACTTTATCACTTTGTAACTATAGTACTTTCAGTGACTGCCACTAATAATCAGAGAAAATCATTTATCCCTTTTTGCGGGGTGAGAGCGTGAAGTTGAATGCAGTAATACTTGGCTTGAGTATACAAATTCTTATAACTGGAAAGGGGCATTTTTACTTACTGCTTCAGAGCGTAAAAACGTTTTGCGAATACTCGAGGAAAGATGGACTGCTTAGGATGGGTACGATAAAAATATATTGACAGTAGACCCACTTTGAATGCTTGAGGAACAGGTTCGGGTCCCTCTTTGACGATTTCCGAGTCGATGAGCTTGTAGCCGGCACGACGCTCTCGCGACCGTTCAAGCAGTTGCTCACCCTTCCTTGCCAACTCATCCAAATCTTCGTTCTAGAGTGCGATTGAAAGCGAAGCGAACAGCCATTTGGTGTCAATACACAACAGCAGCACACACACGCACACGCACAGCACTCATTCACGCCGCTTCGAAACTGGGACGTGCGACGAAAGTGGACGAGTTACACGAATGCACAAGGAAAAATTTGCGCGCATAATAGACAGCTTCCAGAGTTGCTCGTATGTCAGAGCTGTGTCAGCTTCGTGCCAGAGCCGTGCCAGCCCAGTGCCGCAACTCACGTGCACTTCGTGTTGATCCATCAACGTTCCGGCGTTGCGCTGGAAATGCGCTGGTACGAGCTATTAAGGACGCAGCCCAAAAATTCATGAAAAATTTAATGTCTTTTCTTTTGTGATTTGTAGACATAGGAATGTGAGCGCATCATACCGCGTTTAAATACTGCTTAACAGGTGGGCATTGTTAATGAGCACATCAACAATTTTTCAGAAAAAACAAAACCAAATTTCTCTAATAATTATTTAAAACTAATCAGACTCTTTAACCTGACGACCACGAAAAACACCACCACCGTATTCACAAGGGCTTGCAGCAACTCACTTCAGCGAAAAATAGTTTACAGTGCAGATGCCTTCCTACTTACTGTCTGTTACCGTAACCTGCTTACAATGCGCTACCGTAATCCTGCACAGTGCGCAAAAGCTTGCGCCGTTGTTTCACACGCGCTTTGTCCCTTACTTATTCGATCTGGACAGTTTCACTGGAAATAAAAATTTTGTGCGCTGGCACGTTGCAACAAATGCAACGAACCTACGTAGAGCTGCGCCCGGTTACGGTAGCATACTGTATGGGCAAGCAGGCACTCTTCGCTTCCCTGCACCTTCCCAACTTTAGTGTAATTGTTGCATTATTGTTTTACGAAAGGAGCAAGCTATCTGCCATAGACTATCATAACAGTATCGAATAATAAATGACAAAGAATTGATGAAGTAATCAATCTACAATTTCCTTCCAGTTATGCCCACACGTCCCATTTTCGAGAGTTAGATCACGTTTTGACGACGTCACAACACTTACACCCTAACATACACACGCCTGAGCTTAGGGCTTACCTTTGGGGGTTGATTGGCAGCCTGAAAATAGAGTTAATCATCATCGTTCAGCCATACACACTTATACATAGACATAACAGTGAACACTCTAAGACTAGACACACATATGACCTCTGACCCCTGAAATATCTGAAAATTCTTGAATTAGAATAAAAGAGTCAAATCGTTACCTGTTATGCGCGAGCGAGGATCCACTTCTTGAGCTATGAACGACAAAACACCAACAATTGTAACATGACGATCAGGTAATTTGTAACAATCTCACAATTTAACATATTAACTGAATTTTGAAAAGACTTTTGAAGAAAACTAGACTAGCTAAGGTCATCTGGATAATGATAAGGGGCATTGAAAGGATAAAGAGAAAGATTAATATCAGTAGCACCGATGAAAAGTCCTTCAACGAGGTTTATTCGAGAGGTTTGGAGGACAGTTTATAAGAAAAACAACGCTAAGTTCTGTAGTGGGATAGGTTCAGTTAAAGATACTGGGAACTAGGGCTGAGTCTACGATCTCTCATTAACTGGAAATTTTGCGGATCTTGACGATGGACTCCACCACGTTACGAATCATTCGTTTTGTGTGGCCAGGTGCTGGTGACAAGGCCCGAGGGTCAGGCGCGGGATCCCCGAGCTGGAAAGGGGAGGTGTCATTTGAGAAATCAACAGTTTGTTCAGCCCACTCACCGTGTAACCTGGCGGTAGAGGGCGAGGCACGTATTGTCTTGCCCTGTCGTACGATTTGGGCGATGGACCTGGGGCGGTCACTTGGCCCATTTTCGTTCGAACGCGAATCGCTGTCGGGGTGTCAGAGCGTGATGCTGGTGAAATTGGCACAGAGGAGGATGGGCGACTGTTCTGACCCGAAGTGCTGGGGTGCTGTTCTTGAGTTCGTCGCTGAAAGCTGACCAATCAGGTGCAAATTCAATGCTGACCTCTGTTCACAAAACACTAGTTGCTTGAAGGCGCCCAGGTGGTTTTTGAGACGATGTTTTTTAATCGCTCGATCTGTGTGGGGCAGTGTTTCACCGCTATAAACGAGTTACCGATTGAGCGATGGGCGCTCGTTTATAGCGGTAATAGCGTCCAATCCATAATCGGGGAATTGAGGAATTCCACCCCTAGAGTTATGCGCATACCGTTGAGGGACCTTAACTAACCCAAAGCTCAAGAGTCAGCTTATGTGTTTCATTCGTGGCCGAGAAAAAGTGCTAAATCTCGCTCAAAAGTAGGATGCTGCCCATGCTAACCATGGCCTGGCTGCGAATGCAAGATATTGCTTCTAAAGCTAGAAAGTCACTAAAGGAGTCTAAACATATACGCCCCCGGTTCTTACCATAGCGATAAAGCGTGCTGAGACACGATCGTTGTGACGCTGTCATTGGCTCCAGCGCCACGATTTTCTGCTTCGGTAAGGACCGAGGAGTGTATATGATATGGTTTAGACTTCTGAAGCGATTTTCTAGCTTCAGAAGCACTATTTTGCAGTCGCAGTTGGGCTAGGATTTGCACGGGAGCCGCTCCAGTAAACTGTTGAGACTGAGATGCACCCACATCTGCCCGAACACTCAACGTATTTGGGGAAGCTAACCAGGGCTCAGCACAGCTGGCACCGGGTCAAGCTGGATATCGTTTTTAGGGCGGAAAGCAAAGGGGATATCGTTTCTACAGGGGCCGAGGCGGAGAACTGCCGCAAAAATGCCGCCGGCATGCCATTGGCAAGCTGTCCATCAACAAACAAAGGCGTTGTTTTCAGCCAAAACGCAATAGTATGACACCAAATTTGGTGTGTGCATGCGCGTTGGTGGACCGGAACTACGGGCCAAAAATTTATGAAAACTTATGTGAATGAAAGCTGTGCCGAACTTTTTTCTGAATTAGCTGGCACCGTGCCAGCTGGGTGCCAGCTGAGCTGGCACCGACACTTTGCTCATGTAAGTTTTCATACTTTTTTACACAAAATGTATCTACACTGTAAAAGATTACATACGGAGAAGAAACAGTTTCATAATGTTCTCTTTTCAGCGTTTTATAGCAATTTGAAAACCACTCGGTCCGCTCCGCAGTCGAAAAATCGGCTTTTTCTGCTTCTCAAAATATGATTCGACCACTTAAAAAAGCTCAAAAAGCTGTGAAAAGTTCTTTCATGAAATCAGAAATGCATGAAAACACTACTACATTTTTTACATAATATAAAAATGATGACGGGTTTTCAAAACAGGTCAAAAGGAACTTCGTACGAAATTTTCAATATCAAACGGGACTTCGTTTTGAAATTTCCCTGGTGCCAGCTCGTGCCGAGCCCTGAAGCTAACTGATCCCCTCCGCAAAGGTATGGTTTGGGCGAGAGTGAGAGTCCTCACCAATAGGTAGAAATGACTTACCTATATGATTCAACAAGCTATGCAATGGCTTAGCTAGGGTTCAGATAGTATCTTAAAAGCAGCGTCGCTGGATATCTTGCTATTGAGACTTTTCTGGGCTTATATACACCCTGGCTAAGGCGCAGCTTGAGGAGCGCAAAATGTCTACGGTTCACGAAATTTTGATTTGTGAGGCAGGCCGCGCGAGGATCGGAGAGGCAGGGTAGTTATGGTACCCCATAGTATAATAATAATTGTGTGCGATATGAAACTTTAACATAGTGGAAATACGATGGGTGGGCGGGATACGGAACAAGAGGGTCTGGGATACTTCCGGAACAATTTGGATCGTGCTTTTCTGCATCAGACCTCAGGCTATTGCGATGTCTGCTCTTTCAGGTAGTCATGCCATCAGTACTTTGGACTCACACTTTGCTGACGAGGGGTCTCTCGTCTACTAGAGCTTTGGCTACGATCTTGTCGAGGCGTGGATGCTTGTGGACTTGAAACATCACGCATAGAGCCGTGTTCGAGGTACGGAAGCGACTAAAATCATTTGGTTTTACACATATGAACTGAAAGCTTTTTCTAGGAGGTTCACTTACCCCATCCATACTATACGATCGAGCATTCTCCTGATACGTTCGAGCGTTTTCCTGACGACGTTGCAGATTCTGCACAGAGCCTTGGAAATGCGACAATCGTCGCTTAACGTTGATGTTTGTCGGCATATCTTTGCCAACGATCGTGGACGAATGCGGAGGCAAGTCGTAGATCTTTTCCCAGTCATTTATTGCTGAAAATAAGAACGATAGCTAGATTCTATCCTGCTGTTGGGTCTTACATGGCTGTGATTTTCGCATAGCTTTGCGATCATAGTGCTCACCATTACTGGGCGAGTTTCGGTACCCTGAAAATAAGGATGACACTATCAGTGGGGTTTTAGAAATAGATCAATAATGGTGGAATTTTTCAACTGTACCTCCGTCAATTCTATGGAAGTTCCGTTGATGAATTACGTCTACACTTTCTTCGGTAGTGCCCTCTACAGGCGCCAGTAGGCCTTGAGCTGATGCTGGCCGATATTTCACTATCTGAGTAAGATATTAGGTTGTCCTTAAAGTTTTGTTCGTTTTTTCAACCTATCATAAAAACACGTGGAACGAACATAGAGAAACGCTCTAAGCACTACCCGACGCATCTTTTCCTCCTCTTTCTAACTTGCTCACTGAGATAAACGCCGAAATTTCGAACCCGTGGTTTTTACTATGTCCAAGTTTGGCAATTTTTCACAATCTTTATTTTAGACTTTCGGAAAACTTTGGCAACAATTAGATAGAGCAAACAAAGGGCAATATAATGCAATTTTGCCGCATCTATAGCCAGCCTTAAAAATTTTTTAGAATTATTTTTCTGATGCTATCAAATTTCACTTTTGAAGATGCCAAAAGCCAGAGATCATGAAACGGCGCACAAATAAGGTTTTATTTGATGCAGCTTTTCCTCCTCTTTCCAGTGAGTGTATTTTCTCTCCAAATTGCGGGGTCTTTGGCGATAAAATTTTCGTAATTCTTGAAATTGACCCCACCCCAGCGTGTACACGTAAAATGCAAAATCTTATATTTCGAAGCGGTAAACGCTCATTTGCTTCGTAAAAATAGTGAATAATCGTAATCGGTTTTTGAAAGCTTCAAAATCCGATGATTTGTTAGTGTTCGAGGCTTTTCTGTATTTTAGAACTTCGCAAAAGTGAAGACTTTTGAGAAAATTATCTTTAAAAATATTGAAAAGCCAGCTAGATATGCCACATAATTGCATTGCATTGCCCTTTGCTTACTCTATCTGAGGGCTATCAAAGGTCTTTGAAAGTTGAAAATGAAGATTGTGAAAAAGTGTCAAACTTGGACATAGTAAAAACCATGGGTTCGAAATTTCGGCGTTTATCTCAGTGAGCAAAAGAGTAATCGGCATGGAAACACGACAGTTAGAAAGAGGTAGAGCTTTTCCCTATCTTTGTTCCACGTATTTTTATGATAGGTCGAAAAAACGGACAAAACTTTCGGGACAACCTAATAGATAGGTCCTGGAAAAAAATGTGCTAATTCTTACAAATATATCATCGGCTAGGAAAGAAATAAACGAAATGGGAATAAAAATTACTTTTACAGCATTAGGAGCATGAGGATAAAATCCTCCGCTTGGAGTAACGCGCTCCTTTCGGAATGCTGGCTCTGGCCGGTGACTACCATCTGGTGAGGGCTGGAAAACTCCAGAATTCTATAGGGAACCTATCCAACTGCTGTTAGCCATCATACCTGTATCACATATCTTGTTTGTCGCTTCGCAGCCTCATCTAGTGGTCCCGTGCCATGACCCCCTCTAGGTGACATAGGTGGGCTATTTGTTGGTGTAAAATTCTTCCTTTCTTGTTTGAATCCGGGATCAGTGACAACGGGAGCCCACTGATATTCGACATTCTCAGTAGAGCGAGCTGGAAAAATAGTTTGATGCTAGCTGGGCCCTCTCCTGAGGCTAAAATTTTACCCATGTTGTAATCGATAGGAGGGACGCTAATATCCACTGAAGCTGCTCGAGGAACCGAGGGCCACACGTACGGCTTCTCGGGTGGTGGTTGCCATTTGCGACCTGTTCTTATGATTTCGGGTTTTTCTTCCGGTTTTTCGACAAACGCTGCTCGACGCTGTAATGACCAACCATGACATGAATAGGTGAAAGAGGAAAATTTCGAATCATATTTCGTGCAGTCTAAAGGACTCACTTCGTAATGATATTTCTTCTTAAACTTACGGTCTTAACGTTTTCATTGCCCTGTGGCTACCCTAGAGCTTTTTTATACGAGGGAGACGTGGGCGGGGCGAGACGAAGCTCAGCAACGCCTTTCGAAGATGTTTGGGATGCTTCTCACTTATTTTTCGCTGGATTTCCGAAATTCATTTTAAAAAAGTGGACTTGACAGGGCTGATTCGATTTCTCTAGATTTTATGACATTGAATCAGCGATTCAAAAATTTTAAAAAATTGTGCAAATTTTTTGAATACATCACTTCCCTTCCCGTCAATGATCACTTCCCTTTTCCCCTGCCCACCCTTATGTCGCTACTCCCTTATTTCATAGTGAAATTCTTAGCGATATGAACGGGAAAAATTCTCAGTATATGGGATGCTCATTTCATAGGTATCATGACATATTTGAGCAACGCTTATAAAACAGATTTATCTTGGTATGGTTTGGTTGCGTAATAGGATCAGTTTACTGCATAACTTTCTGGGAAAGTAAATAAAGCATTTTTGTTATTCTTCAGTGATCGAATATAAAAATGTTAAGGAAAAACAACTAGAATTTTAAACAAACCTTTAGCAAATCCACATCGTACTGCTCCCTCTCGAGTAATTGTGCGCTGCGTAAAATCTCATTCTTTGCTATCTATAATTGGTTGATAAGCTTGCATAAAAAATAATGGAAACTAACATCGTCAGGTTTTTCCACAATATAGGTTCTTTTCCATGTGTTATGCAGTCCAGTGTCTGACATCTCAGAAAGCGCCGAAATTGGCCTTGTTTCATAGACTCGCATACGATGTGGATCGTAGCCGTAATCCTAGAAAGAGCGTGCCATCTGTTTTCAGAAATTACAGTACTTCCTAAGCTTACCGGTGACATCTGTCCTGGAGCTGGTGATTGCCCGTATCTGATTGGCAGTTGCTGCTGTGACGAATAGGGAGTGTTGTCGATGACGTCAATAAATTGTACAGGTGACGTGACTCCATGGCGCTGTTCATACAGCCTCTGCTGTTGCACTTGCATGGCTCGCATCTGCAAGCATTAGGTTACAGTAATCGCTACGAAGATACTGTAGATTACAGTATGCGAAAGCCCAAGTGCGCTGACCTGTTTGGTCATAGCAATCACCTTCTCCTTCTCATGTCTACGCATTGCTTCCTCTTCCATCTGTTTCTGCCTTCGATATTCATTTATCCGTTCGGGATCTAAAGGGGAAGGTCATACTTTAATCGGTGAATAGCCTTTTCTTTTTACTTACCAGTGATGCTCCTCGCCATCACTGACTGCGATCGATGCTGTTTTTTGTCATTGAGTGGGGGCCAAATCACAACGGATGCATCCTGAACATTGAATTTTTGAAAATTGTAATTCAATAAAAACTAGCATTCGGTGGAAATGCATCATTTGAGATAACTTCGTTATTAGATTGATGCGTGATTCTGACACCAAAATGTCCAGAATTGGCTCAACGTTCACTGCATTTGTTCCTTTCAAAATATTCCAGAGAAAAAAAACAAGCCTTTCAATGCTTTTGAAAACGGTAATTATCGTTTTTCATGGCGACGATGCTGTTGGAGAGAAACATCAAAATAGATAGTGAATGGTCTAAAGAACTGGAAAGCATTTTCGATTTTCTTACAAGCCTCTGCGACTGAAAAACTTGTTGTTATCGGATGTCTCTTCGAACAGAAATGGTTAGTGAACTTTTTTATTCAACTTTTGACTTTGCAATCAATTTATCAATATATTTCATTTCATTCTCCATTTTATAGTTGCTACATTTAGTATATTATAACAAAGAGCGAATTATATGATCCTACTTTTCCGGCAGTTCGGATCTGATTTTTTATGCTGTTTGCGGTGCGCAACCCATAAATCAACCCAATACAATTGTAATATGATCTATATCTATAATATCTTGGTTTCTCAGACATAGTCAAGAAGTACTATAGACTGTTTGAAATTCACACAACAAGGCACTCACTTTAATCTGAGAAAGTTCTGCTTCCGATCTGACAATGCTCGAGAGTCAGCAAAAGAAGCCCTACTCTCATTCATTTCTCGAAGAGAGTAATCGTTTCCACCATTTACAACTTCATTCCTATAAAAAGATGAAATTCATTCATTGGCTGAATATTATGAAGGCAGGTAAATTTACTTTGAGGCGTTGACTTCCTCAAGCTTGAAAAACGGTCCATTAAAAGAGGTCACAGGAGGTTTTGGGGTGGTGGCACGACTCCTTCTCAGTCTTTCCAAATTTTCTTGCATGATGCGGTATCGTTGCTCTTCTGGAAGGTCATTGAAGCTGGTGCTCTTACTCTGAAAAATTTTAGAAGATCTCAACTGGAAAAGGGGAACAGTAAAAGCTGTTCGCTACCTGCAAAGTTCTCGATTCCCCTCTATCCACTTGCATGGTTGAGCTATTAGAATGCAGATTCTGTTGACTACTGTAATAGCCTTGTTTGATTATTGATCGTGGCTCCTTTGTAGGAGGTGGGCTCATCAACCGTTCCGGATAATCCTCGTCGGGGCCCCGTAAGATGTCCTAAAAATAAACTTTATTTGCTATTACGACCAACTAGTTTGTTAGAAAAAAGAGCAAGTTTCTTTGAGTCCAAATTCCATTCCACCCCTCTCACCCCTTACTGAGTCACCAAAAATTCCACAAACTCACTCGTGACCGTCCACCTCCGTTAGTTGACGGTTGATGCTCACTTCGCACTGGTTCTGTAGTGAAATTCACGGAAATCAATGAAGGTGTGACCTATAATATTTTTTTTACTCTCAAAAATCGCCAAAAATGAAAATATTACTTACATGTGTTCGCTCTGAGCGATTAGCAGCAGGATTTTTTTGGGGGTGTGCTGGTGCTGGCGGTGGTTCGAAACGTAGGGATTTATTATTCTTTTCACCACTTTGTCGATTTAGTGTAGTCTCGGAGCTAGTTCGATGCGATTGCGTCAGACGTTGTTCCTGAAAAAATAACATTTATGGTGTTTAATGGTATTAAAAATGACTCCAAAGAAACTTCTTATTCAAAATTTTTTCGGATATATTCTTATAACAAGTTCAGTCAGAACATAAAACTGTTGAAATAACTCAATAGTGCTTACAAATGTTGGGTAAACTACAGAAAGCTGTTTTGGTTATTTCCATTAACAGTAAATATTCACAAACCATTCTTATATTTTTCTGTTCGCTGAGTAATGTGCAAAATTGCTTTCTGAGACGGTATTAATCAATCCTGAGAACCCGATTAGGCGCTTTTAAGCCTAAACAAGCGCCCGACGGACAATGGGGCCATTTGAAAGGTAAATTAGATAACGTCCGATTTTGGTCGGGAGATTGATAAATACTGCTCAAGAAGTGAGATTTTGTTCTCAATAACTCTAAATAATTTTCATGAAGCAAGAGCTTGCTCTGGTATTGATCTGCCACAATACTGGTACATATAACCTTTGATTCAACTGGCTTGGCGGCTAGAAGGCGGGGCTTTGTGACCTAATTAAGGTCAGAGGTGCGATAGTTGGAGCCGAGTCTCCGCCTACCTTCACTTTTGAGCTGGTACCGGGTGACCACCTTCACTTTTGGGTTTGAAAAAAATTTTTTGCTGAAGATTAAAAGAAGGAAAATGAGCAAAAGAAACGAAAAAGAAAGTATTGAGAGCATATATCCATGTAGTAGGTCAATCTAGGCAGTAACCGCAGAGAACCAGTATTTCGAGTGACAAAGTAGCGAAAAATCATGCGAAATTTCCACTGTTATAAATCTGGTGGTCGAAGATGTCAGCAATTGCGACTTCATAGGTTTTGAAGAGCAAGTGTTGTTCTACCAGATAGTGGAAGAATCGAGTCGATTTGAGCAGTGGCCGCCGAGAACGAGAATTTCAAAAAATTTAGCGATTTTAGGTTGCTTAGTGACAGCTGACGTTTAAACTCCTATAAATCTGGAATGTGAAAATATGCAATGTTGCGACTTCATAGGTTTTGTGGAGTAAGGATTGCTCTACCGGAGTATGCCTTAGCCGTACCGATCCATTGAAATAGCGCCGAGATCCAGGGTCTTGAAAAAGCAGGTAAAAAACCGCTTTTTGAACTTCAACAGCTCATAACTTCTTCAGAATTGCATGAATCATGTTGCGACTTCATAGGTTTGATTCTTCTCATCAAGAGCTTTCAGATGATATATAGTATGTGGGGGGTTCAATGATTTTTGCGGCTCTAACCCAGGGTGGAGACTTTTCACCCCAAAGTCTCCACCTCGCCCATGTTAATGTATTGGCCGGAGACCGCCAGTGGAGACTTTGGGGTGAAAAGTCTCCACCCCGGGCATATGCCGTGAAAGGCGCGAATCCCCCACATATTATATATCATCTGAAAGCTCTTGATGAGAAGAATCAAACCTATGAAGTCGCAACATGATTCATGCAATTCTGAAGAAGTTATGAGCTGTTGAAGTTCAAAAAGCGGTTTTTTACCTGCTTTTTCAAGACCCTGGATCTCGGCGCTATTTCAATGGATCGGTACGGCTAAGGCATACTCCGGTAGAGCAATCCTTACTCCACAAAACCTATGAAGTCGCAACATTGCATATTTTCACATTCCAGATTTATAGGAGTTTAAACGTCAGCTGTCACTAAGCAACCCAAAATCGCTTAATTTTTTAAAATTCTCGCTCTCGGCGAGTACTGCTCAGATCGATCTAATTCTTTCACTGACTGGTAGAACAACACTAGCCCTTCAAAACCTATGAAGTCGCAGTTGCTGACATCTTCAACCATCAGATTTATAACAGTGGAAATTTCGCATGATTTTTCGCTATTTTATTATTTGAAATTCTGGTTCTCGGTGGTTACTGCCTGGATCGACCTACTTTATTCGCAGTACGTTATAACAAAATCTACTTAATGAAATATGTAAAGTCTAACTGGGATTTACTTACAAATAGACCATTTGAATAACATATTTATTTCTTTTTATTTTATTTTTATGCCGCTATACTCATCGTATTTGTGGCCCTAAAGAGGGCCGTTAGGTCACACTTGTTGGCCCTCAAGGAGACCGTTGGGTCAGAGTTCTTCAATTATCCGAAGTCCCCCCCCCTTCTCCCCCCCCCCCGCGGTCGACGTTTTTGGGAGGTGAGTGTCCGGCACTACCACCTTCACTTTTGGCCGGCCAGTGGTAGCTGGAACCACCTTCACTTTTGGGGGGCCCGGCTCCACCTATCGCACCTCTGATTAAGGTTGCTCGCGCCCGCAACGCAGTCTGCGTCGAACGGTGCATGACTCAGGCTCCAGTCTATAAAAATCGCCGAGTTACGAGCCTATGAAAACACGTCCTCATGAATTTTGCCCAAAATGTAAAGACCGCAAATCTCGACGAAACAAATCTCGAGTGTCATACAAGCACCGTGAGTGCTTGTATGACACTCGCATTGCGGATATTGTGTTCGCTTCGTCCAAAGACTCCCAATGTATTGAATATGGTACGTGCGTATGCTTCAGCTGCTCAGTTGAATATCAAAGCTATTTCGGTGGCTAGAACTCAAACTACGAAATCTAACAAAAAAAGATCCATTAAGGACGTGAAAAGATTTTGATCAGCGTGTTGTACAAGCGCTCACGGTGGAATTTCGTCGAGATTTGCGGTCTTTACGTTGGGCAAAATTCATGAGGACGTGTTTTCATAGGCTCGTAACTCGGCGATTTTTATAGACTGGAGCCTGAGTCATGCACCGTTCGGTAGCACAATTCCTAGTAACTTTGACTGAGGAAAGCAAGCAGGCAAGGTTGCTGACAGATACGCGAGAAGTGCGGGCAAATCTACGCACTTTCGTGATGCAGTTACAGTCACCTCACCGTATCTCACCAAAAAGACCCTGTAATTCTCAAAGACCACGATTTTCGTAAAGAGCGTGTTCGAAAACCTCTATAAGCGAGGTTTCCTTACAATTTAAGAGCATGAACATTTTGACCAAAATCCATCGGCCAGCTTCAGAGCGTAAAACGAGAAAAAGTGAAATTACTTGAACATCTTGGAAAACTTGCTCATAAGGGTTATTCGACCTGATTTGCGTTGATGAGCTGAGCACAGTGCATTTTTCGGATTCAGAAAATATCCACTCCAAAGAAAGTTACGGCGAGTAGAATCTGGAAACGAGTGATTTTTCCAGAATTTACCAACGCTTTTTTCTCTTTTGAAAAGAAGTCTGCGGCAGCTTTCTAGCGCACTATAATATACAAGAAGAGCACTATCGAATGGTGCTTACTGGAGACTTTCATGTTGGATAGGCGCTGCGTTACATACTTGCAACCTCCTCAGAAAAATTTAAGAAAACCGGAAACGAGGTATAGATGATATGACGTATGTCGAAAGATTCGCCTTGACGAGCTGAACACAATGCTGCTTTCGGTCAGAATATATTCATTCCGAAGGAAGTTAAGGCGCTGCCTAATTTGCGATATTCCGGAATCGCGAAATTTCTGGAATTTCGCGAAATTCCCGTTCTGTGAGTGGCATTGTACATTGCACAGCATGCGCGGCATTCCGCGATATGTGCTTCTCATGCGATTTCCAACCATTCCCCTTTGTCTTCCTGCATTTTGGGACCCGTCATACTTCGCCGAGAAAAGCCCAGTTTCACACACATCCATGCAGAATTAACTCTTAAACTATATCTGCCCTATTTCTGCAGTGTTCAACACAATGTGTATGTAGCCTCTGGAATCAGCACACTGAAAGATCCATTTACACTAAAATTCCAGGAAAAAAAAACTTATATCCCACAACTGGGCACATCTTTATACTGGAAGACGTGCCTCGCCGAGCTGAGTTGAATGGTACTCTTATATATAGAATTCATGAATTTTGAATCAAGATAAGGTCTTTTTTTATGAAAAGTTAGGCGTTGCGCGACAAAGTTAGGCGACAAATGCCGCTTTTCCGCCGACTTTTGTCGCGCGACGCGGCGTTTGTCACCTAACTGCGGCGGCGCCGCGTAAGTTAAGTGCCGCCGCCATTTTTTTTCACAAATTACGGGTGGTATTGTATCTTGGCTACTTCTGTTTGAATGCCCTCAATGAAAGCCTAAACTTATAAAAGACTAGAGATAAAAAATTCGGACTGTAGCATTACATTTTAGAAGCGCTATCTTTTTGCAAGAAGAAATTTGTATGTACCCTTTGATTCGCGGGACTTCGTGACCTAATTAAGGCCGGATAATGATCAAAGGGCACGCGCGCGAGAGGGACGCAGACTGCGTTGCGGGCGCGAGCAACTTTAATTAGGCCACAAAACCCCGCCTTCTAGCCGCCAAGCCAGTTGAATCAAAGGTTATTATATGTACCAGTATTGTGGCAGATCAATACCAAAGCAAGCTCTTGCTTCATAAAATTTATAAGTTATTTTATGGACAAAACTTCACTTTTTGAGCAGCATTTATTAATCTCTCGACCACGATCGGACGTTATTTTACCTTCTGAATTTGCACCCATTGTCCGTCGGGCGCTTGTTTAGGCTAAAAAGCGCCCGATCAAGGCATTAATAAATACCGCCTTAGAAAGCATTTCTGCATAATTCATAACAACAGAAAAATATAAAGGCTGTGATTTGTGAAGATTTGCCGTTAATGGGGATAACCAAAACAGCTTTACTCAAACTTACCCAACATTTGTAAGCACTTTGAGATATTTTAAACAGTTTTATATTCTGACTGAACTTGTTATAAGAATATATCCGAAAAATTTTTGAATAAGAAGTTTCTTTGGAGTCATTTTTAATACCATTAAACACCATAAATGTTGTTTTTTCAGGAACAACGTCTGACGCAGTCGCATCGAACTAGCTCCGAGACTACACTAAATCGACAAAGTGGTGAAAAGAATAATAAATCCCTACGTTTCGAACCACCGCCAGCACCAGCACACCCCCAAAAAAATCCTGCTGCTAATCGCTCAGAGCGAACACATGTAAGTAATATTTTCATTTTTGGCGATTTTTGAGAGTAAAAAAAATATTATAGGTCACACCTTCATTGATTTCCGTGAATTTCACTACAGAACCAGTGCGAAGTGAGCATCAACCGTCAACTAACGGAGGTGGACGGTCACGAGTGAGTTTGTGGAATTTTTGGTGACTCAGTAAGGGGTGAGAGGGGTGGAATGGAATTTGGACTCAAAGAAACTTGCTCTTTTTTCTAACAAACTAGTTGGTCGTAATAGCAAATAAAGTTTATTTTTAGGACATCTTACGGGGCCCCGACGAGGATTATCCGGAACGGTTGATGAGCCCACCTCCTACAAAGGAGCCACGATCAATAATCAAACAAGGCTATTACAGTAGTCAACAGAGTCTGCATTCGAATAACTCAACCATGCAAGTGGATAGGGGGGAATCAAGAACTTGAAAGAATGATAAGCTTTCTAATGCTTTTTCAGGTCTTTCCATTTAGGATCAATGGCTAATCCCTTTGAAGACGATTATAAAAGCAGCAGTGCCACAAAGAACAGTCAGTCTTTGTTTCTCCAGTTTTTGTTGTGGCTTTCAGTTGATTCTTTCTTTGTCTCATGCTCTTTTTTTAGCAAAGTTGAGAAACTGTACGCACACAGACAATATCGAAGATGAGGCTGATTATTACGAGAAGGAGATTGAAAAGTACATGCAGGAATCTCTAGACAGCACTGAAAGATCTCGACATCATTTGGAGAATCCCGAAAAGAGCGGAACTCAAACTGCTCAGGTGCCTCATTTGCCACTCATTAAGTGTCGTTAGCTATTCTTATTCCAATGTCCTGATCTAGTTAATCATAGTTGCATTGAAAGACAATGAAAACTTGGAGGTTGTTTTCTGTAATGGCTGTGCTTAGGATCTACTTGAACAACGCGAAAAGCTGGAAAGAACTGAACGTAATTTGGATGAAATTCATGGAACGACACAGGTAAGACGCATCAATTGGCTCAAGCATTTTATTGGGAACTTATTGATCTGGTCATAATCTGATCTAATCTCAAGGTCACGCAACGTAATCTTAACAGTTTGAAGTCTGTGTTTGGTGGATTCTTTAAGAATAAGTTTAGCTGGAACCCACCGGAGTCAGTCGCTGAGGTATGATTGTCGAACTTCGTTACATTATACTGACTTAACAGTTTTTTTAGATACCACAATCCATGTCTGCCTCTAAACTTGCTGATACTGTTGGAAACCTAAGTAGGGGAGGTTCTTCAGCCTCCTTCTCTGGAACGTCCTCAGCAAAGCCAACACTTAGCGAGTCGAGCAGAAACGCCATCAAAGGAACACGCTGGGAGGCAATGGATAATCAGATCGACGAGAATCTCGGTAATTTTGTCGAATTTGATTTGGTGTTTGATCTGGCTAGCCAGTTTTGTACCCAGATATGATGTCCAAGAGTCTTCGCAGTTTGCGACTTTTGGGTGAGGACTTAGGCCGTGAAGTTGACGAGCAGAACCAAATGCTAGATCGAATTCAGACCAAAGTTGATCGCAATGATGCTATCGTACGTGTACAGGATAAAGAGGTGAGAATTGTTTTCTAGTGGGATATGACTAAAACTTGGAACTTTTGAAGATTCATAGCAGTTCATCACTTTTGAAGATTCGTAGCAGTTCATCATGACTGCTCTCTCCCAGCTTCTTCTAGCCGCACCGCTCCGTCCTTTGCTTTAAGATACTCGAATTTTGTATAGCGTTTTGCTATCTGAGCTCTTTGAGGATTTGCCTCCCCTTTCTCAACTCTTCCCGGAGCCATGTTTTCTACAGTGAGTGCTCCCCCCTCCCCCTCCCCCCCAAGCTGCCTTAGAACCTCCCCCCCCCCTCCCCCTAAAGTTCTGAGACTAATCATCTCTTTCCGAAATCAATAGCAAGAAAATTTAAGTTGACTCCTTGAGAATATTTAGCCAACATTCTGAATCTAAAATAATTTTTCTTAGAAGCGTCACAATTCCTCTTTCATTTCAAGAAATTTTACTGTTAAATCTTTCGTCTGCATTTCCTAAGGACTTTTCAAGTCCAGCATCCTTGCAAATCATCTATAGGTGCTCCAAATTCGACTCAATTTTCAGGTCATCTTATCGTTAGCAAGCTAATGATTCAAATTCTTGAAGGTACCTGCTCAAAGGTGTTTATGCCTTTAGCTGCTTACCTAAGCAAATCTACGCTCTTATACAATTCTGAGGTTGTGCAAAATTAAATTTTGAAGAACATATGATGCATGAATAGTAGGATTTCGGATAGACTGTTTACAGCTTCCAAAGTGCATTAGAACTTTGGAAGGAGAAATCTCATACACTGACTGTAGGAAAAATACTCACAAAAACATTTCGAAAGTATGCAAAATGTATGAAAAGCTTTTTAAGTTTTTCAGTTATTTGAGGCCCACAGTAAAATATGATGGACTAAAATACACTCTTTGGCACGGTCTAGTAGTAGACGTCTGCAAAATGAATGACGTTTGTGATTACCTCTTGGGCATGTCACAAATTTCAGAGATGCTAAACATCCGATTTGAGAGTTCATATCATTCACTGATCTCTTGCACAGAATCAGCAATGTTTTCTAGGGAAAGACAACGTGACGCCCGGTCCAACAAAATCTTGCGCGATCTAAACTGTGCTTGAATTACCGCTAAAAGAAACACAGAGTAAAGTTGCTATCGAGTGAGCAGATCAGCTCCGACGATTGTGAGAAGTAAAACAGTTGAACTACTATAGGGGCCTGCAGGATCGCGAGAGTCGGACGTGCGTACGGCCATTGCGCCGCGCACGTCAGAACTGCGTGCGACGGCCCAGGTAAGTGACAGACTTATCCTGTTGAACAGGTTCATTCGGTTCACCACCTTTGCTGTTGGACAGTGTAGTGATTTGACCTATGAACGGAACGAACGGCTGAAGTGGATAAGTCTGGCACTTGCCTTAGTGACATCGGACGTGCGCGGCGCAATGGCCGTACGCACGTCCGACTCTCGCGATCCTGCAGGCCCCTATAAAGACTGCAACTATTCTGCTAAATCTGACAACTTTTTGAATGACATGGGCATTATAGTTTGGACCGAATCGAATGATTATTCGATTATTCGAATAAACCATTCGAATGCGAATGATTCGAAAATTCGAATATTCGAAAATCTAAGATTTCGAATAACATTCGACAGTCGAATATTGAGAATTTTCATTTTCGAATATTATTCGATAGTCGAATATTCGATGGTCATTAATTCAATCATTCGATGTCCATGAAATATTCGAATATTCGATGAGCACCGAATATTCGAGGATTCGATAAGAATTGACTATTCGAAAATTCGAAGCATCAAATATTCGGAAATTCGATATCCACAACATATACGGGGTGTCCCAAGGGTATGTACAAACTGTTTAATCGCTAATACCTCTCATGAAGTCTTTTGCCAACCATTAAGTAACATCCTGTAGGGATGGCTTCAGCTTACAAATACAGCAGAAAGCAAATCACCTATGTTTTTCTTGTTGTGTTATCACGGTATGAACTTAGCATATAGAGCAACTGCGAAATGAGACATCCAAAAGTTTCCCCAACAAAAAAGAGATTTCAAATCTATGTAGCAGGATTTTACGTATGTTCAACTACGCACGGCCTTTCCATCCTTTTAAATGTGCATTCTCTTTTTTGAAAAGCGTTGGAAAACATCTGTTATGGAGTACCTGGCATAAGTTGCAAAAGGCGTTACGGTTGAGTGCAAATTCTTTATATAGTGAGTGTCTTTAGAAGCTTAGTGTAAGATCGGCCTTTTTGTTTCCATTCTTGGGCAAACGGCTCTTGATATCTCAAAAGCCTTCTCAGTTTTCCTACGGTAATTTACAACAGTGAAAAGCGATCGATACATCGCTTCATACTGTAAGTCTGTGTTGATGTCAGCCCACAGATTCACACACTGTTGGGATCCCTGTATGTCATTCCACAACTCTCAATGAGGATAATTAATCTTCTTTGTTTTTGAAATTCCTTTACAACCGTCACGTACGCTTTTAGGTTCTTAAAGGCAGCGTCCCAGAAGATGGGTCCGGGGATTTGTGGGATGTTAAAATGGACCCCCTACCTAAGCGGTGACGAAGTTCGGAGCGAAAAAGAGGGTCTGGTAAGCTTGAAAATTGCTCCCAAAGTGGCTTGTCTTACGGCAGGCCCGAATGCCGCCCGTACAGCGAATTCGAACTGCAAGGCCAAACGCATAGCGCACACAGTCATGAGTCCCGCACGAGTCCCAGACGCAGGGTCCCGCAACGACTCTGCGTCCGCATGCATCTCGTACTCACTAGCCTACCGTAAGATCCGGGCCCAGGGCCCGGCACGCGTTGGTTTGAAGCGTTTCTTGAAACGAAGTCCCCCATGACTTCGCGAAAATTTACGAAGTCCCTCTTGACGTAAAAATCAGTAGGGAAACCCTTAATTAGTCAAAATAACATTTAAAAAAAGCGAAAAAGCGCATTTTGAGGTAACTAATACAACAAAAAAGCAAAAAGAAAACATTTCGAGTTGATTAAAGGCTCTGTTATTGGGTATAGTACCATTTTGATGCTGGGAATGTCGAAAATCTCCTAGGCCAACCAAATCTGTAGCCTCAACAATCCTGCGATGCATTTTTCGCCACATATTTCAAAGGATACCGCTCGGAGCGCGATATCTATCAGCGCGTAGAATTATACTACTTTTGACTCAAAAAAAGGCGAGAGGCAACGGTTTAATCCGCTTTCTTCACTCTATAATAGATTTTTGACTGTTCTAATCGTCCAAATCAAAAAGGTCCAAAACTTATGTGAACTCTCCGAAATTTATGCTCCGAACCAACCCAGTTGGTTCGGTGGTTGGTCTAGAAACCAACAAACTCGAGAACGGATATTAGGACACATAAGTTTTGAGAACTTTTTACATAACATAATTTGGAGTAATATTGTATACTCATAGCCCAAATTCGGAGCCATGTGATTGTTTGTGCGCTGTAAACAAGCCATTTGTTCGTTTGAGTCTTGCATTTGAAATTCGCGCGCTTGCGAAAGAACACGTTCAGCTCGTGAAACCTGACATGTTCGTCGTTTTTTTTGGCGCTTCCTCCAGGACCTCATAAAAACGATGTCTCCGTTGCTTCCAACTCCAAAAACGAAGTCCAGTTTGACCCCAAACCATCGGTGCCGGGCCCTGTCCGGGCCACTTACGGGGCACATTTTAGGCCTGGTAGCCCCCTTTTTCGCTCCGAACATCAGTCATCGCTTAGGTGGGGGGGGGGGAGACTACTTTAACATCTCCACAATCCGGCACCCATCTTCTTGCCGGGACTGCAACTGAACCGTTTTTTCGTTGTAAATTGAAACATAAAAAATTGTCTATACCTGAAAAATTAATTCTGAGATGTTTTGGTCTCTCATAGGTAGTCTCACTGACATAATTTATTCGCATAGTATTCGAAAATCGAATGATATTCGAGAACCGAATAATATTCGAAATCCGAATATCGAATGGTATTCGATATTCAAATATTATTCGATTCGAAAACTTCCATTTTCGAATAATATTCGATAGTCGAATATTCGAAATTTTCGATTTTCGAATAAATATAGGATAAGGCGAAATATCTGCGCTATTGGTCCATCTCCCTCGCCCCGCCTCAGGACGCCTCGGGGCTATATAAAGTAATATGCCCCGCCCACAAGAGGTTCGGACTTGAGGCAGCTTCGCAGCTGCATCTTCAACAAGATCGTCTCCGAATCTCCCCCCCCCCCTCATTTTAATCAACCGCCCTCTACTTTTATTTAATCTCTAATCATATGTTTATCCTATTATTCCCCCTCGTATAATTGCTTCGTATTTGTTCGCTTCTGTTATATTGCCATGTTTATGTAAGGTTGAGCCGGAGCCCTAGCTCCTGCTTGGCTATCCTCTGTCTTAAACTCATCTATCTGCCTTCTACCTATCCGCTACCTCATTTCTTACCTAATTACTCTTATACTTTTATTCCGCCCTGTTTTGCCGTCTGCCGCTACACCTTTATATCCTATACTTTGTTTATGTCTGCCTGATAAATGCTTAGTAAGAAATCTAGTTGAGTTTTATTTATGCCGGTTGGGGAACTGGGAAGTAAGCGTTACTGAAACCAGCTACGGTACCACTCTTAGCTTAACGACAACCATAAAAACATAAATTCGTTATATAAAATTCGGAGTCGAATATTCGAAAAAAAATTCCGAATTTCCCAAAGTATAATGGGCATTTCAAACGAAGCGCTTATTCGAAAAAAAATCACAGAGATTGTCCAAAGTAAATAGAAATGTTTGCGAGAAATTTCCAAAAAGAGATATAGTGCAGTTTGTTTGAGAAAAAAACATTTGTGAAGCATTTCATGAAGAAATTTGGAAAACTTGGACTTTCTTGCTGAGGTAATTTAGCAGAGAAATTAGATTGCAGGATAGCTCTATCGAATAAAGATTTGGCGCAACTGTCTTAGAATGAGGAAGCAAATTTGGCGCTCGAGGAATGAAATATTGGTGACTGCGACATTTTTCTGAACTATCTGACTTTTATGGAAAACTTACGGTGCACTCCAAATTACACACTCCATAGTAGGGATAGAGAAGCTTGAAATGTGAAGTAAGACAAAATAGATCTGCTAATAACAATTTCGGTGGCACTTGTTGGGAATGAAAAATGCTAATCATTGATGAAAGTTTTAAAAGAGTTTTTTCTTAAAGGATTAAAACGGACTCGATGCAGTTGTGAGATAACGTGAGCAAAGACAGGGAGAAAAGTTTCGATTCTAATGTGGTTTTCTGATATATATATGCACTATAATAGAGTATCAGACATTAAGCAAAAAGCATTCAGTACGAAGATTCATGTACAATAATTCCATATGGAAACAAATCTCTCAGTTAAGTTCAGCAGTGAGATCTTTAATGGTTGAGCTCTTGAAAAGGAAAGAAGACAACAATACGAGTCAAAGTTTCTCCAGTCACATTGTAGATTAGAAGAACAAAATTACTGATTTTGAGCCATTAGCCTAAGCCATGATCCCTAGAAAGGTCGAGTGGTTAAGAATATTATGACGATGTGTGAAGTAAAAAGGAAGGTAAGAAAGCATTACCTCTGTTTAACTAGTCATAGGAGTGTAGAGCCCGCTTTGATCACAATGTTTTTTTACTCTCGCGCCATTTTTGAGCACCTTTACACCTTCTTTTGTTCGCGCCCGTGAGAGAGCAACATAGAGCTGCCCATGAGAAAAGACTTTAGTTCCGAGGTGAATTCCTACGGACTTGTTTCTTGCCTCAAACGTTTTTTGTTCCAAGAAATTGCAGTTGGATATATCCTCTTTAGAATGCAGATGGTAGAGATGAGTAAAACGCAAAAATTGCAATTTCTTGAAAAGGTTATGAAATCCGAGATGGCAGAGTTTTAACTCTCAAGAAGACACCATTCAAACGGTTCATTGTGAAAACGGTTGAGATTGTTTGAGACTTAAGGAATCGATTGACTTTGGAATGGATGAAACTTGATAATTTTTTTGAACAGGTGATTTTTTTTCGAACAGGTGCTTGAGAAGCATTTTACACAAAAACTGCAACTTTCTAAAGGAGGATTTTACGTTGAGTAAAGCACAAAGTAACTAGCTTTTGGGAGCGAAAACGAACAGCTTGATAACTTTATTTCTGAACAAAGATTATTCATGATAGTGATACTGGCGGAGATTGTGAAAATTGAGGTAAAAAGTGATTTGATTTTGGAAAGACTGAGGAAAATCACAAAACTGGATGTTTTGTAGCAAATTGCAGCTCAATATTTTGTATTCTAGAAGGCGAATGGTAGCGATGAGTAGATACGAAGTCGATCTCTTGGGAAACAAACCCAAAGAGAGAGGTAATCTAGGGTTATATATAATAGTGAAAACGGCTGAGATTGTGAGAACTACAGATTGATTTGATATTGGAATGGGAAATCAAAAACTCGACAATTCGAAAGGTGATGATCGCTTGAGAAGCACTTTAGACTATAACTGTAACTTTCTGTAGAAGAATCATATGTCGTTAGGACACGTGATGTTTTCCAAATATAAAATAAATAAGGAAATTATGTAACGGTTGGGGATTCGTTTGAAAATCACAAAAGTGGAAATATTTTTTCAAAAAAAATTGCAGCTCACTATTTTGTAGTTAAGAAACAAATGGTAGTGATGAGCAAGGTAATAAAATTTAACTTTGTTATCGGATGCCCATTCTTATAGACGATTTTTCGAAATGTGTGATTTTGCTCAAAAAGCATGATTACACAGGTCTTCGTTCACATAATTGAATTGTTTCTTCTTAGAAAATGCTAAATAAGAAAGGAACTGATAGCTGACCTGTTTCGATGACTCGAGTAGAGGTGCTGCTGCAATGTGAAAATAGAGACGTCGTATTGTGAAGACAGAATCAATCGATGTTACCGCTTACAGCTTTCAACTTTTTTGGAGATTGCACCTTGGAGGTTAGGGTTTTCGTCAACATCGTCTAGATCGGACATCAATGGCACAGTGATGAGTCATCAACCCTGCGGCACGCAACGACAGACCTGTTGACATCTCACGAGGAGGGGGGGGGGATGTTACAGAGAGACACCGTGCGCTTTATTATATAGAAAGATGATGATGATCATCATATTAGAAGTGTTGCTGGCGTTGTTAAGCATATTATACCTGTTTTTTACAAGATGTCTTATTTAGATGCAAAAAATATTGGGTTCTGAGATGAAGGCCGAAGAAGCGGCAGGGTCAGGCTTGACACCAAGGTAAGCTTTTTTCACATTTTTATTGTCTGACTTGGTGTTTTTCCATGATGTCTTTCATCTTCTAATCTCATTTTGGGGGGGGGGGGCATGAGGAACGATAGTAAGCCAGCCGCTGGTGCCAATGCTTGCAAACTTATAAAAAACTAGTTGGCAAACCCGGCTCCGCCCGGCCCTGTCAATAACATATTTGTAATCAGCATGTTCGATTACCCCCCCCCCTGTGCCAACTCCCAGCCCCGTAGCTCAAATTTTGCAAAAAATCGATAAAATCGATATCGATCGATGACGAAAAGTAGCCTATGACACCCGCCGGGGCCCGAAGTGTATGTGTGCCAAGTTTGGTCTGGATCGGTTCAGAAATGGAATTTTCTATTCGGAACATACGTACATACATACAGACAGACAGACAGACAAACAGACATTCAGCTTTATATATAAGACTAGCTGGCTTACCCGGCTCCGCCGTATCCGGACCAAACTTGGCACACATACACTTCGGGCCTCGGCGGGTGTCACAGTCCACTTTTCGTTATCGATCGATGTCGATTTTACCGATTTTTATCGATTTTTTTGCAGAGTTCACCTACAGGGCTAGGAGTTGGCACAGGAGGGGAAGTGAGCATGGGGATTCCGAATACAATATTAGTTTTCAGAATTATCGATTACTTTTATTGATTTTATCGATTTTTTTATAAATTTTGACATGTGAGGCTGGGATTTTGCACAGGGGGGTAATCGAGCATGCTGATTACGGACACAATATTAGTTTTCAGAATCGTCCATTACTTTTATCGATTTTATCGATTTTTTTTGTAAAGTTTGACCTGCGGGGCTGGGAGTTTGCACAGGGGGGTAATCGAGCATGCAGATTACGAATACAATATTAGTTTTCAAGATCGTCCATTACTTTTATCGATTTTATCGATTTTTTTTGTAAAGTTTGACCTGCGGGGCTGGGAGTTTGCACAGGGGTGTAATCGAGCATGCTGATCACCCCCCTTGGGGATGATCAGCATGCTCGATTACCCCCCTGTGCCAACTCCCAGCCCCCTAGCTCAAACTTTGCAAAAAAATCGATAAAATCGATAAAAGTAATCGATAATCCTGAAAACCAATATTGTATTCGGAATCCCCATGCTCGATTACCCCCCTGTGCGAACTCCCAGCCCCGTAGCTCAAACTTTGCAAAAAAATCGATAAAATCGATAAAAGTAATCGATAATCCTGAAAACCAATATTGTATTCGGAATCCCCATGCTCGATTACCCCCCTGTGCCAACTCCCAGCCCCGTAGCTCAAACTTTGCAAAAAAATCGATAAAATCGATAAAAGTAATCGATAATCCTGAAAACCAATATTGTATTCGGAATCCCCATGCTCGATTACCCCCCTGTGCCAACTCCCAGCCCCGTAGGTGAACTCAGCAAAAAAATCGATAAAAATCGATAAAATCGATATCGATCGATGACGAAAAGTAGCCTATGACACCCGCCGGGGCCCGAAGTGTATGTGTGCCAAGTTTGGTCCCAATCGGTTCAGAAATGGAATTTTCTATTCGGAACATACGTACAGACAGACATACATACATACAGACAGACAGACAGACAAACAGACATTCAGCTTTATATATAAGAAGATGGTAGTATGAAATTAATGCTCTATTCAATTTACTCTATTGCTTAAATCCCGGTAGTATGTGCAATTAGGTGATGTTCCTGCAGGAATAAACTTTAAATACTTAAAGTTTCACCGAGACCCTTTTTTTTGTCATTTTCAGCTAATTTTCGCACCTCATTTTTAAGCAAACACAATCTATCCCATTCTCCTGTCTAGATGAAAGCATAAAAGAAGGAAACTCTTAATTTCTGTGTGCTGATGGACAGAAATGACGATGAAGTATGCGCGAGTTGTTGACACCCACCAGCTATCGTTCCTCTTGCTCGCCATCCTTATTTGGGTACTCACATATACAAATTTTCTCATTATTGGGATGAAATATAAAATGCTTTCTTTACTGGAAAGTGTTTATTGTTCTTCGCTTGTTGTTTCATTGGAACTTATATAGATTTTTTTGACAATCTTCAAACTTTTGTTCTAGTTTGGATTCGTCGACGAAGATGGGGCTCGCAATGAAGGCTACTAGTCTTTTCCGCTGAATAACGTCTACTTTCACTTGAGCAATCTGCAGACGAGAATTGTTCATTTCTCATTCCATATTTCAAGTCGATGTGTGCCGTTTTTGTCTATTTTCCTCCGCATCCAGTGATACAAAGTTTTCTGTGATGATCAATAACTTTGTAACTTCACAGCTTTTTTCTCGTTTCTCCGCTATCAAAACAATGATTTGTGTATGTAGGTTTTTCTAATTCCAAGAATACTCAAATTCTTCTACTTAACAGAAGATCGGGATAGGGGTGACAGAGATTGGGAGATAACAACTTTTTTGCTTTGTAACTATATATTTTAATGAAATAAAAATACGCTCTTTATTCTTCTTCATCTTCACAAATCCAATACATTCGGGACAAAGGCAGATAGGCTGAGCAAATCAACTTTTCTGAGTCGAATACGGTAAGTAGAAAAGTTACAAATGAATTCAGTTTCAAATAGCAATAGAAAACACAAAGTAGTAAGAAAATGAAAATTTCTGGCACACAAGGGCGTATCTTTCTTAGCACAATGTCGAAAATACGTAACGTGATTAAAAGAAAAAACTCAGTAGGCAACTAGCATACATGATTATGCAAAAACTTTGCTAGTAAGTGAATTAATCAGTATCTGGAAATGGCGCCCGGCATAAACATAGCTGTAAAAAAAGAAAACGAAAACCAAAAAAGCATACAACCGAATGAAGGAGTACAACTGTTTTTCACCGTGTGTTTACGTCTGTTTATGGATTGGGACAGTTGGATGAGTTGGTTGGGAGCAAACAACTACACAAATAGCAGAGGTCGGTCTGTTTCGTGCATGGATCGCGTCGATGTGTCGCAAGTCGTGGCATTGTCGGTCGCTATCAGCGTCGGCGGTCCATCTCTTGTTCACGTTTATAGCTGTACTCTTGTGTTGCTTCACTGGAAATAATATAGAATGCAGTGCAATTTGGTAGTGAGATCGGCTGAAGAGGTTCTGCGACCCCGACGGACCTGTAATCTACGGGAAGCCCGTCCTTGCCGATTCGTCTGCCGCTATTGGCACGATTGTCCTTCTGGAATGTCTCATATCCGCCTGGGATGTGCTCGGTTCGGTAGTCTCTTTCATGCCTAAATCATTCGGATCATGATTGGTGCTCAAAAGTCTATAGTTTTTGATCCTCACATGTTTCCGTTCGGCAGTGGCATCAGCAGCGAATCGCGGAATTCAGCCTCCAAGCGGGACATATCATCGTCATAGCTAAATTTGGTATATTTTCTCTTTTCCTGATACGAATCGTTGCTCCACCTCACCGTCTAACTTCCCGCCCGTTGTTTCCAAAGCCAGCTCTTCCCATGTCATCCCAGTCCGCATAGCTGCGGCTTTTGCTCACGGGCCTGTAGCTATCGCGCTCTGATCTAGAATGTGACGCTGGTTTTTCCAATACAAAAGATTTGCATTCTGATACCTTCTAGGTAGAGTTGGTGGGAATTCGACAAATGGTGACATCTGTTGGCTTCCACGTCGATAAGATGAGTTTGAACGACGATCATAGTCCCCTCCGAATACATCGCCTGCAAATCAGAATTTCGCTGCAGGTCGTGTTTGGAGGAGAGGAAGTCTATAGGTAGTATGTTATGAAAAGATAAATTAAGCTAGTAGATAACACGCCATGCGCCTTACGTGACACTGCGCTGTATCGAGAATCTGAAGGACATTAAATTTGGGAATTATAGAAAAAATGTTGTCGGAAGAGTGGCTAACTCCGCCCACACCACGCCCCTTTCTTGTACATCAGCATAATCAGCCTGCACCTCAGTCTATGGAAAACGGGTTGAAAAGCAAAACTCACGGGTAGAATAGCTCTTGTGCATGTTGTTCATTCCTCCACCGCGACTCTGCTGCTGCTGGCTCCAATGCGATTCGCGAACTTCTCCATTTGGTATATACTTCAGTTCGCCACGACGCAGCGAATCGCTGAGCGATCCGTAACGAGCATGTGCGAGTCCTCTGCCGAAGTGCTCATCCTCGTATCTTTGATTATTATCTCGAAGATCGCGCTCTCTCTTTGTGCTTGTTTGACGGTAGTAAGTCTCTTGGCTGGCTGGCAGGTAGCCATTTACGGCACCACCACCGCGCGAGAGAGAACTGCTGCGCATACCTGAAATGCTTGATTCAGTTGAGAGTATGAACAGAATTGCAAGGGGTCGATCCATTCAACTCAAGCGACTTGGCTTTTATAGGATAGAGCTTTTCACTGGTGGAGTGGCACAGCAACAAAGGATCAGGGCATTAGACACTGACTGGCAAAGGGGGTTAAATGGACATACGGATCGACGCAAGCAGTGAGACGGACAACGGCAACGTACGATAGTGATCACGGCGAGCCTCATCGGCTGCTGCGTACGCTTCACGGACCACTTTGTCAATCTCGGCTTCGCTCATGGCACGATTCGACTCTTGATAGACGATACGTTGCGGTGGAACAGAAACGATGCGACGCTCTAGAACACGCTCCGCAGCTGTGAATAGCTTCTCGACACGGAAATATGTCTTATCCTAGTATTGAGCACCATGCTGGGAAAGGGGCGAAGTCAGGAGCAGCAACTCGTCTGAGTCAAAGACTGTCCAGGCAGAATTGGTTAGCTAGAGTTCCCTCATGGATGCTGATGAGGAGGCTCAACTAAGCCCTTGCCCAAGCGGCAGCTCATATGGCACATTCAGGACCAAGAAATTTAACTGTAAACTCTTGCCCAGACCGTATTTCCTTGTGCCTAGCGTCCAGCAGAGTACGGTCTGGGCAAGGGTTAGCCAAATCTGGTCATGAGTGTTCCGTACGAGCTCTCGCTTGGATGCTGACTTATTCTATGACCTCCCAATCATTCCATATATACCACACAGCTGGATGTGCTGTACCTCGCCCTGTTTCCGTCTTAGTGCTCAACACTTTACGGAAAAAAACACTGAACCCATTACCATTCAACCAACACCAAACTATAACAAACCGTAGAGAATTAACTTGAACATGGATGCAGAAAAAAACGTCAATTTGTCGGATATTTATGCAAAAGACACACCACTGAAGTCAAACCAAGGAATAGGTGTGCCTGTGAATAGCGTATAGAGGGAAGGAGTTGGTAGTCAGAGAATTTGGGTTCGCACAAGTTGGACTCCTACTCCTGACAGATATCTTCTTTGAAGCTTTTTTTTCCATGATTAGGAGACACAAGTATAGGCTGCTGCATGACGAAGGCGCAATATCTTTGGGCGCAAACGCGGCTTTACTAGCCGCAGAGCGCATGAGGCGCAGGATTTACAACGGTGAGGATACGCGCGCTTCGCGTCCGCGCCCGCTCAGGTAATACTGCTGCTGCGCCTTCGTCATACAGCAGCCTTTGCGCCCATGCACCACTCTCTAAACAAGCTTGAACGTGTTCATGCTTGATCATAACTAGTAAATGATTCCAATCAGGTAGAACACAATCATAAACATGTCAACCACACGGTAGAAAAAATCGATATAAACAATGTGCCTTCTGGAGTAGTTGGTAGATGTTTACTCTGCCACTCTTAATCTGAATCTTGCTTCCTCTAAAATTTAATCTTCAATGGGTTCAGGTCAGCTAGCCTTACCGGCGGGCTCGTTGACACCCAAAAACGGGGCACCTTTAATTTTAGAGTGTGCAAGATTCATGTGATTGTTTTTTATCATGTTACTTTCGTTCATCTTTACAAGCTGGGTCTAGAGCTTCGAGTTCTGTTTCATTCCGTATTTTCATTTATCTTCTCTTGCGGCTGAGGACTGGTTGGTCTCATTGCTTGTTTGGATCTTCTTTAATTTCTTTGCTCTGGTGCACCTTGAGTGTATTTATAAAATAAAACAAAAAAATAAAAATGTGCACAAGGCTCGAGTGTTCTATTCTTAGTCGTCCCATTTGGTCTCCCCTCAGTTTCTCTGACTTCCAAACCTCAATCTCTCCACAATTTCAAGATTTTTGATAACTAATCAGAGTCAATGTGCAAATTGAAGGCGTTCGGCCAGCAGCGGCAGATTATGTTGTTTTGCATGCAGAAACCTTACCAGAATATCCATTCTCCCAATTGTCGCGAGAACCATGCGAAGCATGTTGACGCGACGATGAATGCTGTCTGGAACGACGGTCACGACGTTCTTTTCGTTGCACACGTCGTTCGACTTCTTCAGTTCTGCGAGTCTCTTCGAAACGTTGCACAGTTTCGGTTACGGAGGGCTAAAGAAGTAGATATGGCCTTTTCCAAAGAAGAAAAAAGCTGTGTATAGGTAGGTGTACCTTGCTGACGTTACTTTGAGTTCTGTGATATTGTCGTTCCATGAGCTGATTTTCAGCCGATGGATGTAGCATCTGATCTCTGGTCTCTAGCTCTCGTCGCTTCATTATGCTCCTTGGCTTATCATCCTGAAAAAGTGAGTTCTCCTGCTTTTTTTGGTAGGGTAAGGCTTCATGAAGTGACTAAACAATTGGATCGTCAACAAGAATAGAGTTACTGGTTAGAAGAACACTGCAAACGAGCCTTCACTCTAATAAAGGTACGATCAGCAGCAGTGAGCAGCGGCATCGACGCGAATCGCTCGACTTTGCGGTCGTATACCTCTTGCATTTGTCGCGACGAGCGCCCGGATTCGGCCACCGACGTCGATTCTTGCGCCGCGTACGACGGCCACACTCTCTCCTTTTCTCTCTGAAGCGCAAAGCTTAGGGGTTATTGAGCCCGGCATGTTAGAGGCCTAACGTTAGTGAAGAAGAAGTACTGTTGTGTCGATAGAAAAGAGGAAAATATCGGATAGCGAAGTATGGCAGACCTTGAGAATGTCATCTCTTGCACCATTCACTGAGACAATTGATCGCGGCGAAAATGATTGCGTAGAAAATTGCCACGTAGCTGTTGAAACATCCTGCAAACCGCTGGTGTTAGTGTGAAAAGACCGAAAGAACACCCTTTTGTCGTGCCACGCTGGAGTGTCGTTTATACTCGACGCGCGAGTATAAGCGATAATGTTCCAGCGGGCCTTTCTGAGAGCAAGATGTGAACGTAGGTGGTTTGTTAGATCACTCGCACGCTACTAGAGGCAAAGCAACAGCTAGAATACCGTGACATATCCGGAACGATCGTGCTCCTTGGTGGTGGACGTTTCGAGCGAATTTCGCGACTCAAGCAGATCGCGAACTTGATCCTGAATTGTAGTTTGCAGCTGCGAAAACTTCGTTTCAATTTCTTTGCATGTTTTCGTGTAGATTTGAATATTAAGGGGCTAATTGGGCCATACCTTACAGTGCGGTATTGGAAGTTATGTCCAGGCAGTTTTGAGTACCTAGGCGTTTTTGTAAAAAAAGGTTGGGAAATCTTCTTAACTAATGCTCAAGCGTAGTTCATATGATTCATTCGTGGCCAAAAAAAAACTCAACATCGAATTCTTGATCATATGTAGCGCCGCTGAATGACTTACTTATGGTCCCTAATCACCATTTACAAAAGAATTTCAATGTAGATTTACCCATGCTCAATAGAAAATGCTGTCAGAAACCTAATGTTCGCTAGTAACTTTATCACTTTGTAACTATAGTACTTTCAGTGACTGCCACTAATAATCAGAGAAAATCATTTATCCCTTTTTGCGGGGTGAGAGCGTGAAGTTGAATGCAGTAATACTTGGCTTGAGTATACAAATTCTTATAACTGGAAAGGGGCATTTTTACTTACTGCTTCAGAGCGTAAAAACGTTTTGCGAATACTCGAGGAAAGATGGACTGCTTAGGATGGGTACGATAAAAATATATTGACAGTAGACCCACTTTGAATGCTTGAGGAACAGGTTCGGGTCCCTCTTTGACGATTTCCGAGTCGATGAGCTTGTAGCCGGCACGACGCTCTCGCGACCGTTCAAGCAGTTGCTCACCCTTCCTTGCCAACTCATCCAAATCTTCGTTCTAGAGTGCGATTGAAAGCGAAGCGAACAGCCATTTGGTGTCAATACACAACAGCAGCACGCACACGCACACGCACAGCACTCATTCACGCCGCTTCGAAACTGGGACGTGCGACAGAGTGGACGAGTTACACGAATGCACAAGGAAAAAGTTGCGCGCGTAATAGACAGCTTCCAGAGTTGCTCGTATGTCGGAGCTGTGTCAGCTTCGTGCCAGAGCCATGCCAGCCCAGTGCTGCAACTCACATGCACTTCGTATTGATCCATCAACGTTCCGGCATTGCGCTGGAAATGCGCTGATACGAACTACTCTGGACGCAGCCTAAAGATTCACGAAAAATTTGATGTCTTCTCTTTTGTGATTTGTAGACACAGGAATTTGAGCGCATCATACCGCGTTGAAATACTGCTTAATAGGTGGGCATTTTCAATTAGCTCATCAACAATTTTTTTAGAAAAACCAAAACCTCAATTTCCTCTAATAATAATTTAAAACTAATCAAACTATTCAACCTGACGACCACGAAAAACACCACCACCGTATATTCACAGAGGCTTGCAGTAACTCACTCTCAGCGGAAGAAAGTTTGTAATGCAGATGCCTTCCTAATTACTGTCTGTTACCGTCCTGCTTATAGTGCGCTACCGTAATCCTGCGCATTGCGCAAAAGCTAGCACTGTTGTCTCATGCGCGCTTGTTTTCACTTCTGAAACCTGAACAGTTTCACTGGAAATAAAAATATTATGCGCAGTGTCAGTTGCAACAAATGCAACGAACATATTTAGAGCTGCGCCCGGTTACGGTAGCATACTGTATGAACGAGCAGGCACCCTACGCTTCCCTGCACCTTTCCAACTTTAGTGTAATTGTTGCATTATTGTTTTACGAAAGGAGCAAGCTATCTGCCATAGACTATCATAACAGTGTCAAATGAAAAATGACAAAGAATTGATGAAATCAAAAATCCACAGTTCCTTCCAATTATGCCCACACGTCCCATTTTCGAGAGTTAGATCACGTTTTGACGACGTCACAACACTTACACCCTAACATACACACGCCTGAGCTTAGAGCTTACCTTTGGGGGTTGATTGGCAGCCTGAAAATAGAGTTAATCATCATCGTTCAGCCATACACACTTATACATAGACATAACAGTGAACACTCTAAGACTAGACACACATATGACCTCTGACCCCTGAAATATCTGAAAATTCTTGAATTAGAATAAAAGAGTCAAATCGTCACCTGTTATACGCGAGCGAGGATCCACTTCTTGAGCTATGAACGAAAAAACACCAACAATTGTAACATGACGATCAGGTAATTTGTAACAATCTCACAATTTAACATATTAACTGAATTTTGAAAAGACTTTTGAAGAAAACTAGACTAGCTCAGGTCATTTGGATAATGATAAGGGGCATTGAAAGGATAAAGAGAAAGATTAATATCAGCAGCACCGATGAAAAGTCCTTCAACGAGGTTTATTCGAGAGGTTTGGAGGACAGTTTATAAGAAAAACAACGCTAAGTTTTGTAGTGGGATAGTTTCGGTTAAAGATACTGGGAACTAGGGCTGAGTCTACGATCTCTCATTGACTGGAAATTTTGCGGATCTTGACGATGAGTGGACTCCACCACGTTACGAATCATTCGTTTTGTGTGGCCGGGTGCTGGTGACAAGGCCCGAGGGTCGGGCGCCGGATCCCCGAGCTGGAAAGGGGAGATATCATTTGAGAAATCAACAGTTTGTTCAGCCCACTCACCCTGTAACCTGGCGGTAGAGGGCGAGGCACGTATTGTCTTGCCCTGTCGTACGATTTGGGCGATGGACCTGGGGCGGTCACTTGGCCCATTTTCGTTCGAACGCGAATCGCTGTCGGGGTGTCAGAGCGTGATGCTGGTGAAATTGGCACAGAGGAGGATGGGCGACTGTTCTGACCCGAAGTACTGGGGCGCTGTTCTTGATGTGTTCGTCGCTGAAAGCTGACCAATCAGGTGCAAATTCAAAGCTGACCTCTGCTCACAAAATACTAGTCGCTTGCACGGGGCATGGGTTTTTGAGACGGTGTCTATCGATCTCCCGATCTCTGTTGGGGCGCTGTTTCATCGCTATAAACGAGTTACCGATTGAGGGATGAACGCTCGTTTATAGCGGTGAAAGCGCCCGGCCCAGTATTGGAAAATTGAGAAATTCGGCCCTGGGTTATGTGCATATCGTTGAGGGACCTTAACTAACCCAAAGTCCAGAAGGCAGCTTATGTGAATCATTCCCGACTGAAAAAAACTGTTAATTCTCGTTTAACGGCAATTTTCGGTAGATCTAGGAGCACTAAAATCTCAACAGTTTAGAAGCAAGCCGCCCGTATAAACAATAGCCCGGTTGCGACTGCAAAAATATTGCTTCTGAAGCTAGAAAATTGCTTCAGAAGTCTAAACGTATACCGTTCTCGGTTCTTACCGAAGCAGTAATCCTGCTGGGACACGGTCGTGCAACGCTGTCATTGGCTGTAGCGGCGTGTCTCTCCGCGATTTCCTGCTTCGGTAAGGATCGAGAGCTGTATATAGTACATACTTGTTAGACTTCTAAGCGATTTTTCAGCTTCAGAAGCAATATTTTGCAGTCGCAAATGGGCTAGGGTTTGCGTGGGCAGCCCGCTCCAGTCTGTTGAGACTAATCGTGAGATGCTCCCACATCTGCCCGAACACTCAACTGTGTTTGGGGAAGCTAACTCAGCAAAGGTATGGTTTGGGCGAGAGTGAGAGTCCTCATCAATAGGTAGAAATGACTTACCTGTATGATTCAACAAGTCATGCAATGGCTTAGCTAGGATTCAGATAGTATCTTAAAAGCAGCGTCGCTGGATATCTTGCTATTGAGACTTTTCTGGGCTTATATACACCCTGGCTAAGGCGCAGCTTGGGGAGCGCAAAATGTCTACGGTTCGCGAAATTTTGATTTGTGAGGCAGGCCGCGCGGAGAGGCAGAGTATTATGGGCCCCATAGTATAATAATAATTGTGTGCGATATGAAACTTTAACATAGTGGAAATGGATGGGTGGGCGGGATACGGAACAAGAGGGTCTGGGATACTTCCGGAACAATTTGGATCGTGCTTTTCTGCATCAGACTTCAGGCTTTGCAATGTCTGTTCTTTCGTAGTCATGCCATCAGAACTTTGGACTCACACTTTGCTGACGAGGGGTCTCTCGTCTACTAGAGCTTTGGCTACGATCTTGTCGAGGCGTGGATGCTTGTGGACTTGAAACATCACGCATAGAGCCGTGTTCGAGGTACGGAAGCGACTAAAATCATTTGGTTTTACACATATAATCTAAAAGCTTATTCCTAGAATGTTCACTTACCCCATCCATACTGTACGATCGAGCATTTTCCTGATACGTTCGAGCATTTTCCTGACGACGTTGCAGATTCTGCACAGAGCCTTGGAAGTGCGACAGTCGTCGCTTTACGTTGATATTTGTCGGCACATCTTTGCCAACAATCGTGGACGAATGCGGAGGCAAGTCGTAGATCTTTTCCCAGTCATTTATCGCTGAAATAAGAACGATAGCTAAATTCTATCCTGCTGATGGGTCTTACATGGCTGTGATTTTCGCATAGCTTTGCGATCATGGTGCTCACCATTACTGGGCGAGTTTCGGTACCCTGAATATACAGATGATATTTATCAATGGGATTTTAGAGGTAGATCAATAGTGGAGGAATTTTTAATTTGTACCTCCGTCAACTCTATGGAAGTTCCGTTGATGAATTACGTCTACGTTTTCTTCGGTAGTGCCATCTACAGGCGCCAATAGGCCTTGAGCTGATGCTGGCCGATATTTCACTATCTGAGTAAGATAAATAGGTCTTGGAAAAAAATGTGCTAATTCTTATAAATATATTATCGGCTAGGAAAGAAATAAACGAAGAATAAAAATTACTTTAACAGCATTAGGAGCATGAGGATAAAATCCTCCGCTTGGAGTAACGCGCTCCTTTCGGAATGCTGGCTTTGGCCGGTGACTACCATCGGGTGAGGGCTGAAAATTTCCAGAATATAGGAAACCTATCCAACTGTTGCTAGCCATCATACCTGTATCACATATCTTGTTTGTCGCTTCGCAGCTTCATCCAGTGGGCCCGTGCCATGACCCCGTCTAGGCGACATAGGTGGGCTATTTGTTGGTGTAAAATTCTTCCTTTCTTGTTTGAATCCGGGATCAGTGACAACGGGAGCCCACTGATATTCGACATTCTCAGTGGAGCGAGCTGGAAAAATAGTTTGATGCTAGCTGGGTCTTCTCCTGAGGTTTTTGAAATCTTACCCATGTTGTAATCGATAGGAGGGACGCTAATATCCACTGAAGCTGCTCGAGGAACTGAGGGCCACACGTATGGTTTCTCGGGTGGTGGTTGCCATTTGCGACCTGTTCTTATAATTTCGGGTTTTTCTTCCGGTTTTTCGACAAACGCTGCTCGACGCTGAAACAAATCAATCATAATATAAATCAGTGCATGAAAGAGAATTTTGTGTCGTCAAAATGTTTTAGCTATTTTTCTCTTTCTCGAATGATAGCTTCAAAATGTAAAGCATTTTCGGACTTGCAAAATCTTTCGGTTTTTAAGGTCTCATTTAGTATTGCAAGACACGGGAGCTCCAGAAATTTCTATATGGTCGAGGACGGAGGTGTCAGCTTTAGCCAAGCCCTCTAGAAAATTTTGGGATGCCTCTCATACTTTTAGTCCTAGCTTTTACCTCAGATATGTCAAAAGGGACCTGACAAATCTGTTCTTTTTACAGACTCTATTCAGTATTATAAACATCAAAGGTAAAATAAGGAGAAACTGTAAACCAGTGGATACAGAACACTTTCAACCCCTCCCCTCCCCCCTCCTCGTTCCGCCTCTGTTACATGGTAAAATTGACATACATCAAAGAAAATAATTTTTCGCTCTTCATTTTGTGTGGGTGGTCATTTTAGAGGCAGTGATGTCATTGGGCTATGATAAGGTTAAATTGTATCTTCACCTGTAGACTGTGTGATAGAATTAGTTTGTTGTAAACTTTGATTTGGAGGAAAATTTGGAAAAAGCTTGATTTTGCTCAACATGTAATGATCAGATACAAAAATTGAAAGAAAAAACCAGTACTTCATACAAACCTTAAGCAAATCCACATCGTACTGTTCCCGCTCGAGTAATTGTGCGCTGCGTAAAATCTCATTCTTTGCTATCTATAATCGGACGATAAGCTTGCATAAAAACACAAGGGAAACTAACATCGTCAGGTTTTTCCACAATATAGGTTCTTTTCCATGTGTTATGCAGTCCAGTGTCTGACATCTCAGAAAGCGCCGAAATTGGCCTTGTTTCATAGACTCGCATACGATGTGGATCGTAGCCATAATCCTAGAAAGAGCATGCCATCTATTTTCAGAAATTACAGTACTTCCTAAGCTTACCGGTGACATCTGTCCTGGAGCTGGTGATTGCCCGTATCTGATTGGCAGTTGCTGCTGTGACGAATAGGGAGTGTTGTCGATGACGTCAATAAATTGTACAGGTGACGTGACTCCATGACGCTGTTCATACAGCCTCTGCTGTTGCACTTGCATGGCTCGCATCTGCAAGCATTAGGTTACAGTAATCGCCACGAAGATACTGTAGATTACAGTATGCGAAAGCCCAAGTGCGCTGACCTGTTTGGTCATAGCAATCACCTTCTCCTCCTCATGTCTACGCATTGCTTCCTCTTCCATTTGTTTCTGCCTTCGATATTCATTTATCCGTTCGGGATCTAAAGGGGAAGGTCATACTTTAATCGGTGAATAGCCTTTTCTTTTTACTTACCAGTGATGCTCCTCGCCATCACGGACTGCGATCGAGGCTGTTTTTTGTCATTGAGCGGGGGCCAAATCACAACGGATGCATCCTGAACATAGAATTCTTTGAAAATTGAAATGCAATAAAAAGTAGCATTCGGTAGAAATGCACTATTTGAGACAACTTCGTTATTAGATTGATGCATGACTCTGACACCAAAATGTCCAAAATTGGCTCAACGTTTAATGCATTTGTTCGTTTCAGAATATTCCAGAGAAAGGAAAAGATTAGGTCATTCCGAAGGTAATTTCGCTTTTTTAAACGGACGCCACATGTGACGGAACAAAGATCTCTAAGATATCTTGGTAGCATTCGATGCAGAATTTCATCCTCTTTCTAATATGAAATCGTTGCAACATAGTCATTGAGCTTTCAGAAAATAACCAAAACCTGCGACCCATGCTTTTTGAGATTGTCAAGTTTCACAATTTTTAAAACTTTCATATCAACCCTCAAAAGGAGTTTAAATAACGATTAGATAGAGCAAACCCTACAGGATACAAAACAAATTTTTCTCCTTACATAATTACAAAATTTACAAATTTAATTTACAAAACTTACAAAATTTTTTAATAACATTTCAATGATGCTACCAATTTGCATACTTGGTCAACTCAAATCTCGTAGAACATAAATGAGAGAGCAGCTTGGATGCTGTTTGTTGCAGCTTTTTCTCCTCTTTCTAATAGATGCTTTTTGTTCCCGATTTGTTCAGTCTTCGGGGCTAAAATTGTCATAATTCATGTTTTTGAACGCTCCCAAGGCTGTACCCGAAAAACTCGAAGTTCAGTATTTCGAATCCGCAAACTCTCATTTGCTTTACAAAATCAATATCAAGTCATATATCATCTTCGAGGCTTCAAATTCCGAGTAATTACTGATGTTTGATGCTATTGTGGCTGACGTAGGCCTGCCAAAATCGATGATTTTGGTAAAAAAAATCTTTTGGAAAAGTAACGGCGAGCTATGAAAAAGAGGAAATAGTGGTGCTGTATTCTATAAGGTTTGCTCTATCTGACCGTTACTTGAACTCCTTCTGGGGATTGATATGAAAGGTCTGAAAAATCGTGGAACTTGACCATCTCAAAAAGCATGGGTCGCAGATTTTGGCTATTTTCCGAAAGCACATTGAGTGCGCTGCAACGTTTTTATTACTATTAGAAAGAGGACGAAATTCTGCATCGAATGCTACCAAGACCTCTTAGGGATCTTTGTTCCATCACATGTGGCATCCGTTTGAAAAAAGCGAAATTACTTTCGGAATGACCTAATATAAGCTTTTCAATGCTTTTGAAAAAGGAAATTATCGTTTTTCATGGCGAAGCTGTTGTTGGAGAAAAGCATCAAAATAGATAGTGAATGGTCTAAAGAACTGGAAAGCATTTTCGAATTTCTTACAAACTAGCCTCTGTGACTGAAAAAGACTTGTTATTAGCGGATGTCTCTTAGAATAGAAATGTTTATCGAATTTTTTTATTCTATTTGACTTTGCAATCAATTTATCAATATATTTCATTTCATTCTCCATTTTATTGTTGCTACATTTAGTATATTATAACAAAGAGCGAATTATATGATCCTACTTTTTTGGAGGCAGTTCGTACCTGATTTTTTTATACTGTTTGCGATGCGCAACCCATAAATCAACCCAATACAATATATGTAATATGATTGTTCTATCTTGGTTTCTCAGGTCAAGAAGTACTATAGACTGTTTGAAATTCACACACAAGGCACTCACTTTAATCTGAGAAAGTTCTGCTTCTGATGCTGACAATGCTCGAGAGTCAGCAAAAGAAGCCCTACTCTCATTCATTTCTCGAAGAGAGTAGTCGTTTCCACCATTGCTAAGTACGACTTCATTCCTATAAAAAGATGAAATTCATTCATTGGCTGAATAGTATGAAGGCAGGTAAACTTACTTTGAAGCGTTGACTTCCTCGAGTTTGAAAAACGGCCCATTGAAAGAGGTCACAGGAGGTTTTGGGGTGGTGGCACGACTCCTTCTCAGTCTTTCCAGATTCTCTTGCATGATGCGGTATCGTTGCTCTTCTGGAAGGTCATTGAAGCTGGTGCTCTTGCTCTGAAAAATTATAGGGGGTCTCATTTGGAAGTGGAGAACAGTAAAAGTTGTTTGCTACCTGCAGAGTTCTTGATTCCCCCCTATCCACTTGCATGGTTGAGCTATTAGAATGCAGATTCTGTTGACTACTGTAATAGCCTTGTTTGATTATTGATCGTGGCTCCTTTGTAGGAGGTGGGCTCATCAACCGCTCCGGGTAATCCTCGTCGGGGCCCCGTGAGACGTCCTGAAAATAAACTTTATTTGCTATTACGACCAACTAGTTTGTTAGAAAAAAGAGCAAGTTTCTTTGAGTTCAAATTCCATTCCACCCCTCTCACCCCTTACTGAGTCACCAAAGATTCCACAAACTCACTCGTGATCGTCCACCTCCGTTAGTTGATGGTTGATGCTCACTTCGCACTGGTTCTGTAGTGACATTCACGGAAATCAATGAAGGTGTGACCTATGATATTTTTTTACTCTCAAAAATCGCCAAAAATGAAAATATTACTTACATGTGTTCGCTCTGAGCGATTAGCAGCAGGATTTTTTTGGGGGTGTGCTGGTGCTGGCGGTGGTTCGAAACGTAGGGATTTATTATTCTTTTCACCACTTTGTCGATTTAGTGTAGTCTCGGAGCTGGTTCGATGCGATTGCGTTAGACGTTGTTCCTGAAAAAACAACATTTATGATCAATGTATTAAGTAATAACTCCAAGGAAACTTCTTATTCAAATCTTCCAAATATATTCTTATAACAAATTCAATCAGAACATAAAAATATTTAAAATATTTCAATAGTGCTAACAAATGTTGGGTATGTTGGAGTAAAGATGTTTTGGTTATCCTCATTAACGGCAAATCTTCACAAAACACAGCTTTTATATTTTTCTGTTGTTGGGAATTATGCAAAAATGCTTTCTGAGGCGGTATTTATCAATGCCTTGATCGGGCGCTTTTTAGCTTAAACAAGCGCCCGACGGACAATGGGTGCAAATAAATGCTGCTCAAGAAATGAAATTTTGTTCTTAAAAGAACTCTAAATGCATTTCATGGAAAAATGCTTGCTTTGGTATTGATCTGCCTCAATACTGTTACATATAACTCGATTCAACTGGTTTGGCGGTTGGTAGGCGGGGCTTTGTGACCTGATTGAGGTTGCTCGCGGCCGCGACGCAGTCTGCGTGTTTCTGGCGCGCGTGCCCTTTGATCATTATCCGGCATTAATTAGGTCACGAAGTCCCGCCTTCAAGCCGCCAAGCCAGTTGAATCAAAGTGTAGATACAAATTTCTTCTTGCAAAAAAGATAGCGCTTCTAAAATATAATGCTACAGTCCGAATTTTTTTATCTCTAGTCTTTTAGAAGTTTAAGCTTTCATTGAGGACATTCAAACAGAAGTAGCCAAGACACTCTAGTTTTCAGAGAACTTTATCAAAATGTATATACAGAATGTGTACCACATTTTATTACCCACGGTCTCGACGAGGACATTATCGCAAGGAAAAACGTTTGCACGGCAAATCGGGGACTAGTTTAATTCACTTGGTTTGCTTTCGAGCCACTTTTCACTGAAGTTTGAGATTCTATAAAAATCACATAGCCGGACAGTCACCATAGTCCCCTTATGCACGAATGTGACAAACTTTAGGTTGCTTTGTCCAATAAAATTAATAGTGGTCAGTATTGTCAAAAGCTAAAACATAGTGGTAGCGGCTTTTGTGTCATCAGATGGGAGCAACAAAAAACTTTTTGAAAAGGTTGCATCAATAATAGCGCTATATTTTCACTTATTGGCACACCCGAATTTATTTGTTCAGCGCTTCAAATGACGCTACAAAGCCCAATACACTGTGCAAACAATCATAGTTTCAAGATATTCTATGAACAGAACATGTACATTGGAAAAAAAATGATGAGGGAAGGAGCCAAGGTGTTTTGATCAGTGATTTCCTCGGAGAAGACTCCTTCTTTCAGAGGACTTAAGAGACCATTGAGTTGGAGGTTATCTTTTCTTCAAGATAGTTGAGGCATGAAAATTATTTTACGAAAATATTAAGTCAGATCTGTCTCTTTTTTCTTTCATTTATTTTGTCAATGTCGAAATGTTAGGATAAATTCAAGATGTCAAAATGTATAAACATACCAACCGGTGATCGGAGGGGGCGGGGGAGCGTGAATCGGTTGCGAAATGTTTGAAAATCACTTACATGAGATTTAGAAAAGTGCTAACTTCTTTATACTTGCAAATAATCAAAATAAATACAAGTTTGATTTGGACTTTCTGTTAAGGAATCCTGGAAGGCCACTGATGTTAACATATAATTTGTCCATTGAAGATGTTGAGGAGTGCAAGCTGATAAGGAGAAGATTCATATAAACAATTTATAATCAGTAGGTATTGGATAATACCAGTCGCAGAATTTCCGTCTGGAGGGGCGGCAAATTTTTTCAAATGAAGGTGTGTGGCGTTAGCCACGTACTCCAAAAGAAGTGTTGGGGTCTCCTCAATTTTTGCGGGTTCGTAATCCCTTAAATGAAGAAGGGGGCTGCTGCAGCCATGTCTCGGAAAAAAATTTTTATAGGGCTAATTTGTATTTTTGAAAAGTTTCAAAATTATTACAATTCTTTACAAAAATGAAGAAGGCACTTGCACATTTTCACAACCCATGTGAGAAAATTTCAAAAATTTTGCAACCCATCCTCGGAGGAGGGGTGGGGGGGGGGGTCTCCCCTCGGTCCGCCACCAATGTCGGACATGATTATGCGGAAACTAAGCAGGAGCAAGAATGAAGCAAGCAAAGTGGGAGTGAAAATTCACGCTGGCGATCAGTTACTGAGGCAGAGAGGAGAATTCAAGGAACTATTGGAAAGGAGCTACACATCTCTCTAGATTCTCTCAAATAGCAATTTAATCACCTCGTCAGAATCATCTTCTGGAATATACGGTAGCGATGGGGTAACTGAAGCACCCAGCGGAGTGATCCTTCGTGGACCTGGACGGGCGGCTCCAGATAAGCCGCTGATCCTATCCAGATACACCTGGCGCAGTCGTCGTACCGAGAACGGCGGTTCATACTCGTCGTCCTCCATGTGGAGGTGGTCCCGCGTGGATGTCGTCGCTGAATAGCATTCAACGAGTCGAAGAATCGGATTCGAGTCGCTCGAATTCGCTTCGACGTCGACGAGACGCGCGAGGGCGAGAGCCGCCCGCGGATAGAGTGCTGATTGTGGAACGAACGTTCAATAGCGCAGCCGATACATCCACATCGATTGAACGTGTGGCCGCGACAAGCGAAATACAAACAAAGAAGATTACTTGACTTCCCCCGGGTGGGTGCACAGGATAAGCGAGCGAGAGAGAGGGAGGAAAGAGAGCAGCGCCGAGCGACTTGGAGAGCTGCACGCGGGGGGAACCGCGCGACTTGGCGCACGAGCCTGGCGAAAGCGCGCGGCTCGTCACTGCTTGTGTGCACTAATAGCGACCGTAACGCTCGGATTAGTGCGTTAATACGGTGAATGAACAAATTTTAGCTTAGCCGAGGGAGAAGAGGGGGTCAGGCGACGCCCAAGGAGCGCCTAGAGCTTCGCGCTAGAGCAGCAACATCGGCGAGTGTGGGCGACAGTCAGAGCAAACAGTTCGCCGAGCACTCGGGCGTGAGCGCTGAGCTGTGGCGGAATGAGTGCTGATAAGCCATGGACGCTCGCCCCGAGTTGCAAAGTGTTCAGATTCGGGGACTGCTGCTCCAGGCCGGAGGGCCCTCTCGAAACTGTAAGAGAATGCCAAACCAGCAGATTCTTCTCTGGCTGGCTCATTCGAGTGAGCCCGAGCTATCCCATCCGTCTAAGTAGTTTCTTTTCGAGGTTTCCCAGACAGGACCGTCACGAGAAAAGGACAAGTGGTGCGAATGTGAAGAAGTACAAGCAGAGCTCAGCTATCGTCGAGTGCACCACCTAGCCATGTGTGTTTGCATGTGTGAGCCCTAAGTCTGGGGCTTTGCGAACGAACGATTGCTGGCTGAAATGATCTGTAACCGTTTGACTCGAGAAACACATCGTTGGAAGTAGTAAATCAATTTCCTAGCAGTGCAGTATTTTGGTATGGCTCAGTAATCTGACGAGCAGATTGAAAGATCAAACAGGACTTGAAAACTTGAGTGAAGAACATGGAAGAAGTAGATGAGAATGGAATTTCAAGGGAAAGATGTTTTTGTTAGATACGAAAGAAACAGGAAAGAGCGTGAAGTAGAAGCAAAGCAACGGTTCTATCTGAACTTAAACCAATAAGCAATTAATGCAATAGTCCCCGTATCTGAAGAAGGTCGTCATTTGCACAGTCCTTCGTTTTCATTTCATTTTTTACAGAACTTCATTTTCTCAAACAATCATTCCGTACGTACGATTGTTGTCCAGTGTTGGAACGAACAATATAACGAAAAATGAACGAGTTTTACTGTGTTTATTTGAATAACATAGTTATCGCTGACTAGATATTAATATCGTAAGCTATGGCTCTTCTGGAAAAATAGTGAAAAATATATCTAATTTTGCGGTATAAATTTCATTTATATAGATATGTCACAAATAATGCTATTTTTTCCGTTTAATTACGACTGAGCATTCACCAAACCTTTGAAAGAGACAATTGAGGGAAATCAGAGCTCATTTGGTACAGTTTTAGTTCCTCTTGTACCTACAGTCAATCAAAAACTGTGGCCAAAATTTGAATATTTACACAATTTGAGATTTTATTTTGAACTGCAAATGACATACTAAAACGAAGCATTCGGGATAAGAGGAACAACTTTTAGATTTCTAGAATTCGTTCTTAATATTTATAGAGAACTAGCTGGCAAACCCGCCTCCGCCCGGCCCTGTCAATAATATATACGTAAATCATGCCCAACCCCCTGTGCCAACTCCCAGCCACTCAGGAACTTTGCAAAAATCGATGAATTCGATATCGATCAATAATGAAAAGTAGCCCACGACTCCTCCCCGCCCCGATGTGTATGTGTGCCAAGTTTGGTCCGGATCGGTTCAGAATTAGAAATTTCTGTTCGGAACATACGTAAAGATACATACACATAGAGGGCCGGGCATACATCACGCGATTCCACCGCCTCACGATTCACCCAGCAAGACGACTGGTACGAGTTTATCGAATGCGGATCATCATGGATTTCGGTAGTGATAGTTTTCCGGCACGACTAATCAGTAGTAACCATCAAAACCGACATGCAAAATGATCTGCATGCAACGAACTCGTAGCAGTTGTCTCGTTGTGAGAATCGCGAGGCGATAAATCGCGTGATGTATGCCCGACCCTTAGACAGACATTAGGCTCTAACAAGGAAAGGAAGGTTGGTCGAACTGGCCTTTTGAGGTGAAATGTATACTGTTTTGTAGAGCTTGGGGCGCTGATTCCAAATCTACCTCTGCTATCTGCTGCGAGCTTCTGGGCGAGGAGTTGTGAAGGTTTTTGTGAGTAAAAATCTGAATGCAAGAGTAAGCTAAAATCAGTCGCAACATTTTTTATAGGGCTTAATTGGTAGTGGGGTCACTCGGTGCAGCAAATAATCTTGATTTGAATATACCAACTCGCTGCTGCCTCAATTGAACGCTGGGAAAAGGTTACGACTGATTTTAACCTACTCTTGCATTCAGATTTTTACTCACAAAAACCTCCATAACTCCTCGCCCAGAAGCCCGCAGCAGATAGCAAAGGTATATTTGGAATCAGCGTCCCAAGCTCTATAAAACATTGTACATCTCTTCTCAAAGGGCCACTTCGACCGACCTTCCTTCCCTTGTAAGTATACGAGATAATGCATTTGAACTAAGATTTTTCCGAATTTTGGTCGTAATGCAGCTTGTAACAGTCATCTCATTCTTTATGCTTGTTTTAACAATATTCCATTTCATGAGCTTAGTGATTTTGCAAATTTATGATTTTGTAGACAGCTGAAAAAGTTGTTTTAGGGACCTAATGGATTGGTTGAAAAGAATTTGGTATCAATCATTACATATCTCAATGGTAGCACAGTTATTGGTGTGTTTCCTAATTTTTATGTTTATGACAAAAAGTTGGATCATGATCATACATATTTTGATTAAAGAGTTTGCAAACTTACCGCAAATTGTTGTAGGTGAAATTCTTTGACAAACTGACGATGAAGGTCGTCTGAGTATTGCGGAGAAGACTGAAAGTATTGTAGAGGTAGAATGCGAGGAATTGTAGGGGCGGAGCTTGGGAATTAAGTGGGGGTAAAAAGAGTAACATGAAGAATTAGTCGGTAATCGAAGTCCTTTCAGCAAATTGAGAAAGGTTTGTAATGTTAGTTGGGAAGTCTGAGCTTTGACCACTTCAACAGGCTACGTAAAATACGGTTTAGTTTCAATAACGAATCTTGGAACTAGGGAAAAAATGGTTTCTGTGCCCGTCAACGCTGAAGAAGATGCGCTTGTGCCGAGGCAACACCAGGGTAAACGGAGAAATCCAGCGCGAAGCAAACAAATGTGTTGAGCTGCCGAACTCTTCAAAACGTCCTAGTCTTGTGTCGAGAACGAGGGAATCGGCATTGGACCAGGGGTTTAAGCAATCATCTCATATGACAATCGTATACACAACACTCACCTCAACGAATTTTCTCAGACGCCGTTCGCGGGTTTCTCTCATCATTAGCTCGCTATCCAGGGACCGGGTCCGGTTCTGATAACGATGTCCGTCGTCTTCTTTTTGAGCAGAGCCGTTCTGTAGTTGTGGTACCTGAGAGATCCGGTGAGCGACATTATTAGATTGGCACCTCATTATTAGATTGACACGAAAGTTCTTGCGTAATTCAAAGAAAATTCGATATTTCTATTTTTTTTTCAAATCTCAAACATAAATTGCTGGTCTTCCTTTCTCAAAAACAGCAAAAGGTTTGCGCTTCACGCTATTATCTAACAAAATTTTCATAGACTGTTATTTTTTGTTGTTGCGTAATTCAAAAAGGTTTTGTGTTTGAGAAAAAATGAGAAAAAGAAACAAAAAAATGTATGCCCTTTAGAAAATAATTGATATACTTTTTTGCCAATTCTCGAAGGGCCAAACTTCCAAAAATGGCACATCAAATTCTTGTGGGTGTAGTCGTAAAAAATATTAGAGTGCCGTTAGCTAGTTCCAAAAAATTTAAAAAATTTTCTTACATAGGAGTAAATGCGCTATGTAGTAAGTTTGACCCGCATAAATCGATAAGGGTTTTCCCTACAAAATGACTTCTTCAAAAAAGTTTTGCGTGCGAACCACATCAACCGGAATATTGCTATGTTAGAATTTTCTTTGCCGATTGGTGATTCAGTACTGTAAAAATGCTTGATTTGTAGGAGCGATCATTGCGGGAGCAGCGCGGTTTCTCGCAATTTCACCTTTTTTGAATAGGCCACAATGATTCTTTATATATAGATAGATTTATTGGGGGCACACTCGTAATTCTGTTCAGATTCAAAAGCGACATTCGCATGCCACTGAAATTTGTCGGCTAACCAACAAAAAAGTAGCGATTTAATTTTCGTAAAGCGTGTACATTCTTTTGTTTTTTTAATCACAAAACCATAAATTTGAGTTGAAGATGGAAACTGCTGAACTAGTTTTTTTGACTCACGTAAGAACTTTCGTGCCAACCTTAGACAATTTTGTGATTCGTAACTCTGAACACTTCGCTCCCCAATCGCATTTATTCGTTATTGGTTTTGTAAACGTAAAAAGGGTGGAGGCAGAAGAAAATCCTTCGCTAAGCATTTCTACGCTTTTTCTCCGACAAAAAAAGATCAGTGAAGAACTTTTGTCAGTGACTAGCATTCAGAGGTATGTGATGCATTTTGCAATGACTTACACTGATAGCAAGCACTTCGCAAAATAGAATCTTTAATTTGGCTTGAGAATTTATTTTTTTACATTTTTGCCTTTTCGCGTTAACCTGTACCAGTTTTATGGTCTCTTGCGAGAAGAGGTCTGCTGTTGATTGCTTGGTTTGAAAAAAAAAGTATTTTGCCTTGATGTTTAATTTTTGGTATGCGTAAGAATCAAGCTGAGCAAATTATATTGGAATAGGACATCCTTGAAATTTTGAGTGTTTGAGAACTCACTACTCTAACTGGTACCACTTCGAAACTAAGCTCGTCTCTACTTGAGTGCAGGCACTTGATTTCAACGAACCTGTGACTCTTCGGCGAACTGGTCCGGTGTAGGCAACGCTCTCAGATCTTGCATCGACTGGGCGCGAAGCTTCTAAAATTGTTTAGTTACCCCCTTGCCCAGCATACAGGGCCCCAGGGTCAGTGGTTGGCCCAAACATGAGCAAAAGAACTCACTCGTGCTCGTTTAGAAGAAGGTGGTGATGAAGGAGAAGAAGGAGGAGAAGTTGATGAAGCATGAGGATGCATTCTTGCCACCACAGGGGTCAGAGGTCATTTTTTGATGTCGAGGACACATAAGGAACTTATTATCACACGGACAGAAAACAGTAGCGGACATGGACGAGGACATGATGAGAAAAGGACATTTTACAAAGCATTTGGGACATGGACACCACATATATACAAGCGGGACAACTCGGACGAGGTTACCTACCTTCTGGAGCGTTTCGATGGACTGAAAGTGAGATGATTAAACAAGTACATTGAAACAGATGAAAAAAAAGATAAAAAATCTACCTTTTTGATGTGTTCGAGCTCACGAAGACTCTCGTCGTCACTTTTCTGAAAGCAGCAGAGCTCGACAAAGCTTCAGAAAAAGCTCAAAATCCTTCAAAAATCAGCGTACCTTCGGTCCAGGCCATCCGGGTTTGTTCCAGGGCTTGTTCGCATCGCTTTCCTTGGCTTTAAGGTAGTCTCGCAAGCGACTGGCCTCCATCTCGCGATGCCGCTCGACACTCTCAGTCAGGTAGTTGCTGGTGGTAATCGGACGAGATTCGACGCTCTGCAATTTTTTGATTGGAAAATTGGCAACCAATTGAGGCGGGGCTTGTTCCACTCTCAGAATCTGGCTGCGCCCGGGTTTTTCACCCCCTAACTGACGACGACATTGCATAGACGAACACACTGACTGGTAGCCGAACAGTAAAGGATTCCATTCTGACAGTGGTTTTCATCTAATGAAATGGCCTTTGAATCGAGTGCGTGCCGCGTAAGAATGGAAGGAATTTTCATGATCATATCCTGACTGCGCGATAGCATTTCGGTGTTTTTTATCCAATTAAAAGCGTCTTGAAATGCCTTCAATATGGTACAAAAGAGTTCGCGCATCAAACCGAGGAGCCTCAAATGTATCTGACAATTATCTGATTTCATAAAATTTTCTCAACTCTCTCCACTCTTGCACCTGTACCCACTGCATGTTATGAAGTGGGATGAATCAATGCCTCATACTTGAAGTTAAGCCGTTCATTATCTTCTTTGTAATCTGTACATCACAAAGTCTCCATTTTTGAGCCTTTGCCTAGAACAATAATCCGCTGTTGACGCCGAAATTTTGATTTTTTGAAACAGTTTTCACTGAATTTTAGGAGCAGCATCTAATAATAAGCAAAGTGCATGCTACTTGCTATGGCCTATGAATAGCTTTGAAGGTAACAACCTACGTTGGTCCGTTTACTGATAACACACCCTCCGCCCCTTCATACGTGCCCCGCCCACTCTAATCGATTCTCGAAATGTACGCGCGCGCTAAGCCGTTTTTACATATATAAGAATCTATATCCATAATTTGTATCCGCTTATTAGATGAGGTAGTGCAGGGAAATTCGGGGTTTTTCAAAATAGAGCTTCGAAAGAAGGGAAAGTTATAAAGAGGGTTATTCATAAACTTCTCTTAATCAGGTCTACTGGGGTATAGGTAAAATAAAGCCAGGAATTTGGATGGACGCTAACTTCAGGGATCTCTCTTCACACCTGATCCTTGAATCTGCTTGCGAATATGACCAAAAGCAACATGATATCGAAATTTTGCAAGGCAAAAAAAGAATTTACCTTGTCTTTCGCGTATTCAGAGTATGCTCTGAATTTTTCGCTGTGGACTGAAATGATTTAGGACTAAACTTGACATCCTGGCGTCTACACTTTTTTTTGGTGAGCTCACGGAATGACTAATCGCTGAAGATCCGGTTCAGAAAGGCAATACATGCAATATGGACAATTATTCACATCATCACATTTCCTTGATCGATTTTATGCCTGACCGACAGTGAATAATATTCGAATGGGCCATAATCTGGCAAGAGCAACACGTTTTGATCGAAAAATCACGAAACATAAGTTGCGGAAACGATACGCTTGAAGAATGGAAGAATGGTAGATATTTCAACGGTTTTCGTTTGGAACCACCAAAATTTGGAAGTCTGCTAAGTCAGCGGTTATCATCACTGGAAGAGTATCTTTCTGAATAAGTTCCTAACAACGCAGGGAATGCACAGGTTGCTATGCGGCGCGGCATTCATGCCTTTGAGTTGCCTCGCAAAGCATGGTGAGCAACTTATGCAGTGCGAAATCTCCATTTGCATAATTTTGCAATTATATAGCATATACGAGCTAGCATAACCAAATCAAGTGTTTCTCAGATCTCGTGAAAAAATCTTCCATTATGGTCTTTATCGTACTACCAATCATGTTTCTTTTGTAATGATACCAATAATTAGGACCTTCCCGAATCAAGCTGTCCGGCTTGAAACACACGAACCTTGAATCGCCTTTGTTCAAGTGGCTCCAACTTGATTAGACTCCGTTTGCTGTGCTGACTGGGGAAGTCGCCGGCCACTGGCCGCTTCGCGTCTGGAAGCGTTGTTGAGTGGAGCGGCATGTTGGCATTGGAGCGCACTTTGGGATCAATGACAGTGAGTTTGTAGTCTTCATGTCGCATGCTTACCTGAATAGGTAAGATATCATTTCAGTGTAATAAACGCAAAAAAGCAGCACTAACTTTATAGTCTCCTTTCTCATTGGGTAGATATCCACTTGTTCCAAGCTTGAGTTCAGTGCTCTGCAATATATCATTCAGAATCGATATATTGATTTTCTATGTTTGTGCGCTTACTGGTTTTTCAGTGCCAAGTTTATAGCTGGGTGTGATTGTTTTCACGTTTCCTTCACGAGTCCGACCTTCTTTTGTTGATGGATGATCGTTCTGGAAAAAGCAGTTGCGCTGATTCACATTTTCTAAGAATGATCTGTTCGCAGTTGTGCAATCAACGATGAAACTTTGTAGAGATGTGATTAGGGTAGTCCAAGACCCTAGACACAGTTTTTCACTCATATTTTTTTCACCCTTCAACATGTCCCTCCCCCTTTCCTACTCCTTCCTCGCTAATAGAATTTCAATCAAGTTAGCTAATAATCGGCTAAGCGATCCGATGCATTATCACATTTTAGAGCGAGTTTCCAAAAATCCTACTTCCAGAAAGTGAGTGATATGTGCTCAAGTGTCGTACACTGCTTTTAAGTGAATAGTAACTATTTTATACGATAAACCACATCCAAGGATAACCTGAGATCAGAAAATTGTGGCGATCTTTCTTAACTTCCGGTTCAAGAAAAATAGGTATTTGACTATCCAACGTCGCAGACAAAATGTTGCTTTGCCCAAAACTAACAAAAGTGAGATTTTTTTCCCAAATGAGCATAGTCAGGAGCCAGCGATGCGGCGGTCTTTTACACGAAAACATTTTTCAAACAAACGGTTTTCTCACTACCTTTTTTTCCTTCTACAAATTTATTTATTCTAATGTCATTTTCATGTGTTTAGATTGTTTTGTTACTCTCATTCTTTCAACATATTTGTGTGCCTTTGAAGTATAGGGCATTCATGAAAGTGTGACGATAGCGCGGCCGCGCGCGTCGCTTACGCGGATTCCGCAGTCGTATTTTCTTGGATTCTATGCCTGCAGGAATCGTTACATGTGATAGCTTTTACTTGCCAGAAGGATTGAGATGATCTTTGAGGTAATGTCTTCTTTGAGCGTTTTATGCGCTTGTAACGATGAGCGCAAAGGTGGCAGTCGGATCCACGTCACGATTTTATGAATAAAATACTCGTTTCAATTACCCTATCGAAGATTTTCCCTCAACATCATCTTGCATCAGCACATCTATCATTCTAATGGAGTTTATGCCCACCATCACTAACCGCGTTGTGTATGGCCGGGCGAGCGATGTGGTGTATGTGTGCAATTGCAGAAACCAGTCTGAGCGCGAGCAAAAGATGATGAAGAAGATCGACGGTAGCAAACGTGGGAGTTGAAAGTTGATCAATGTACGGCCATGAAAGGCCGCAAAACTTGTCGTAAAACGCAGCATTACGATTCCGACACTAATATACGACGCTTTCGCATTCATCTACTGTACATTCATCTCTCATGCGCCCCTACATCTGCATTAGACGAACTCTATGGTACCTAGTTGAACGATGTATGCGATGGATTCGCCGCTGAAACGATCTGGGCAAAGTTTGAACCCAATAAACCATCGCGCTGGACTGAACTTTCCTTAATGAGATAACATCTTTGTGTCATACATGGAAAAAGACTGAAAGAGCGATTTTTATTTTTTGGACGTTTTGAGTGGAATTTGAATAATAGCAAGATAATCCGCAAGCAGGACCCAGTAGTTGTGTGGACATAAGTTTGGTTTACGCGACAAAATGGAAAAAGGGGAGGTGGTACGAGGGTCCGCATCCGCGAAAAATCGCATTCAATCACAAAAGCAAGCTTGTTACTTCAATAAAGATTAGAATAAGAGATGGGCAGCCAAAAAATCGATTCATCGATTAGCAAATACCAACTTTAGGTTACGGTAGCTATCACAAAATGACGTAGTAACTTAGGTTATGGTAGCCCAGAAAAAGTTTGCTTGTAGGTCAAAAGCAGTTGAGAAAATCGATATATCGATTGGGAGTATTGAAGAGAAACGCTATATTATTGATTGATAAGCACTATATTGGCAATGGTTTACGGTAGCTTGAGATAAGATGGGAACCAGTGCGACTCTTTCAGAAAACAATTTTTGTAACGCCAAAATTCAGCTCGAGAGGGGCGCTATCAACAAAGAATATTCGGAACTGGAGGTCATAAAAATTGTTTCACTTCTTCCTACGTCATAAGTTTGCCTCGTCGCAGAACAGTGCAAATATGGGCATGAGAAATTGCTTCAAATGCATACAGCAAGTTCGACGATCAAAGTTATGGCGGTGTTTTCTAAATGAATTCGCTCTTTTACGTTTGCGACAATTTTGACGTCCTTCTTGCAAGTTCCTGCCTATCGGCGGTTGCGAAGTGATAAATGGGTGTGAATTTGTTTGGAAGCAACTTTTCTGGTCTTATCCAGTTCGAATCTCGTTCATTCATCCTTTGTCCACTCAAAGTTCAAATTTTGGCTTTGCGCAGTTCTTTGATTTTCATTCACGTTCGTCACAAGCCCTCATACAACGGGTTCATGGAAACAACTGGGGCGTAGTATCAATCGCCCGTCCGGGTAAGGATTCCCATTCAGGTAGTATCCGCTTCATAGCTCAGTGATCTGGGGATCTGTGCTCTTCCTTGATTGTCCATCTTTTGGAGGCCCTACTACCCTAATATTGTAGCATAATGATTGACAGCAATTTGCTGTATAAGCTGATATTTTTAGTATTTTGTGTGATTAGAACGGGATTTTTAGGAGATCACGACTTATTTTCAAAACCCACGGAAGCGTCACAAAGTTATGCTGAGAACTGATTATGAAAGTGCTAAGCATGTTTCCAGTAGCACAGAAATGTGGAAGTTTTGAATTTTTTTTACAAACCCGAACCCGCAAGCAGAGGTTCATCGTAAATTTCTTCGACTTGAGTTTTCACTTATTGCTTCCACAAAAATGCTCAGCACTGTCATACTGGATCAACAGCATGACTTTACGAAGTTTTCATTGAGTTTTTACAAATATAAAAGACACAAATAAGCCGTGATCGCCTGAGAATCCCGTTCGGGATCATACAAAATACCAAAATCTCAGCTTAAACAGCGAAGTGCTGCTATTGAATATGCTAAAATATTGGGATAGTATGGCCTCCAAAAGATGGATGATCAAGGAAGAACACAGATCCCCGAGCACCAAGCTATGAAGCGGATACTATCTGGATAGGAACCTTTACCCGGACGGCGATTGGTACATACCGCCCCTGAAACACCGCTACTGTAAGAAAACTGCCGCATTATTATCAGCTTTCAGATTTGGGCGAGGGTGGAGCATTGCAGATATTCAATAATTCTAATGAAACTACTAATTCCATAACACAACGACTGTTGTTGAAGTCCATCACGTGAGAACTCACCCCGCTTACAAGCTGCCTCTGAATTTGCACGAAATTGGGACTACATTATGCCTATATACAAAGGGTGTCTCAATAGTATGTGCACGCTATTTGTAGGTTTATCAATTTCTTAATTTGGTGTATCAACGGACCAGTATCAATTCTAGAGCTGGCTTGAACGCAGATATAAACCTAAGAAAGGTAAAATTATGATAGGAATCTCTCGCACCTTGTCGCCATAATAAATCAACTGCTTTTTAGTCACTTTTAGTAAACCTAGAACTTTTGTGATGGGATATAGAATAATAGCGATCAAAACTGAAGCTTTACCAATCAATGTAAGATTGAATGGTATTAAGTTCCTGAGGGAGATAAAAGAGTTATGACAGTACATAGACCGTTCCTTTTAGGGACTACGGAGAAATGCTAAGCTTTGGCCATACTTTATCCGTGTTACCGGCGTTACCAGTGTTACTAGTGTTACGCGTTGTTTTACTCACCAAACAATGAGATTGCGTTCTAGAGTGAGACTGTATTTGTGATCATTTCACTATTCAACAGCAATAAAAGCGGTAATACAAGTAACTCCAGTAACACGGGTAAACTAATGACACGAGTAACACTAGTAACAAGAGTAACCAGAGCAATACCGGTAACAAGGGTAACATGGGTAAAGTATGGCCAAAGCCTTAGTTTCATTCTCAGGTTAAGCTGCTACCTTAAACAAGTTTCAGATTTTCTGAAGCCTTTCCGTATTGAAATTTGGCCCTAAATGGATTGAAACCGTGCTAGAAGTAACGCACTCCAATATTGATAACGAGCAATCTAGGCGCGTACTATACTGTAAGTAATGGATTGAAGCCAGATCTACAAAATAGTGCTTGGAGTTTCGCGTTACGGTGAATGCGGATGTACATACTACTTAGAGGGCTGCGTAACAGTAAGCTATAAGTCCAAAGCGTCGGGCTTTTTGCCGAAACAATCCTGCTCTGATTGTCCACTCTTTTTTTCAAAGTTGATCAAAGCTATCCTTGTGCTTTTCCTATAGCGGGTGGCGTCTGTTTGGCCTAAACCGGTTCGCATCGGACGACAACACAAACTAGGCTGTGTATAGCTAGTATGTTTCCAACTTTACGATGACCGACTCGTAGCTGAAGTTAGTAATTGCGAACAAGCTGCCCGGCACCTACCGGTCCGGGCGGTTGACCCTCTTCTGTCTTCACGACCGGCGTCGACCATCGCTTCACTGAGGTTTCGGCTTCGATTCGTGCAGACATCGTCGACCAAACCCTTGGCGGCGCTTGTGCAGGAAGAGGTGGTGGCGGCGGAGGCGGTGGTGGTGGAGGCGCTTCTGATGGCTCCGAATTTGTTAGATCCGCTGGTAGGGCGATTTCCAACGGGCGCACGTACACTTGAACCGAGATCGGCTCTGAAAAACGAGAAAATTGCAGCTTCGTGTGGAATTTGTTGCGTAAGAAAGGGGCAATGAAGAGGTGCACGAAGTAGACTTCGACAGAGAAATTTCTAGAGTAGATAAATTGAGAATGCGAATAAATGAAGTAGAAGGAAAACAGGATAAATATCTTATTTTGCTCAAAATAGGGAACTGGCGACCGCCAGAAGGATTATAACGACAGAATCTGATTTTGCTACAAATAATCAAATTGGTTCCTACCCGCAAAAAATGATTTAGAGCAAAATTACCATATGATAAAGCATGAGGTGGCTCGCAATCCTAGCTATAGGAAAAAATGACAAGAATAATTCAAGTGAAAATAAATCAGCTTACGATAAATGTTGCCTGGATCTTTATTTGTGGAATCTCGGCAATTTTGAATGGACAAAAGTGAATTTGAAAAAAAAGAACCTACAGAAAACTTCCATTCCAGCTTTTATTCGGGCATTCTTGGACTTGTCTTGGAAAGTTTCAAAGACCTCGCGTACCCTGTATACCATTTAAAATCATTTTTCGTGTACAAAAAAGTTCTGCGGTTACCGTTATCTGCGAAGAGCATGAAAGAAAATATGTTTCTCATCCGCTAAAACATGGATTGGGAGATAATATCACAAATTAGATGACTTTGAACAATTCTGAAGGGAGAACAGAGCTGATTTTTGCTTTTCAAGGTGGTTACGGTGTGCTCATTTTCGTGTATCAGTCTCACATAAATTGGATGTTATGATTCTAATGTCATAGACGTCTGTTCCATCCACCTAGTGCGATCTTGGAAAAATTCCACAACGCTTTTCTTGTTCGCGATATCTCTTTGGAACGATCGGAAAATGAAAGTGGGTGTAGATTTGAATCTGAGATATGACAAACTCGGTGAACGCAGAGATTTTTTCGCCAAATTTTATGGTGATTCTTGGAAGAGAGCGAGAAACTGCGAATCGTGAAGCGGTGACCTCAGCGTGAGAAACGACAAATTTGGAGTTACGAGCACGGCCGAAAAGATTTAAGTTACGAGTCGAAGTGTCGACATCGTATTCCGATGAGGACGAGTGAACATTAGGCACACTGTTTGCACTCTAAATGTGACTCCGAGAGGACTAGGGGATTTGTCCGGACTGAATTAGGCTGAAATAAGGCCAGGAACCGTTGATCGATAAACACTAATGGGTACCAGGAACAGTGAGAAACAAATTCGAAGCGAAGGTCAGAACTTCTCGAAGCTAGTACCCATCGTAAAAAACGTAACCTTGACGAGGTGGGAAACGGTTACCAGAGCATTCCTGAACTAACTGTCTTGGAAGTGATTAGTCTTTGTGCGGACAAGTGTAAGCGGCAATATGTTTTGATAAAAAAAATTAAGACGAAAATCATAGAATCTAGAACTAAGTATTTTTGCAAAAAAAGTAGAGTTTAGGTAGGCTAGAAAAGATGACAGTTTATATAGGCCAAACCTTAGATAAGTGTTTTAGCTAATTTTTAGCAAAATGTTCGGAATGTTGCTCATTTACACACAATATTTTCATCGGATTATATTCTAATAACAGGTGAATCATGGAACATTGCAAAACAGTTTTCCTTTTTTTTTAAATGAAACATCAGAGAATATGAGAAAATTTATTTTTTAAGTTTATAGAGTATGGTCTCAGCTACGCAGCAACATAATTACTCATAGAAAAAACAACGACACTATAATCATTATAAGGAGAATTCATCCGTAAATAGTACTAGCAATATTAGTAATAAAAAATTATCCAGTAGAAACTTTACGAAAATGGAATAGCGAAAAGGAATATTGTCGTAAAAAAATATCTCGAGTTCGGAGGACATTTATCAGCTGATTACGGTGGTAATAAATTCACAGGCAGACGAGAAGAGAAAGTTGAATTGCCCAGAAATTTCAAGACTGTTATGGGTTTCATTGGCTATAACGACAAGAAAAATTTTCGTTTTATATAAAGACTCAAGTTCAAAACCATGTTCAGAAAACAGTTTTTAATAGAGTACAAACTACTTTCATGCTTTGAAATGTTTCTCAAGTTTTTGCGAATTCCTATTCAAACCTTTGAGAATCCCCTTTTATTTTCAACTTTAAAGTTTATAGCAAAATTACATTGACAATTCAATGATAAGAATGAAGTCCTTTAGACTAAAGGCGTCCTGATGAGATACCCTTTCAAATGACCTTTTTCTTTCAGTGATGCGTACGTATCAGACTATCAGTCGTACAAGAAGAATGTATGGAATGTCACAAATCGAAAAAAAATAGAGAGCAGGAGTTGGAGAGTGAGCGACAAGATAAGAAGGTTAACTTTCGAATTATAGTTATTTATCCTTGTACCACAATGAATTAAGTTTGTGCAATAACAGAGGGATTTATATGGGATAATGATTGTGCCACGATTAAAGTTGTTTGAGATCGATTAAATTAATTAGTAGAGTATATTTAGAAAAATTTCGAAAAAATCACATAACCATCATAGAAAAATGGACGGAACTTATGGAAGTGATGAATATGGAATTCCAACGAAAATGCAATGTGGGCGGAGTCGCAGACAAACGGAATAACTAGAATGATCAAAATTGCATGAAATTGCGAGATATAAAAAAACGGATACGGATGTTTTCGAGAGAAGGATTAGGCAAACGCGCGTTTAATGATGTGGTGGTCTTTCCGTAATTAGATAAAATTGATGATGCGCCGGTTTGAGAGAGAAGATAGCATCGAAGCGGACAGAGTGGGAATGGGAAGGTGAAGATGTGTTTCCGGGTGTTTTTATTAAGAGCGATTGTTTAGACATCGCATTTTCTCACCTAACAGGAATGTACGCGTTAGGAACAGAAAGTTCCATCAAGAATGAAATGTAAAGCTGGGTTAGAACACGTCAGACTGCGATATCGCGGTGCAGCACGACTGCGATCGAGTTGGTGCGACTTCCGATGCGATTGTGACGACTTCGGCACAGCGTCTGCGCCAGGTACGACGTCGTCGTGTGCGCTCGGCAGCGATGGCGTTGCCCAACTGCGGCGACGACTACGATGCAAAAACAATCGCATACCGGTTCAGGAATCGCACCACGCCCTGTGCGCGATGTGTGCACCGCGCGCACCATTGCGGCATCGATCAGCGTTAACCATCATCATCATCATCAGCATCGCTAAATGCACAACGATGCGCAATAGCTAGGGATCCCGCAGCGAATGCTAACGATGCGATTTTGACTTCAAAAACTTTTTTCCGCCTACAATGACTTTTCTACACAAATCAAAGCAGATCGCATCGACGAAAGGTATGCCAGATACACAAACCGAAACTCTCACAAAAATTTACAAAAATGTCGTCAATAAATGCAAAGAAAATCGATATAGTCGGTGAAATGAACGAGATCTTCTTTTGAACAGCAAGCAATCAAAACACAAAAACAGAAAGTGCATGCGTTGATAACGGTGCAGTGCCATCAAACAGAAAAACGAATTACGAAAGAATTTTACGCCACAGAATTTTTAATGAAAAACATAATACATACGTTTTCCTCGCTTATCATAGATCTCCCGTTTGGATCTACTAGAGAGAGTGCATCTGAAAATAAGCGGAAGTACAGAAATCAGTTCTCAGTCTCTTGATTCCTTTTTCAGTCTCTGCCATCGACTCCCTCGCCTTCTTGTTCCAAAAATTTTTCGAACAAAAAGGATGCAACAATGTTCAATACATCAGAAATCATCCCACATAAAACATCGTCAAACTGTCAAACATTTCAGAAAATGTGAAATCAATCACTGCATTGTCTGAAAAGTGTAGGAAGAGAAAATCGAGGAAGTCGCGAAATAATATCTGTTTTAAACTATCTTCAAGCGGGAAGGGATAAAAACCAGATCAAAAGCATTGTTAGTAAAATTTCAACTTCAAAGTTAGCAAAAACTACATTGACAGCAAAATCTCTAGTAGTTTCAGTATTCCAGACTGACTTATCAAAATTCCTAGCTTCTCGAAGTGGGGCAGAATTTTTATCGACTAAAGAGGCCGGGCATAAGCCGCCACGCCCTTCAAAAATTTTCGAACTTCTCATCTTTTGTTGGGAATTCCGAAATTATTGAAAAACGGAGTGAGCATAGCTGGCTGTTTTCCAAATTCAATTGTGATAGACAGCTGCCTTCATTGAAAGTGCATTAGGCAACCAGAAAAGAAGAGATTCTGAAAAAATCAGGCTGCCTTGATCGCTTGGGTTTCTCAATATTGTGCTAAACGTAGTATATAAGATGAGCTTAGAATCCTCTCCATCAGAGCGAAACCAGCAAAAAGTGTGGTCGTCTGGTGGCGAGAAAAAGGGCACGAATTCGTTGTGCGGCGCTGACCGTTGCTGGAGCAGAGGCTGATCGGTGCGCGGCCTTGAGACGGTGCGTTCGGCTGGCAGCGGCGGCGCGCGTTTGCCAGTGAGATGAATGGTCTCATGCTGGGAAGCTGAGGCGAAAAATTCGCCCTTCACAAAATTCGACGCGATTCGTATCGCTCGTTCGCACGAGCCGGTGAGCGGATGAGTCACGCTCATGTTCCGGACGTCGATGACGGAAGTTTCCGGAAGTCGGTGTGACGCGGTGGAGGCGGCGAACAGTCCTGTCCTGAGATGGGAGTGCGACGGGGGGCTGTAGCGCTAGGCGAACCTGTTGCACAACAGCCTGCAGCTTGTTTGCTTACAGTTCAATAGACGGTAGTCGGCTTGTTTGCCTTCGCCCTGCTCCGACACCTTGTCGCGCTTGTCCTACCCGGCTGCAACAGCGCCATGACGGGAGCGATGGCGGAAACGCGCACTTCACTCACGGCAGAAGTGCTTTCGACACCCTAGTGGTCACAATGGAGTCATTGCCGAACAAAGAAGACTGGTTCGCAAATGCTCAAACGTCTTCTCGTGTCATATCAGAGGCGAATGCCATTTAGGCCAGTGGGGCCAATCCTTCGCGAAAAATCTGCTGAGGTGAAGGGC